AATATACATAGCTATAGACCTGTGTGCTCAGCTCTGGAGCTGTGTGAGCCAGACGAAACAAGTGATGGGGTCACTCATGCTCCAAAATCACCCTCCACACTGCAAACCCCACGAGGAAGCTGGTTTTAGGTGCATTAAAGCCCCAGCTTTCCACATGCTCATAGCCATGTCCTTTGCTTTCTAATGCAATGTGTATTCAGGAATCTTCTGGTTTCAGCCTGGTTTGGAGCATCCCTGGTTCCCTGCGCCTGGAAAGCATCCGGCTTGCCAAGTCCTAAAAGTCACCCCCCTCCCTGCCCTGAAATCAAATCACGTCAAGAAACCCAATTAGGGTGACATGACATTTCCAAGGAAGCTCCAAGGATGCATTCCGGGAATATTTTGGCCCTGCCAAAGCGGTTCAGATGGCAAATCAATAGTGACCGTTTAATGGTAGCCGTGTTAAAAACCAATCAAGTTATCCATTTCCCATTATGCCGAAGCTCCCAGAGCACTGATGGGAAATTCAAGCTGCATTTAATATACCTCCCAGAGCCCTGCACAGCTCGAGCTGAGATACTCGACTGCAATATTGGGTTTCACTTAAGCCATCCAGATGCTTTGCATCTGAATTAAGTCCCTTGGTGACTCCAGGGTGAGATGCTGCTTTGGGTTGGTCTGTGGTGAGGGGTCTTGAGTCAAATCGCCTCTTGAGACTCTTTCCTTCTCCTTTTGGCTATATCTTCATCATGAAGGTGGATGAATTTGTCCCCAAGGTTTGGCTTTGGGTTTCCTGCTCTCCTCACCAAGCTTTTGGAGCCGAAAGCTGCCAAGAAGTTGTGCGTGTTGGGAGGGTAAGACCTATTTTAAGTGATTTGAAAGGAAAATATGAAGGTGTCATCCTATTTCTTTGGTGTCTGGGAACAGGGAGGCAGAAAGGTGAATTCCTCAGGTTCTCAGGCAGGTCTCAGGTCCCCCAGGTCCATTTGCTCACCTACTGCTGTCTCCAGACCCTCACTGTGCTGCTGATTCACAGCTATAAAACCAGTCTTCATGCAATTACTGCTGTTACTGTCTCCTTAGACTTGATGTCAACTTAACATGACTGCATGAATGGATTCACCAGCCCAGAGCGATGCAACCTCCTGTTCCCTAATGCCTTGATGCAGCTGATAGCTGATGTGGGTCAATGAAACGTGGGGCTGAGCTCCTTGGGGAAACAACCTCCAGAAGATGGAGGAAGTCTCTTTCTCCTCTTGGATTTTGGTAAATAAGTGCCACTTTGAGTTATTACTGAGCTGGCTGGTGGCAGTGGTCCCCAGGAGGTGATGCTGTGCACCCTCAACTGGAGAAAGGCTCCTGGGGATATCTATCATCTCCATTGTCATGGTGGAAACTCACCAGTGCAGCTGGTCCAGAGTTACTGCAGCCCCATAAATACATGCATGCATTATTTAGATATATAAAATAATATATATATAAAATTATATATATGCTTGTGTGTATATATATATATAAAACTTAAACAGGGGAAGTTTAGATTGGATCTAAGGAGGAAATTCTTTCCTGTTAGGGTGGTGAGGCACTGGAATGGGTTGCCCAGGGAGGTTGTGAATGCTCCATCCCTGCCAGTGTTCAAGGCCAGGTTGGACGAGGCCTTGGGTGAGATGGTTTAGTGTGAGGTGTCCCTGCCCATGGCAGGGGGGTTGGAACTGGGTGATCTTAAGGTCCTTTCCAACCCTAACTATTCTATGATTCTGTGAAATGATTTGAAGAGGATCAATGAGATGGCTTCGAGTATTATGATTAGTGTGATGAACAGCCTTTAAGGGTCCAGGTCAAGAAGAAAAGGATGGGATAGGGAGAAGTGGCTAAGGAAAGAGAGCAAGAGGAAAAACTGATACAATCAGGCCCGCATAACAAAGTTTCTGGTAATCTGAACCCCTGAACACACTTCAGTGCTGGAGAAATTTATCAGTCATGTAGTAGTGGAATGATTCAGTGCAATGGTTTAGTGGGAGCTGTCCCTGCCCATGGCAGGGGGTTGGAACTGGATGATCTTAATGTCCTTTCCAACCCAAACTATTCTATGATTCTATTCTATGATTGCCATTGCTAATAAAACACCACAGGCTTTGACATGACTTTACACCTTGGGTCAGGTAGTGGTGGCCACTCAAGTATGATAACCCCATATTTGTGCTGGAAGCCATTGGTGGCTTCACTGGAGGGATGCTGCTGGGGTCATCACCATACCAGAAAGAAGCAAGGTGATAGGAGAGTTATTCTTATAATAATTAATGTTATTAATGTTTTTTTTTATGTATTTATTAATTAAACAGTGAGAACTGTGACATTGTGAATTTGTTAATGGGGCTGCTGGTTGTTTCTTAGCAGTGTGTTTCCAATATGTCCCCCTTTCCCATACAAATACTTCTGCTCCAGTCCAGCCTTGGGATGATATGCATCAGGAAGGGTCATTTGGGGCACAGGGGTTTGCAAGCAGAGATGTCCCAGATCAAATCAACCTGAGTGAACATTTTTGGAAGGGCAGCCCCAGCTCTCCACATGGCTGAGGTCATTTTGCCCTACTCTTCCAGTGTTCTGAGATGCCATTTCCTTTGCACAATCATGGAATCAACCAGGTTGGAGAAGCCCTTTAAGCTCATCCAGCCCAACTGTTCCCAGCCCTGCCAAGGCCACCACTAACCCATGGCACTGAGGCCTCGTCTCCACGCTGTGTGAGCACTTGCAGGGACGGTGACTGCAGCCCTGCCCTGGGCAGCCTGTTCCAATGCCTGAGCACCCTCTGGGGCAGGAATTGTTCCTCAGCTCCATCTAAACCTGCCCTGGTGCAGCTTGAGGCCGTTTCCTCTTGTCCCATCCCTTGTTCCTTGGGAGCAGAGCCCAGCCCCTCCTGGCTCCATCCTCCTCTCAGGCAGTTGTAGGGAGCCATCAGCTCCCCCCTGAGCCTTCTCTTCTCCAGACTGAACCCCCCAGGTCCCTCAGCCGTTCCCCATCACACTTGTGCTCAGTTGTAGGAGTTCAACAACCTGTGACCCTGGGCAAGGTCCCACCCAAATAAAGGTCTTCATACCAAGGTGACACTTGAACGTGTGGGCCATGCGCTCCGTTAGGTCTCTGATTTCTTGTGCACAGGGATGGTTTCCATCAAGCACGACGGAATGAACGTTTTTCCTCTTGGTTGCAAATGCTCCCTTGGATGCTGTCAACAATCCTGGGCTGATGCAGGAGCTGAAGTTCAAGTCACTCCACGTGTCCTGGGATGCTGAGGGCCAGAGGTTGCAGCATCTGCATAGATGAAAGCTCCCTAACCCAACCAGGGCTCTGCAGACATCAGCATCCTGCCTCCTTCCTTCCAAAGTGCTCCCATCACTGTGATACCAGGGAAATGTGGAAGTCGGGGTGTTTCTCACAATAAACACTGTGGCCTCACCTGGGATTGAATAAACACTTTCCTTTGGATGGTGCTGCTCCGTTGTTTGGCTCAGCCAGGAACATCTTGTTTCTTTTCTCAGGGAGTATTTCTCTTGCCATGAAACAAAACCTGAGTGTTTTTCATGCTGCAGTACATTTTGATACAGAGCATTATTGCGAGAGGACAGGATGGAAATATCAGGCTGAAAATGGCACTTGTCTCATTGCCAGCATTGACCAAATTCATCTTTTCTTTCCTTTTCTTTCTTTAGCAAAAAAAGCTCTTTTTTTAGCTATGAAGGGGAGTAAAAATGCCCCAAATCTCTGTTTGTCCCTCCTCGGTGCCTGGGACACATGGGTAGAATCACAGGATAGTTTGGGTTGAAGGGACCTTCAAAGCTCATCCAGTTCCACCCCACCCTGCAATGAGCAGGGACATCTTCATCTAGATCAGGTTGCCCAGAGCCACATCCAGCCTGGCCTTTAATGCCTCCATAGATGGTGCATCCACCACCTCTCTGGTAACCACATTGAGTGGGAATTACCCATTGAGGGTAAGAGGAATCCTTTTATACCACCAGTAGCAATGAGGCAACCCTGAAACCAGGGAAATCTGAGCTCAAGCTTACCAAATGGTGCAGAAAACTTCTGATAAACCCCACTGGTTTCCTAACCAACTCCCCAGCAATCCCTTTGCACCATGGATCCTCATTATTATGCTCCCACCAAAGGCGTTATGAGGAGGAAAGGCAATTCCCTTGAAGATGCAACACAATGTACATTCATTAATGGATGCATTTTTGACTATATGGGGCAGAAGAATGACCTTTATAGACATCTTGGGCATGTCTCTTGGGGACCTGGTGTGGCAAGAGGAATTGCAGCTTGCATCCGTGGATGCTCAACTTTCCAGAGCACAGCAGGGCAGCCCAGGCAAAGGCAAGGAGCCCAAAAATGCCAGCTCCCATGTTGGGGAGATTCCTGCTAAGCTGGTACTGTGGGCAGCAATGGCATGGTCAACCAGCACATGCCACATCTGAGAGGTGTCATATTTAGACACCATATTTCCTACCTGGTTGCAACACAACAGGGGAAGGCAAAGCCTTTTGCTTCTGCTGCTGCTTTGGCAAATTACAAGTATTCCAAAAGCCAGGAGAGACTTTTGTGCCATCAAAGCTGTTGTGACCATTCCCAGGGGCTGGCATACCTGCAGGAGATCCAATAGGATATGATTCCTCTCAGCTGGGTCCATGTGGCCACCAAAACCCAGAAGCTCAGCCTCCCACTTCTTGGATTTCCACACCTCTCCAAGCAGCAGCTCCAAATGCCTTGAGGACCTGGGGTGGCATTTTGCATGGAGAAGCCTGGTTCTGAACCCTGTACTCTACAATTTGGGATGGCTCCTCTTAACCTATCCAGGGATGCTGAAGTGAAGGGGAAGCTGGGACTTGCTAGAGGCCATAGGGAGTTTAGGCTCAAGCTGAAAGGCCATGGGATGTGGCTTCACCCATCCCTGACATGGGGACGTAGAAATTCCCACCTTTCTCTCTACCTTTCTGCTCCAGGTGAATGATGAACTGGAATTATACACAACAGCATTAAACCACTTTTATTTTACAAAAATAAACTCCAGGTATGTGTTTTGCACAGCACTTCTATGGATGAGTGGTGCTGTTGTGACCCTCTGGACATCTCTGCTCTCCTGAGCAATCAGATGCTTCCCTCTCCTCGCACCACTTTATTTCCTGCTCATAATGAGTTTTCCAGCACCATCTTCTAGGCATTCCTTGCCTCTTCATGTTAAATGGGTTCTCTTGCTTGACTAGCCTCTGAGGTGTCCTGGTAATGCTTCTCCAAGCTTCGTTCCTCTTGGATTTAAACAAGGCAATTGCAGCTCATCACCTCCCTCTGGCTGGTTTTCATATGCAAGGGAAGAGAAGACAAAGGGGATGTTGGAGGTTGGCTCAAGTTTGGGCTTATTCTTGGACCTCCCATGCTCACTGTGGCTCAGGAGGTATTTGACACTATAGGATTGTCTATGCCAGGTCATGACATCCATAAAGCAAATGTCCCCATCCAGATCAGCTCCTGGCAGCATTTAGGCTCAGCCAGGACGAGTGGGCATGTAGAGGACACGTGGGCCTGTCTTGGATTTGGATGACTCCCAAGGGGTGCCATCACCCCACAACAGAGTGCAGATACAGAGCTGGAGGTATCTACAGCTGCTTTGTGAAGCCTACACTATCATCTCTTAATGCTTATTGCCAAGGGTAAAGTGTTGGCTGGGAAGAGGGTCACTTATTGCCTGGTGATGTTGGGACTGGATTTAAAGCACCAAAAGTGGCTTTCCTTCACAGAGCACATTGCAAAGAAACAGGTGAGCAAAAGTGGGCACTGACCAGGTTAATTGGGCCAGCTGGTCTACCCTGGCTGCTCTTATGGTCAATAGGACAAGGATGCTGGAGAGGCTCTAGAGTGATAGGACAAGGGGTGATGGGTTCAGAGTGAAACAGGGGAAGTTCAGGTTGGAGATAAGGCAGAAGCTCTTCCCTGTGAGGGTGCTGAGGTGCTGGCACAGGGTGCCCAGAGGAGCTGTGGCTGCCCCATCCCTGGCAGTGTTCAAGGCCAGGTTGGACACAGGGGCTTGGAGCAACCTGCTCTAGTGGAAGGGGTCCGGTGGGAACTGGAGGAGCTTTGTCCCTTCCAACACAAACCATTACATGATTCTATGGGCTCCCCATGAAGCCCAAGGTGTGATGTTACCCTCTGCAGTGGATGGACAGAAGAGGGCACCCAGTTTGGGCTGGCTGCACTGGGGTAGCAAAGCCCTCCTTCCCAAGCCAAACAGTGCATTCTCCTTCTCCCCACAGAGCACTTCAGCTCTCCAGGGTGGCATTGCCTGTCCTAACCTGGAAGCAGAGCAGTGAATATTTGCACTGCTTCCTTTCTTGCAGACAGGAGGGCTGGGCTGTGCAAAGTCCATTGTGTATCAGAAAGATTCAAGTGGATGATGATAACAGCGTGTGCAATGGTCTTGATTTTATGCATAATAGGTGCCTGCCTGAAAACCAACCACCTGAAAACTCTGAAATGAACCTGGAATTATACATCTCCACCTTTAATTTCTATTTTTTAACATTCTTCAGAAACAGGGAAAATGAACCTCACCAGAGGGGTTTTTATAATGTATTATGGAGAACTAATTCATTTCTCCTGAAGCCCAGAGGGATTGTGTCCATGTAGAGGAAAGGCTGAGAGAGGAGCATCTTTCTAGGGAGGCTGGTTTCTGCTACAGCTCGTGCTCTGCTTGGTAGCAGTAGTGTTTGCATTACTGTCAGGGTCAGCAGGAGCTCATCTCCCCTGTGATGAGCATGGAGATGAGAAAGAGCCTCACACACTGACCCCACAACCCATAGACCTGGTAATGGGAACACAACTGAGCACTTACCACTTCTCTGGGCACCCTGTGCCAGCGCCTCAGCACCCTCACAGGGAAGAGCTTCTGCCTTATGTCCAACCTGAATTTCCCCTGTTTCACTTTGAACCCATCACCCCTTGTCCTATCACTCCAGTTCCTGATGAAGAGTCCTTCTCCAGCATCCTTGTAGCCCCCTTCAGACACTGGAAGCTGCTCTGAGGTCTCCACACAGCTTCTCTTCTCCAGGCTCAACAGCCCCAGTGTTCTCAGCCTGTCTCCATTCGGGAGCTGCTCCAGCCCCTGAGCATCCCCATGGCCTCCTCTGGACTTGCTCCAACAGCAACAGACCAAATCCAGAGGAGGTGGGTACATTGTGGATGGGTTTCCTGCTTTGGCCTCAGCGCTGGCTGGAGGAGGAGGAGGGCTGGAGGGCTCAGGGCTGCGTTACCTGCCGAGGTTCTGCACTGCTGCTCACATCTCCACTTGGTCTCGAAGCGGTTGCTGTTCCCTCGGCATCCCCCGAAGACAAAGGGCCGGCAGGCGTTTGTCTCTGCGTGGTAATACCAGAGCAGGGTGTAGTGCTGGCAGGAGCCCTCGTCCATGGGCTGCAGGCAGGGTTCTGCAGGGAACAGCCCCCATCCACCCATGTGTTGGACACAGGCAGAAAAAGGCCACACTTTGCCACCTACATCCTCCCCCTTGGCTGGTCCAAGGACTTCCACAGCCACACAGTCAACATCTTACCCCAAAGCAATGGGGTTGGCAGAGCAAAGGGTCAACAGGGACCAAGGTGAGGCATCTGGCACTGGATTTCCATAGTGGGATGAGCACAGAATCAGGGAATAGTTTGGGTTGGAAGAGACCTTCAAAGGTCTTCTAGTGCAATCCCCAACATAGAATCACAGAATCAGCCAGGTTGGAAAAGCCCTTTAAGCCCATCCAGTCCAACCATCACCCCAGCCCTGCCAAGGCCACCACTAACCCATGGCACTGAGGCCTCGTCTCCACGCTGTGTGAACACTTGCAGGGACGGTGACTGCAGCCCTGCCCTGGGCAGCCTGTTCCAATGCCTGAGCACCCTCTGGGGCAGGAATTGTTCCTCAGCTCCATCTAAACCTGCCCTGGTGCAGCTTGAGGCCGTTTCCTCTTGTCCCATCCCTTGTTCCTTGGGAGCAGAGCCCAGCCCCTCCTGGCTCCATCCTCCTGTCAGGCACTTGGAGGGAGCCATCAGGTTCCCCCTGAGCCTTCTCTTCTCCACACTGAACCCCCCAGGTCCCTCAGCTCCTTGTTGCTCCATGGCACTGTCCAACCCTGTGGTGCCCACCATGGTGGTGTCTGACCTTTGCAAGGGGGTGATTAACCCTTGTGTCCTGGGCAGGGTGATGTCTTTGCAGGGGTGGTTGTATTTGGGGTGTTGCTTGGGGGACTCTCACTGGTGGGACCAGAGACCCTCCAGTTTGTTCACCACTACCTCAATGCCCTGGGGCAAAACCAGCTCCTTTAAGCCCATTCCAAACCCATGTTATGAGTTGAACTGTTTGCTGGCATGTGTAACTCCTTCAGCACCACATCCCCTTGATGTCAACGCCAACAAACACTTCCCACCAGGAAGTGACTTCCCTAAATGCTACTTAATTCAGCGCATCTCACCTGGTAATTGAGAGTGGGCTTCTTGGCGCTGGTGCTGAGAGGGACCCGTTATCTGCTGCGCCCGGGGAGCCACTGGGGAAGCAAATGGAAACCACAAGTAATGAGGGCACACAAGCAAATCAGGCACCATTTAAATAGAGATCGCTGGAGCCTCACTTGGCTTTCCACCAGTTAACAAGTCCTCTTAATAAATGTCACAGAGCAACAGGCAAAGGGAGGGAGAAAGGGGCGGCAATAAAAGTCTTAATGGTGTTAAACAACCCCGAAAGGTTGGGTGTTAGTCAGAGAAAATGGAAGTATTTGTGGTTGTTTGCAGGAGATAAATGTCAGGCTGGAGTTTTTGGCTTGGAGAAGCCAGGAGCGATTGTAAGATTGTAATCTGGCAGCAATAATGCTCCCGTTGCAGAATCCTGTTAACATTTGGGGCTCCTATCTGCGCTCATCACTTAGCAGAGGGATTTATGAGCCCTCCTGCCTGGGATCTGGGCTGTAATGGGATTGTCGGCTGGCGACGGCTGCAGCTCTGATTCAATCAGATGCGGTACATCCCATTGGTCTGAAACCGCCCCGATCCCAAACGCTGCCTTCGTACAAAGTGAGGCTATAGCCAGATGGATGACGTCTTCGATGTACGACACAGACATCAGGAGAGAAGAGGGTGGTGGTGATTTCAGTCCAGTTCTATGCTTAGCTGGATTTGTGGGATCGTTTTAGTCCTTAGGAGATTACATGGGAGAAAAGGTCATCATCGACAGGTTTGCCTTAAATCTCTTCCCAAGGCTCTGGGAAAGGTAACCATAGAATGGTTTATGTTCATAGAATCATAGAATAGAATCATAGAATAGTTTGGGTTGGAAATGACCTTTAGATCATCCAGTTCCAACCCCCTTGCCATGGGCAGGGACACCTCACACTAAACCATCTCACCCAAGGCTTCGTCCAACCTGGCCTTGAACACTGCCAGGGATGGAGCATTCACAATCTCCCTGGGCAACCCATTCCAGTGCCTCACCACCCTCACAGGAAAGAATTTCCTCCTTATATCCAATCTAAACTTCTCCTGTTTAAGTTTTAACCCGTTACCCCTTGTCCTGTCACTCCAGTCCCTAATGAAGAGTCCCTCCCCAGCATCCCTATAGGCCCCCTTCAGATACTGGAAGCTGCTTTGAGGTCTCCAGGCAGCTTCTCTTCTCCAGGCTGAACAGCCCCAACTTTCTCAGCCTGTCTTCATACAGGAGGTGCTCCAGTCCCCTGATCATCCTCGTGGCCTCCTCTGGACTTGTTCCAACAGTTCCATGTCCTTTTTATGTTGAGGACACCAGAACTGCACACAATGCTCCAGGTGAGGTCTCACAGGAGCAGAGCAGAGCAGAGGGGCAGGATCACCTCCTTGGACCTGCTGGTCACGCTCCTTTGGATGCAGCCCAGGATACCGTTGCTTTCTGGGCTGCGAGCGCACACTGAAGCCGGCTCATGTTCATTTTCTCTTCAACCAACACCCCCAAGTCCTTCTCCTTGGGCTGCTCTGAATCTCTTCTCTGCCCAACCTGTAGCTGTGCCTGGGATTGCTCCGACACAGAGAAGCATGTTGGAAGGGACCTTAAAGCTCCTCCAGCTCCAACCCTTGCCACAGGCAGGGACACCTTCCACTAGAGCAGCTTGCTCCAAGCCCCTGTGTCCAAGCTGGCCTTGAACACTGCCAGGGATGGGGCAGCCACAGCTTCTCTGGGCACCCTGTGCCAGCGCCTCAGCACCCTCACAGGGAAGAACTTCTGCCTTATCTCCAACCTGAACTTCCCTTGTTTCACTTTGAACCCACCACCCCTTGTCCTATCACTACAGTCCCTGATGAAGAGTCCCTCTCTGGCATCCAAAGGCAGCTTGTTGCCTCCATCAGCATCCCAGGTAGTGGGCAGGCCCCTAGGGCCAGTGAAAGCCACCCACAAGCCATTATCCCATGGGGACAGGAGAAGGAGGATGCCTGACCAGTAGCTCCTCTGTGCCAATGGGATCATAGTGCTCATCAGGTCTGCATGAAGCTGGGCCAAGAATTCCCTCATTGTAATGCTCACCATGGTTCATGGTCAGAAGAAAGGGTAGATGATCTGAAACGCAGCTAAAACTGCCCCATCCCATCTTCTCCCTGAAAAGATGGCTGTTTTCAGCCAGACATTAAGGGATCCATCAGCCTGTATCCATCAGGCTCTCACCTCCTGGGCTTTTCCACCATGACACCCACTGCATCCCAAGGTGGTCCTGGAGCTTCCTAGGCTAACATCAGCTGTGCCTACAGAGTGAGCCATGAACCTCCCTCCAGCCCATGGGCAAATAGCAGGACACAGATTACCTCCCTATGGCTGAACAGCCTTCATCCCCAAAATGATGGTTGCAGCTTGTCTGCCTGCTGCTGCTCAAGATCCTACTGGGGTCTTGATAATACATGTGGATCCAGTCTTGGATCATGCTCTTGCCCTCTCCAGTTGCCTGGTGCAGATGTAGATGCAGTGTAAGGCGATGCCACAAGCCCACTGGTGTTCATGTATAGATGGATCTATATTGCATGTGTCTTCAGGGCAGGACCTTGGCCCTTCCCTCTCCCCCCTGTCTCTTGGGCAACACAAAGGGACAGAAATAGAGCTGGTTGTTTTCCCATTAGCTGTTATCAGTAATTTTACCCATTAAAGGGTTCATGAGGCTCTGGGCAGAAATAGTCTGTAATAGCTCGAGTGTTTGGTCTCAGAGATGTAATTTCTGGCTGATAGGAAGCTTTACAAGAGATTGCAAAGGACACAATGGGAAGAGAGGGACAAAATCAGCCTGAAAACAACACCCTCCTCCCAGCCTTTCAAATGCATCCTTTTGAAGGTGATGACCATCACTGAGGCCACACACTTTGGCTTTTCCTCACCTGCCACCCCTTCCAGAGGTGTTAGCTCACCTCATCTCTGAGCACAGATGAGCACAGGGGTATCACAGCATAGGACCCCCCTCCCTGCATTGTAAATCCCTTCACAGCCTTATTTCTGCCCAGTCCCAGGGAAGAGGATTTAGCACTGGAATGCTCCAGAAGATTCTGGTTGCCATGACTGGAATGATGGGAAACATGCAGTTATTCTGCTGCACTTACCTGCAATAAGTGAAGGTGGCTTCATGAAGGGCTTCAGGGAGGTCATCAATGTGGTCATGTTCTGGGGTTTGTTAAGCATTTCCTCCTGGCTTTCACCATCCCTTCTGGTCTGTTCCCAAGGCTGAAAATCCCCTTGGAGCTGCCTGTTGATTTCAGCTGCTTCCAGACCTGTGGGTTTAATCTCTGGGTCAGTGAGGATGAGATCTGGTGCCATAGTTTGAAAGGCACCATTGTGTGATAAATGGCTGTAGCTCAACAAAGTGACTGTCACTGCACAACACAGGGTGGGAGAGAAGTCACAACACTGTGTTTGGGTGGCCAATGCCCATAGACCATTGGGGTGTGTGGTCAAAGTAGGAAACCTATTGCTAAATTACATATGGTATAGAGAAAGGCAAGCAGTTAAGGAGACATTGTACCATCTACTGTCTTCTCAAGGGAGGCATCAAGGGGTATGCTAAACTTAGTAATAATAAAAGCTGGTTTTGAGGAATTGGTTCCCTAGAAGTGTGCTGGGCTTCCTTGGGACCTCCATGACTGCATGGACCTCAGTGGCAGCGGGGATGGAGTCATAATCAGAACTACATGGATAACGAAATGCTGCTGGATCAGCATCTCCATGGGATAGAGATGAGCACTGCCTGTCTTCTCAGGTAGGACTTGTTTACCCAAAGGTTGGGAGTCCACAAAAAGAGTTAGCTGAGTTAGACACATCCAGCTTCTACGTCTGGATGTGTTTGAAGCTGTGGTTCCATTATCCTTCATACTGGGTATGTCTGATGCCCAGTGTCTTGAAGGACAAGCGTGATCTGGACCAGGCTGGAAGCACATTAGCAAAGCAGATATTTTAGGAGATCTGTTTTATGGTGGATGGACAGAGTTGGCAGCTATGGGACAGTAGATATAGCGGAGCCTGACTGCATAGAATCATAGAACGGTTTGGGTTGGCAAGCACCTTAAGATCATCCAGTTCCAACCCACTGCCATGGGCAGGGATGCCTCACACTAGACCATGTCACCCAAAAGTTAAACCAAAGCAAAGCAAAGTTAACCCAGAAACCTGTTACCTGTTTCAAAGCACTGTGGACCAGCGGACTGAATCCACCCCAGATTAATGCTCTGTGGTGTGTCCACTGTGGCTTTGATCTGGGTTTACTTTGCTAACTCACTGTGTTATCTAAATGATGCAAGAAGCTGTGGCTGCCCCATCCCTGGCAGTGCTCAAGGACAAGTTTGGAACAAGCTGCTCTAGTGGAAGGTGTCCCTGCCTGTGGCAGGGGTTGGAACTGGATGAGCTTTAAGTTCCCTTCCAACCCAAACCAGTCTGGGATTCTGTGATTCTACGCTCTGAGCATGAGGGATGGAGAAGACCACATGCTCCTGGCTGAAGGATCAACCAGGCAGATAACAGGGCCCTTGGGTAACACCTGAGCCATGAAGGGTTCACCAAAGTTGCTCTTTGCAGGAGCATGGAGGCTGCTGTGTTCAAGAGCACTCACTGTGCAGGATTCACTTGCTCTGATTTATTTACATCACAGAAACAAATGGAGGCTGAGGCAAGGGCAGGATCCCACGTATGGGAGAGGTGTTCCCATGGGTGCAGCTGGGTGTCAAGAATAGTTTGATCCTCTCTTGCAGTAGAGGGTAACAGCAGGAGACCTCTTGGTGTCCCTTTCAGTCCTGTTTTCTCCTATTCCTCTCAAGAAATACCCTCCAGAACCAGGGTCTAAAAGCAGTTGGTGATCCAGGGTCATTTTCTGCACTGAATCACAAGAAAAACCACTTATTCTTAGCAACATCTTTTCACCTACAGTTTCAGGCTGGTGAAACAAGGAGAATATCCTTTACTGCACGATTTCACATGCATTTCTATAGCTATTAGCAGCCTTACCCCTTTCGATGAGCATCCTTCCCAACTCACCTCCACAACCTGCAAACATAAGACAGACAGGACATAGTTTGTTTGCTACTTCTTTTTCCCTATGTAAATAAGATTTTCCAACAAAATCCTTATTTTTTTTACAGGCAGCACATGCTTTCATGGACTGCTTTTCATCCTTTTTCTCCTCTTCAAAGCATTCAAATATACTCCTAACATCTCTGGGCAGAAATGAATGTGGCACTAGCTCAATGGCAAGTGGTGGTGAACCCAAACACTCCTTGGCCATAGGTAGACCACAAGGAGTTAGGCAGCTCTCTGATGGCTCTCAGGTAGCTGGACTCTGCAGGGCAAGGAAAGCAAGATCCCCCAAGCCTGACATCCTTGTGATATCGGGGTTCTGGGGTATAAACATCCCTTAACGTGGTGGGTTTTGTTACTGTTATGGTGCTGGTTGACAGTTGCTCACCACCAGAATGAAGAGGTTTGTGTGTCAAGAAGTAGAGAGGAATTGAAAGGCTGTGATTAGACAAAATGCAGCTCTAAACTTCCCCTGTAACTCAGTGCCTGTCACCAATCAATGGGGCAGTGCAGATGAGCAGGGAGGAAAAGCTTTGCTGACAAAACAACAGGGGAATAAGAGGGAATAGGGTGTTTAAAGGGAAAGAATTAAGAGTTAGAGTAGGAAGTCAGGACCATGGCAGAGCCCTGGCAGCCCAGAGGCCCACACTCATCTCGGAGCATGGAGAGGTGACGCGTCTCCACTTGCTTCTAATGGGTGATATTTGCTCTGCAGAGCCAGCATGTGCCAGCACTCAAATTGCTCCAATTTAGCTGCTGGTGTGTGTCAGAGGGTGGCCCCAAGCACGGCTAAGGGGCCAACTTACCACATCTGCCTCTCATCTCGCTCCTCACCACCTCCTTCACCTCTTCCTCCTGTGCCATGGGGGGAAAGCAGAGTTAGCAGTGATTAGCAGTGAGCAGCTCTGCTCTGGAGCCAGGCTGAGAGAGCTGGGCTGGGTCAGCCTGGAGAAGAGAAGGCTCCTGAAGGGGAGACCTTAGAGCCTTTTGGCCCTTTTGGGCCACTTTCTACATAGGGATCTGGGATCATCAGCAGCCCACATGTAGGACATCTTTACTTACAACACCCATGCTAGAACTAATCCTGCCTTGCCTCCATACACTGGAAAGATGGAAGTACCTCGTATCAGTCAAATGGCACCAAACACATTTTCTTGGGCAATAGGATGGACACCCTAAATGGGGCTGCAACAGGGATTTTGTCCTGACCCATGTGGGTCACCCTCTCCTTCAGGATTTATAAGCAAAGGAACAGCTTTTGCAGCAATGCCAGCTTGCTAATCTTGAAAATGGGGCACACTTCTCCCCCCTGCTCTTTCTTTGTATTTCATCAATGGAAAAGGGTTGGAACTGGATGATCATTAAGGTCCCTTCCAACCCAAACCAGTCTGGGATTCTGTTACCAGCCCTGGGGCATGGGCACTGATCTTATCTGCAAGGAGTTTGAAGCACCACAAGGATGGTGAGAGGAGAAATGTGCCTTGGGCTTGGCATCCTACAGCCCAGCACTGCTCCCACCCCAGCCTGTGCACCTCTGATGTCCTGGGTAATGGCCAACACCCTCATTTCCCAGATACTCTCTGAATGAATCTGTTTCTCAGCATCTCCCTCCTCCCCTGCACCTCTTAGGGGCAGTTTGTCCTATTTTCGCTATTCAAACCTGTCTAATAGGATGTGATCTTGAGCTAAAGTACTCACAGAAAGACCAGGACCTCCCTTTTCTCCTTTCTGGCCAGTGGGACCATTTTCACCCTGTTAAAAACACTTAAGTCATTATGAAAGCTCAGCAGATTGACCATTAAATGCTCCAAGAATAAGTGCACCTTAGAGAGGAAAAGATAAGCTAGGAAGGGAGATGGGCAGAAAGGCTTACATGATTTCCTATAAGTTTTAGGGATATCTGTGAGTAGCTCACTGAGCAGAAAGGAATGGACTCGTCCATGTGCAAGGCAACACGAACAGAAGAGAGCTGGGTGCAGGCTCCCATGTTTTTGGGGAGCGCTGCTTTATCCATAAGGATGTGTTAGCATCCTTATACATCCTATATAAGGATGCAAACAGCTCCAGTTGAAGTCAGGTTTCTCTGCTATTTATAAAGGACCACAAAGGCTGAGGTGGAGGTGTGGAGAGGATCTGAACCTTTGGGAACCAGACCAGGCTGGGATTGCAGCCCCAGTACTGAAACAGAGGGAGATGCTGAGGTTTGCCAACAGGGCTTTCTGCCTCTTAGGAGAAAATACCTTGGGCAATTTTCCTCTCAGAACTGCCAGAAACTGGATTTGTTGATTAAAAACACTAAAAAATATTAAAGGAAATGGAGCACAGGAAGCACGATCTAAATTAAACAGTCATTTTTCTCAATCCACGCTTGCTTACAGGGGCTGGAGAGTGAGGAGAAATCACATTACCCTCTACCAACCCATGGAGCTAATACAATGCCATGTCCTGATGCAAAAAGCCCTTGAGTCAGTGTTGGCAGCCTGTAAGGACTGACCCAGAACATGGGTTGCAGGTTGGGATCTGGAGATTAAACTCTCGTTTGTATTCTCTGATGCGTATTAAAAGGCTGAGCATTGCCCCTCTGTAGTGAGGTCCTGCACTATCGTTTTGGTCTGCCATAGTAAGCATAGTGCTGACCCAAAATATGATGTTTTATGGAAGTCTTACATAAAACAACAGGCAGCCCACAGGACTCACAGCAGTTGCCCCTGTTGGAGATACCTCCAGGTAGAAGTGTGGTCAACACTGCCCAGATCCAATGCCTGGTGGATATCCAATATCCTGGTATTTGGGAGTAAAATGCTCTCTGCGCTTTTGTGGTTGCAAGAAACACAACCCTGAACATCCATGGTCCCTCTAGCCCCAGTGCAGAGCTCTGCACTGCTGCAGGGTGGTGAAAAACCCCACTGGGAAGCTCATCCTCATACCGACCCTTTCTCCTTTCTGCCCATCCATGCCTGGTGGTCCCCTAAGGCAGAGCTGAGATTTCCCTCTTTTCCCTCGTGGACCCTAGAGAAGAAGAGCAGAGCTCAGTTAGCGATGTCTAAGTACCCTCTAGAGATATCCCACAGCACCAGCTGGGGTTCTCCCCCCTAAAGCCCAACCTGGGCATCAGTAGCAGAAGACACTCAGAGCCCTCTGGATCTCAGATGCTTCCCAGATAGATCAGATATGATGGGTCACAGCCCTGGGCTTTGTCCCTTCTACCTTGGGCAACCACATAGCGTTTCCTGTGGTCCCTCCCTGCAGAAAGAATGGATGCTACAGGGGCAGAAGGCAGTTTTCCCTCTTACACTCTGTTTGTCCCAGCACTGATTTAAGAAACAGCCTCAGCAGGAGGAGAAGGCCTTGCAGATGGAGATAATCCCCTCCCACATTAGAAATGAGGGTAACCTCGCTGCTGCAGCTCAGACCCAGGGACTTTCTCTTTTAATATAGGGAGAAGAGCAGTAACAGTGTGGGTGTAGGAAGTAGCATCTCACAGTCCCTCTTTAATCAGCATCCAAACAAAAGCCATTTGTTATCTCATACACAGCTTTCTGAGCAAGCCATTTGTTATCTCATACACAGCTTTGTGAGCATGCAGTGCTTGTAGCTGCTAACGTAAAAACTTCCAGCCTTTTTAAAGATGCATGAGGGGATCTCACACTTTTGACTCCTTCCTCCTCTCTGTGATTCCTTTGATACATTTTTCATTGCAAGGTATGTATGCCCTGGGGAGCAAGGGGAAGAAGAACGATGTTGCTGCTATGGTCTGAAGCTGGATCTAGTCCACTTCTTGTTGTTCTGGAAGGGTCTTTCTACACCTACACCCTGTAGGGGAAGGCTTGGGGCAGTCCTTCCTATAATCAACCTGTGAAGCACTGGGTGGGATTCAGCTGTAGCTATAGGATGCCGGAGGCCCAGAGCATCCCCTGTGCGCTTGTACCATGGAGCAGATTGCTCTAGGTCAAGCCTTCATTTGATGGTGCCTCAGGACACAATACAGATGTTCAGCTTGACCACCAGTGCAACTTGCTGCACCACCTGCATTTTCCCTTCCTTAATCATTTCTTCCCTAAAACTTAAAAGCTGGTGTTGAGCATTTTGGTTTGTGACTCCAAAGAGCAGGGTAACAGCTTTCCCAGCATGTGATGCTCTTCTCCATATGGGGGAAAACCAGGTTTTCCCCCATACACAGCCTACATAGACACCTTTACACCACCCAAGTCCTGCAAGTGCCTTGAAGACAGGGAGACCTTTGAGACCCAGGAGAGCTGATCTGATGAGGTCAAAACTCATTCAAACTGGGTCTGAATGGTCCCAGCTTCAATCCTCAAAAGCCAAAGCAATTTTCATTGGTGTACCTCTACCAGCACAGTCCTGAGCTGTCAGATGCAGCTACACATCACCTAAATTCTCCATGTTATTGCATGTGCTTCTCACATGGTGAAGGATATTCGCTGGTGACTAGAGTTTGGAGTATCTGGCTGGAATAATTCAGCAGGGCATAACAGGAAAATCCTTCCAGAGTCTCTACCTCCTTCCCTTGTCTTCAAAGCACCATCTAATTCCCATTCAGAATGGGAAAACTCAAGTATTTTACAAACCATACACATATTTCTATAGGGATACATCACTCGAGGGTGAAACATGGGACGACAGATACCTACCAGACTCAGAGGGTGGCAGGAGTTAAACCAGGGCCATCCCTCACACTATGGATAGCAGCTGGTCTTTCAGGTAGTTACTCAAGTCCAGCTTTTCTTTTGTTCTCAATTCTTTCATGTTATTTATGTATTCTCTTGTCCAAGCCTGAAGCTCAGCACAGACCAGAAGGGTATTTTCATTTCCAGTCCTCTTTCACTTGACGAGCCCTTCATTACTTAATGGATGCTATCTAAGGGCGGGTGTTTAGCATTAATCTCTATCATCGTCCCCTCTGCATTGTGCTGGCAGCAGCAGGACACTCTTCATTACCATAGGATCTGGGGGCAGAGTGTTCCTGCTCATCAACAGCATTAACGTGTTTTGTTTCAAAGTCTTTTTGTCACATTTAAAAGGTGCACAGCATGTCTTGCATGCAAAAACACTCATTAAGGGTGGCCCGCAAACAGGGTCTGAAAGCCACCAGCTCCTTCCAAAGCCTTGGCATCCTGATCCCACATAATTAACAACGGGAAAGGTGCACTTAATGCCCAGCTAACTTGAAATTATCAGCCTTCCTTTCTTGACTGAGAGGTCACATCTTACACTGCAGAGAGGCAAAGAAGAGAGGAAAGGAAAAAGAAATGAATCTCCGGTGATAAATGCACCAAGAGATGAAATAACTTGGCCAAGATCCCACAGAAATACAACAGACTTTGCAGCCACCTCTATGTGGGACACATCAGCTTGTAAGGGCAGGGGTGATGTATGTGCACATGGTGACGTGGGGGCACATCTGGGATGCTGTGTCGCATGGGGATGTAAGGCGCCGATCTCACCATGGTTCAGGGCATGCTCACCTGTGGCCCTGGCTCACCCTGTGGCCCTTGAGGCCCATCTGGTCCAGGGACTCCAGTCTTCCCAGGCCATCCCATTTGTCCTTTGAAGCCTCCCAAGCCAGGAACTCCTTTGGTCCCCTGAGGATCACCAATAGAGCAGTTCAAGCACAGCTGGTTATAGAGACAGGCCAGCCAAGTATTACCCAAATACTCCCGTGGCACTGGCAATAAGAGGAGACCACTTGTATCCTACTTTCTCTCTTATTGTTGTGCTATTAACAGGGCACCAGTTGTATGGTAGAGATCACTTCAGCTTTGCTCTTCACCTTTACTTGTCCAGAAGGCATCTCATTGCTTGGGAAGACATGGGCACCCTCTCTCTGAGATGATGCTTAATGATACCTAATGCCCAAATCTCCCTGCACGTGTAAGCAGAATCCTCTAGTCTGCAACCCTGGGAAAAACAACGACTCCCAAGGAGGAGAACGGAAGTTACCATGAGCTGGCCTATGAATTTCCCAATCACCTGCACCACTGAATGGTACGGATGTGTAGGAATGGAAAAGGCTCCCATTAACCACAGCAGAAGGAAAGCCCTCCGGTTAACCCAACACCCAACCTGCAGCAGTGGCTGAAAGCAGATGTTTGTGGGAGAGGAGAGGAAGGGAGTGAGATTAACCAGGAAATGACTTCCCAGCCTCCAACCATTCATAGCTCAGAGACTCAGTGAGCTAGAAGGGTTGCCTGACAACAGAAGAACCCTTAGTGTTCACAGATGACTATTGCGGAGTGATGACCAGAAGCGTTGTTATCAATAAAAGCAATAAATTCTTTAAGATCCCAAATCAGATGGACACCAGATGGTGGAGCTGAATGAGACAAGGGCCTGAGGGGCTGGAAAATGCCAGAACACTTGATGGAGGCTGCTGGGATTAATGTCTAGTTTTCTTTTTTAACTGAAACCCTATTTTTTCCCTCCATGGAAAGGCACAAATTTTAGACTTGATCTTTTAGGGAAGAAAATGGAAAATGAAGCAATGCAGAGAAAGAAGATTGGAGGAGGATGATCATGGTGGGGATTCCTCATGCAGTTGAGAGCAGAGCCCAGGAATAGGTCAGCTTGGAGACCTTTCCCACTACTGTGTCCATGTGTCCAGCATTATCCAGCTTTTCTGCCCCACAGCATCCCAGGCACCCTTTACCCTGGGCATGGTGGTGTTGAGTGAACTCCAACAACTAATCCCAAAAAGGGTTTGGATGGTTTTCCTCACATTAAGCAGGCTTCCTCCTGGGGTTTCATACATGGGCAGAAGGTGAGTTTAAGGAAACCTCCCCTCTCCTGCCCTTTCCACCTGCAGTTCCAGCCTTAATCATTGAGTCACAGAATAGTTTGGGTTGGAAGGGACCTTTAATGCTCCAGCCAGTTGACATTTGACCACTGGAAAGGGTACCTATGATGCAGAAAGTGTATAACGTTGTTAACTCCACCTGATGGATGTCAGATTTATCCTTCTATAAATGGCAGCTTGATGCAGCCTGGTGAGCACTGACCTTTTCTCCTTTCTCTCCAGGAATCCCTGAGGCACCATCATCCCCTGATGCTCCCTGTTCACCCTGGAACGAGCCAAGATAAAATCATGGCCAATGTGGACTTGGCAAGGTTGCAAATTGCTGCATGAACCAGCTTTTCTTCAGATTACACTATTATGTACTGGGTCTCTGAGCCTGTGCATTGGTGGTACCCAAGGAAACAAGGAAATCACATTAAGAAGCTCCATTAGGCGGCATATGCAGTGATGCTTGTGGAGCATCAGGGATGGGGTGGATGAACACGGTTGAGTCTTGCAGAGGTGAGTGAAGGGGTCCCTACTTCAGTATCCAAGCATCTTCACCCAGAACCATGTTGGCTTATAGGAACAGATCTAGAATAACCCCATTTATGCCCTTTGCAAGGTATTAGCACGTTGCAGAGGTGGATTTGCAGCATTTGCAAAGCTTTTTGAAACCTCTTGTAGGAGATGCCTAATTTAGATACCTTTGGTCCATGCAGTCCATCTGATCCTGGGATCCCTGGTTTTCCAGGACTGCCAGGTTCTCCCTGCGGATGAAACAGCAAAGAATGTGCTGTAAGCACAAACAACTCCTCCAACATTGGGAAAACTGGCTGCAAAAAGCCAAGGTTAAGTGCTACTTGAGGGGGAACAGGATGACACTGCTGGTAACAGAAACCTAAATATAGGCAAAGCCTTACTTCAGACCAGTATAAATGGTAGACTGTCCCAACTCTAAGCCCACCTACATGAAAGTAGGTGGGAAACCCACTGAACAGTGCTTCATTTACCCAATAGGCCAATGAAGGCAAATAGTAATAACAGCAACAATAATAACACCACCACATCCCGTCAGCTCAGCTGTTAACAGCTCCCTTAGCTCTTATCAAGCTTTCCAAAGCCCTTCATGAAAGGACCATTATCCCTGTTTATAGAGGAAGGTCTAATGATGCTGACAGCCAGAGTGATGTGCCCAGCACTGATTGCAAACTGAGTCCAGGCAGTTGCTAAGCCACAGGGCAGGAGGGGATTTGGGCAAGGTCTGGGGTTTTTTAGTCCAGATTATCATTAAGTTCCCTTCAAGCCTTAAAACCTCTCCATCCACTGCTGCCTGCTCCGCATGGCCGTATCCCACCAAGTGGGACTTGGGCCAGAGTGAGGGTGGCTTCTTCATGCACAATGCTATCCTGGGATGAGTGGGAAACACTGCTGGAAGTGGGGCAGCCAAAGCAGGATGGAAAGCTGGGCTTAGCTCACCTTAATGCCTTTGGTTCCGGGAGCTCCGGTGCGTCCTGGAAGCCCTCGTAAGCCCTGAGGATAAAGCAGATCATAGGTGGTGACATTCAGTCAAGGTGAGGGAAGGAGTGAGGGACTCCATGTGTACACAGGATTAACTCCAATGTAGTTGCTACTATGGTCTGAAGTAGCAGACCACTTGTTGTTCTGAAGGGTCTTTCTACACCTGCACCCCACAGGGAAGGCTTGGGGCAGTCCTTCCTATAATCACCCTGTCAGTGGTGCACCACTGGGTGGGATTTAGCTGTAGTTATAGGATGCTGGATGAGGCTGAGGCCCAGAGCATCCCTGATGTGCTTGCACAATGGAGCAGGTTGCTCTAGGTCAAGCTGCAAGCTGTTCCTTTGCTCAAAGCATCCTTCTTCATCAGCCTCACTGCAGCTTGGAGCTTGAGCTCTCTTCCCTGCTTGCCCAAACCTCTGCTTCACAGGATCATGGGATGGTTGATGTTGGAAGGAAGCTCTGAAGGACATCTTAGGCTCATAGAATGGTTTGGGCTGGAAAGGACCTTAAGATCACTCAGTTCCACCCCCCTGCCATGGGCAGGAATACCTCACACTATCTTGTCCAACCCTCCTGCTCAAGCAGAGCCATCTAAAGCTGGTTGATGAGGACCATGCTCAGACAGCTTTTGATTATCTCCAGGGATGGAGAACTTACAGGATCTCACCCATCTCCTACCTTTGCTCCTTTCTGTCCCATGTCACCAGTGGTCCCAGCATCACCTTTTCCTCCCTGCATAAGAAAAGAAGACAAACGTCCCATGCACAGCCTGAAAGGTAAAGGATACGGCCCTGGTGATAGCATCACATTGCACTTATACTGGGCTTTTAATCACCAGAAGCAACTTGAAAATCAGCAGATGACGTTAGTAATGCAACCAGCTCTGTGGTGGGACGGGGAATGACCTTGCAGAAGATGGATGACTGCGACAGTGCTGCTAGTGAAGTGGGACAAGTGCTGTGATGAGTCTCCACTGGGTCTGTAGCTTACAATGGGCAACATTTAGACAATGACCCTTGAGGATCTTTGTGTTGGAGTGGCTGCTACTGAGGCTTGGAAGCTAATTAATGGAGTGGCTCCAATCACAAGGACCTGCACTATGGAGGTGCTAAGATGGTCTCACTCAGCAGTTCTGTGGGTCACTGCCTGTGGAAATACAGGCTGCCACTCAAAGCCTGGATCCTTCAGGCACTACCTGAATGATCTAGAGGATGCTCATTACTTTCAGTGAGGTCTTTCCTTCCTGCTCCCTCCCAAAATCTTCTACTGTTTTCTTCTCTCTCATGGGAAAACAAAGGAGAAAAACACCAGCAGATTTCAGCTTGTTTCCAGAGAGTGAAGGCATGTTCCCACCAGGAATCCCTTTGGAGATGTGTTTTCAGGGGGCTAAGTCCCATCCATGTGCAGGAACTTATGTGGGGACAAGGGAGGCCTTCTGTCATGAGAGACAGCCAGCTCTTCCATGAGGGCTTTAGCAAATGATTGCTTTGTTAACTGCTCCCTGCACCAAGCAGGTCAGCATCGAGGAGAACTGGACCTGGTACATGAAGGAACTTGAAATTTAGGCCTTGGTAAGTAACAAAGGAAAACTCATGCTGGAAAACATAGGAAAACTTAAAAGTCTCTTGTTAGAGACATGGATTCTCTGTTGGCATCCAGAGAATGGTTCCCCCTAAACATCAGGCCAGGATGTGCACTACAGACTTCTTCAGGATGTTTAGGGAGTGATTTCATCTCTGCTTTGAAAAGACCCTGAGCAAGAGCTTGACTGCAGTATTGAGGCACGCAGGGTATGGAAGGAGAAATGAACTTGGATACAAGAAAGGCACAGAGCCTCTTTCCACATCCCAAATGAACCACGTCCCTCCCTGCTACTCACCGGCTTCCCCTTCTCCCCCTGAAGACCTCTGTCACCTTTGGCTCCCTTGTGTCCGTTCTGCCCATTGAGACCTGCTGCACCCTGCCAGAAAGAGGAGAGAAATGCATTCTGTGTCAGCTCTTGCAGGGAAGGTGGCTGAGGACAGTCATCAGGATGGAGACTCAATAGCCTGGGTTGCATGTTCCTGCAGTCAGAGGTCAGAAACTACCTTAATACCTTAATACTAACACTTAATACATTAATACCAAGACCTGAGGCTGGGATTTAGCACCCATTCCTCGTAAGCTTGTAAGCCACTAGCAAATGCAACCTGTGAATTGATATAATTACAGCTTGGGAAATAGAGGCATGTAGCAGCTACAGAGTAGTCCTGGGCCAAGAGGATTTAGGTGGTGATGGCTTTGAACGCGAGGCAAGCAACACTGGGTGGTGAAATCTGGTTTGGTGAATGAGGGACCCAAGCATGATGTTGCTCACAGCTGCAGTTGAGAGATCTCCCATCTGGAGAGTTGAGAGTCCAAAGAGAGATCTTCACCCAGCCCAGACATTGGAGCCACATCCAGCACTGGGGCCTCTTTGCAAGGGGCCTCCTACTGCTTTGGTAGCAAACTGAAAGCTACTGGAAATGCCCTTTTTGTTTCTGCAAGGTTCCCACAGTTTACTCATCCATTCTGGCCAATTTTGATGGTAGTTTTCAGAGCCTGGATGCGAGATGAAATTGGATTTATCCCCACTTAAGACACTGATTGCACAGGGCTGTGCTAATTCAGAGAATGAATTGGCTGTTTAAGCAGATAGGGAGATGAACAAGTGACGTTCTCCACTTGGGATTCATTTGCAGCTGGTGGTTGAAAGGAAACACATTTATTACCCCAAAATATAGTAAAAAAATCAGCCACCAGATTTGTGCACCAAATTACTCCTCCTTTTAGTGACAAATGGACACTTCAAACACAACCACAGTGACAAGCAAACATCCCAGAGACCCTGGGTGGGATGGTGCTGTACCAGACCACAAGGACAGATCCATCACCTTCTCATTCCCAGGTATAAAAGTCCATGTTCTTCAAGCTCTGCCTACACTATCAGGCATAAACATCTTGTGTAAGCTCTTTATTTACTGGTAACTATTTATTCACATGATCAATATATTGTTCCATCTGAGGAAGTAAATGGACCATAAAACCCCAGCTAACCAGAGCTTCTCTGTTTGCTAGGAAGGTAATAAACCTTTTGGTTTGATGGTTAAACCTCACCAGCCCAAGATACCTTCAAGTGCCTCATGGTTTTGAGATAGCTGTGAACTGGGTACAGATCCACCTGGCCAGGGATTTATACACCTGTATTCAAGGGGATGGGCTAAAAAGCTTATTCTTGAGCACTGCTTGATCCTGAAGGAACCTGACACTAAATAGAGAGTTCCAAATTTGCTTTAGTATTTCTCTAGGTTATCCCCAGTGTCTTGTGGAGAGGGAAAACAAGGAAAGGAAAGACATTTCCTTGTTTTCCTGTGCTTACTGTGAAAAGGTCTCTCCTTTCCTTGTTTTCCTGTGCTTCTTTACCTGCATGTGTCCAACTCTTTCTGTCTGCCTTAGATCATGAGAGGCTTCTTGCCTGCTCTTGACGTGAGAGGGGCTCAAATGGCTTTCGGAAGAGTTAAGCTCACAATATGTGCTGGTAGGCTGAAAGGCAGCTGGGTCTACGCCATACCTATTTGGTCCAGTAATCATAAGCAAGTTTTTGACCTGGGTCTTCTCTTGCTGTAGGTGGACTCCTACTCATCATGGGCTGAAAAGACTTTGTCATATGGACTAGAAGGTTTATAATAAGGCTTGGACATGACAGCAGGTCTGTCCCTGCTTCATCTTGGGGGGGAAGCAGGTCAGAGGGGTGATGCTTTTCAAGACCATCTGCACCAAGGAGAAGAAAAAGATGGAATAGGAGGAAAAAAAAAACAACAAAACAAACAGAGGAAGAGGAAAACATTTGAGACCAAGCAAGGGAAAGAAGCTGAATGAAGATTTGTTCCCTCCGATTTACATCCCATGTTCTGCTGGGCAATAAAGCTCGTCAAACGGTAGTTTAAAGGCAATTACTGGAGTACTGGAAATGGCTCTTGCTGTTTGGTTCTGTTATTAAAGTGTTGCTTGGAACAGACTTCATTTAACTGCAGAGGCACCAGGTACCACGAAGGCAGAGCAACGCAGAGGCTTAGTCATAAGTGTTGAGCGTTGCCTGTTGACGCAAAGACGTCTTGGAGCAGCCGAGGATCAATGCTTCCAGGCACAAATTCCTGCGAAGCTTTGGGCTGGAGCCAGGGAGGAGCCTGCCTGGTCTGCAGGCTCCTCGCTTCCACTCAGAGGAACAAGCTGGGGAATTAGCTGGGACACCCTGGGAAAGGGGGAAACTCATCAGCAGAAACATCGCCTCCAGGCATGCCCTGAAAGGATCGATCTGATTGAAGATGCACATCAAAGGACTGATGCATTCCCAAACCCTGGTGTAGGCTGCAACCTCTGCTTAAAGGTTTCCCACCTCCTGGGCTTCCGTGCTCAATATTTGATGGAATGATGCATATGAATTAGCTGGGAGTCTCAACCTCAGAGTTTCATCTGTGTTTTTATCCTTCCCTGCTGTGTCTTTTGTCTAGACTGTCCTGTTCACAATTATCTGACACAGTTCTGAGCATCATCCCCCCAGAATCCTTTCCTGATGTCACTGGCCCTCATAGCCACAATGTGCATTCGTTCTCAGGCACTACATCTCAGAGATGGGTCAGCCTGATACCCTCCTGCAAAGACTCCAAGGTATCCTGGGCAGAGATTCCACAAGATCTGGCTGACAAACTTCCCTTTGGCCAGCCTGGGCTCATCAGAAGTGCTCAGAAAGCACCAGGATACCCTCCCAGGGCAAGATCTTCTTAGGACATGGCTTTTTCCACTCTGAGTGGCCAAATGCACCTCTTGTCAAGCCTGGGGCAGAACCCCACTCTGCACCTTCCTGTCTCGAAACAGCCCACTGCTCAGCAGGCAGGAGAACTGGGGTGCCATATGGATTCACCCAAGTTCCTGTGCAGACGAGGGAAATAGACCTTTCTTGTTGGTACCTTTCAGATTTGTCTATCCACCACTCTTACCTATATCAAGAGCTTATAGAATCACAGAATGGTTTCATCCATTTTCAATGGATTGCCCAGTTCCAACCCCCTGCCATGGGCTGGGATACCTCAAGGTCTTACACTCTTAATATCTATTGTGAAGTCATGGTTATAGCCATTCTCACACCTACCATAGGTTATAGGGCCTTGATTATCACTCAGTGTCAGACCCTTCAGAGTGGTGTCTGGTTTTCACTGTAGCAGCACCAGGCTGCTGGCCAGATACAGAGCCCAGCTCACAAGAGGAGGTGAAGATCATCTCTGAGCTTCAGCTTGTACACCTAATGAGGAGGACTGCAAACCAGGATGGGGAGGGCCAAGGAACACTGGTAATTGTAGACCCAGGAAACCCCAAATAGGGGGTAATGGCAAGAGAGGAGGACTAGGGTACTGCTTTAGGGAGAATAATAGGTTAATCTGCCTGTATATTAATCCACAAAGCATAGGAAATAAAGAAGAGGAGCTGGAAACATTAATATCTGATCAAGATGATGATTTAATAGGCATAACACAGATTGCAACATGAATATAAAAGGGTGAAGAGTGGCAGGAATGTCATTGTAAAATAGTGCAGCGCTTTTAGAAAGGAGGAAAAAGGAGAAGGAGGTGTCTTGAATATCAAGAATACACTCGTGTGCCTCGAAGTGCAGTTGTAAAGTCAACTAGATCTATTGTAATGGTTACAGGGAGAAGACACAAATGCTGTCAGCTTGGTTGGGAACTCCTATAGATCACCGAATCAAAAGAGTTACTGGATGAGACTTTCTACAAGCTGGTTAAATTACTCAGAGGGAATTCAACAGGACAGAAAGGGACCAGCAAATGTTTGCAGTGAGTTGGTGGCAATCTGTGGATACGAAAGAGGGAATTAGTGGGAGTCAAAGGAAAATGAGAGCTGCTACCCCATTACCTTTATGCCTTTGCACAGGACAGATTTGGTCTAGGTAGATTGGACCAAATAGTGTCTGTCTTCAAGAAAATGGGAGGACTTGGGGAATGATACATGAGACAGCCTAGATCTGCAGAATAACTTGGAGGAAAAATAATCCAAGTATTTAGAAGATAAAGTGAGACATATGTTTGTGAAGAACGAGTCACATCAGGATGTTGCATCCTAACACAGGTTTCTGAAATAGATGATGTGAATCGTGCACTAAGAGTACCCTAAAGCTGTCAATAAACCAAGCCTGAGCAGTGAACAGAGCAGACATCAGATGAGTTTCACCCAGGATGTCGTATATCACAGCTCTTCCAACAAGGCCCCAGCTCTGATCTGACTTCTGCAATTTTAGAAATGCAATGAAGGACCAAACCCAAGCTCTATTATCTCATCTAGCTTCAAGCGCAGCACAGACAGCATCAACCTACACCAGCAGCATCCCATAATATTTCCAAAAGAAAGATTACTTGGATTTCCTCAAATACTGGTTGACAAGATACCACTTTCTGGTAGTTAACTGTGTTACGTGTCAATGCCTGTGGGTGCTAGTAGAAAACAGCACATCATAGAATCAGTCCCAGACTGGTTTGTGTTGGAAGGGACCTTAAAGCTCCTCCAGCTCCAACCCCTGCCACAGACAGGGACACCTTCCACTAGAGCAGGTTGCTCCAAGCCCCGGTGTCCAACCTGGCCTTGAACACTGCCAGGGATGGGGCAGCCACAGCTTCTCTGGGCACCCTGTGCCAGCGCCTCAGCACCCTCACAGGGAAGAGCTTCTGCCTAAGAGCTCATCTCAGTCTCCCCTCTGGCAGCTTAAAGCCATTCCCCTGGTCCTATCACTAAATGTCCCTGGGTGGTGGATTCCCCCTGTGCTTCCTTTCCACTCAGCAACCTCAACAAACGCCTTTGCTCTGCTCCTGCACTACTACTGGTTGTCACCTATGGATTCAGATGTTCCCTACAGAGCAATTTCAGTGCAATGCCTACGTGCAGTGATGCCAGATGCTGAGGTCTTTACAGCACTCTGCAAAGTGCTGATTGCAATTAGGCAGGGGTTGAAATACTTAATGGAACGAGGGCTTTTTAATCAGTAACAATTGCCAGTCTGCATTATGGGCTTGTAAATAGTTACACAGCCATGAGCAGTAATCAGTGGGCAGCACTGAAGGGCTGTGGACTTTCACAGCAACAGATAGTTGCCAAGAATCCCCTACTCAAACGCAAAGACGCATAACTGGGGAGTAGAAAACACTGGTATTCCTTATTGCAACCAAACAATTGCATAGACTCCTATTTACATGGTCTGGGAAAAAGTCCCAGTCACTTTTTGGTGTTTCCTCTCCTCCTATTCCTTCCTTTCCCAAACAAAAAGAAACCAGGGAGGGGGGGACTTCACTTTGGACAAGCTTGGAAACCATTTGTTCACTTCCAGGTGAAATGGGGAAGTTCAAAGGCCATGTGAACACTTGTGAAACCCAAAATTGCTTTGCTTTTTGTTTTCCCAACTGACATACTTCATGAAATAAGGTGAACTCAGAGATTATCCAGATCCTCCAACATAACTGTTCCCTCTGGCCAGCAACATGCACCCACTGAGAACAGCCACTTCTAATCCAGTCTCTTAAGAACATACACATTTCTCATGGGGTATACAGCCTATAGTAGCAATTCTCAAGCTATCTGAACATGAAACATCATGTTTTCATATCTGGCAATGCCCCTAATACACTAAAGGCATTACAAATAGTAAATAAACACATATTTCATGCATTCCTTAATGCAAAATGCAACACCTATTAAAGCATACCTCTGACTGTGGCACCCCATGCCCATGGCTGGTTTGCCACCAAAGCCTCTTTGAAGGTGGGCTTTGTGGAGCAGCACCAAGCCAGCATCACCGCATCCCACCCTGTGACCCACACATACGGTGGTGTGGAGAAGACCAGCAATGAAAAGGCAGAGAGAGAAACATGCTCCAACTCACAGCAGAGCCTGGCAAGCCTGGTTCTCCTGGCTCCCCCTGGAAGGAAAGTGGAGATGAGTTACCATGGCAAAGAGCTGCATTTCCTCTGGAAACGGGGACTGCTGTGGGAGATACCTACAGCTGTGAAAGAGGGGCAAGGGGACCTTTGGGGAGCCCTCTGCAGCAGCAATTGAAGGAGGGGACAAGTAGAATAACCCAAACATCTCTGGGCAACTGAACGGAGCCCTACATCTCCGTTGGCTATAACTGGGGCTTGGACAGCAGTTCTCACCTCACACCTGGATATTGACATTTCATTGGGTCATTATGACCATTGTAGCCCAGGAAAGCTGCCAGAGCACGCTGCTGCCTTACAGAATGGGAGATATCTCTCGGGCTGTCCTGGAAAAGGGCAGCTGCTTCTGCTCTCTGGTAGCCCCGTAACACTTGGAGAGGGAATGCAGATGTATATTCTGCAATAAAACGGTGGTGGGATCTTACCCATCAGTTCGTGTGTGATTTTACACACCAGTTATTGGGGGATACCTTAGCACTGCACTCACCTTCTGTCCCACTGGTCCTCTTGCTCCAAAAAGCCCCATCACTCCCTTGGAGCCAGCTTCACCCTTGCCTCCCTAAATATAAAATCCTTGTCAAATACATATTGAATACACTTGTTTCCCCTCAAGAGAAGCCAGAAGAAGAACCCATGAAGATGACAGAGAGGATGAAATAAAAGCATTGTTTCTATAGCAGATTTCAGCCCTGGGGAGCCCAAGGGTCTGCATGGCAGCCACTGCTGGGGAAGGAAGCTACCAGCTTGGCAGAAACCTCAGTGAATTGTCCTGTAAGAAAGCTGGAGCCCAGAAATGGGCATGGAAGGAAAACAAGCAGAAAAGGGCCTTAATGCCTCTGGGTGAGCTGCCTCCCTGAAAACACTCGGGTACAAGACCCTGCTGGACTTACTGGTGGTGGAGATATTACTCTGGGGCTCTGTCAAAGTCACTCAGGTATTTGGCTGAGAGATGTTCTTGCTTTAAGAGATAGAATCATAGAGTCATAGAATGGTTTGGGTTGGAACAGATCTTGCAGCTTATCCAGTTCCAGCCCCCTGCCACAGGCAGGGACACCTTCCACTAGAGCAGCTTGCTCCAAGCCCCTGTGTCCAACCTGGCCTTGAACACTGCCAGGGATGGGGCAGCCACAGCTTCTCTGGGCATCCTGTGCCAGCGCCTCAGCACCCTCACAGGGAAGAGCTTCTGCCTTATCTCCAGCCTGAACTTCCCCTGTTTCACTTTGAACCCACCACCCCTTTTCCTATCACTCCAGTCCCTGATGAAGAGCCCCTCTCCAGCATCCCTGTAGCCCCCTTCAGACACTGGAAGCTGCTCTGAGGTCTCCACGCAGCTTCTCTTCTCCAGGCTCAACAGCCCCAGTGTCCTTAGATGATCATGTAGTATTTTCTTATTAGAAAGCAAACTGACAGATACCATGCATGGGCTTTCATCTGACTTAAAAAAAACCAAGTACAACCCCCCCCATGGGAACATCTCTATGGGTTTCCTTTATGGTAGCTGGGGACCTGACCAGTGCAATCAGTCAAGGCAAGAACACAAGCTGCCTTTTCACACGGGAGATGCCCACACTGGGTCACACAATTCCCACCCAGATCTACACTGATTGTACAGGTCCCCATGGGAAATAGAATCACAGAATCAGCCGGGTTGGAAAAACCCTTTAAGCTCATCCAGTCCAACCTTACCCCAGCCCTGCCAAGGCCACCACTAACCCATGGCACTGAGGCCTCATCTCCACGCTGTGTGAACACTTGCGGGGACGGTGACTGCAGCCCTGCCCTGGGCAGCCTGTTCCAATGCCTGAGCACCCTCTGGGGCAGGAATTGTTCCTCAGCTCCATCTAAACCTGCCCTGCTGCAGCTTGAGGCCGTTTCCTCTTGTCCCATCCCTTGTTCCTTGGGAGCAGAGCCCAGCCCCTCCTGGCTCCATCCTCCTCTCAGGCAGTTGGAGGGAGCCATCAGGTCCCCCCTGAGCCTTCTCTTCTCCACACTGAACCCCCCAGGTCCCTCAGCCCTTCCCCATCACACTTGTGCTCCAGGTCCTCCAGGAGCTGGATGTCCAGCTCAGACAGGGATGCTGCTGTTGTAGATACTTGTATTTTATTCAGCAGAGCCCCCATCCTGGGTCAGGCTTCTGGAGCAAAAAGCATTAACATAATATGAAAATAGGTATGATTAGTACATGGAGATTTAATCCGTGACTCAGTCTGAGAGTGGGAGAGTTACGCGATTCCTCCCAGCATCATGGTGATGGGTTGAGACCTCAAAGAGCAAAAGCAGATGGAGGAGCGGCAACCTGCTCTGCCACTACCCATGGGACAGCTCTGTGCGAAGAAGAGGAACAGAGGAGCCAACCAAGCCTTAATGCCACCAGAGCTGCAGGGTTTGAAGCAGCACAGCCAGCTTGTGGAGGGAGAAGGAGATGTGGGTTCTTACAGTGCTGCAGTAATTGAATGGTCACCACATCTGTACTGCAGATGTGGTCCCAAAACTTGTCACTTGTTAAACCAGATGTGTATCACATTCCCAAGCTCCAGCCCAGCATCCTCCTCTCCCTTTCTTTGGTAAGGGATTGTGAGTGTGCCCTTGCACTGTGTTTTACAGCAGGCACAAGGGAAGGGAGGATGCAGAGCTATCCCACCACCAGTGACCTTTTGCTGTGTCTCTCAGTTGCATTGGGAGGTTCATACCTTTTCTCCTACAGGCCCATCTTCTCCCTTCTCTCCTTTGTCTCCATCAAAACCTGGCAGGCCCTGTTCCCCCTGAAAGGTAAGACAGGGATTAGTCTGTGTTAGAAGCAGCACTCAAGTTCTACTTCTCAGTGCTTATCTGAAGCTGTGCTTGATGCTGATGCCAACAGTGGGGAAGGTACAACTTAAACAGTCAATAAAAGTCAAACTTACAGGATCTCCTTTACTGCCTTTATAGCCCTGGGGTCCAAAAATAGTCATGGGCTCACCCTAGAGAAAGAAGACACAGGGAGATGTAGACACCCGGTGATGCATCAACTCATGGGTCCCTCTAGATGGAACTGCCTTTGCTATGATGGGCAAAATGGTCATTAACACATCTGGAATGGGTGAGCACTTCCTAAACTATGGTCCCTATGCTGGGAAAGGCACGTGTGCTCCACAGCTGTCCTTAACTAAAAGCTGGATGATGAATGTGCACAGAAAACAAGTCCTGAGGTTTGACAGTGACCTCTTGCTCCAAAGACTGTTGGGGTCCGGTGGCATTACCTCAGTCTAAATGTCATGGCTGGAAATGGAGCTGTGCATGGCATGACCCTGAGGTCCAGTTCCTGATCTGAGGCTGTCAGTGGTGGATTGATTCGTATCTGACATGGTGGCTTGGCTTTGTTGTCACTGTGGGTCACTCAGGATGTCATCGCCTCCCAGGTGTGGGAGCTGGCCATAGGCAGGATGGTGAGGGGGTCTACTCATGGTGTCCTCATTTATAGATACGTAGCTGGAGCTAAGGAACAGGACTGGCACTTAGGGTACTCCTCAGAGGTACGTTTTGGAGGGTCAGACCCCCAAACTGTCATCCAGTAGCTACAGGCACACAGTAACCCCATGGACACATCATTGACAAGTCTATTTATCAGCCCAGCAGCTGAGGAGGGACATTTTGCTCCTCAGAGAGTGAAGACAAGGCTACTCCTATGCAAGAAATGGTTGTGTCTCCAAAGTGGTGATGCTGTCTATAGTACAGAGGGAAAAGGGCTGAAGCCACCTTCTGATGGGCAACCGTAGCCCATTTGGCTCCCTTCACACCGGTTCTCTTCAGTGTTGCAAACATCCCCATTCAGGGTGACAGTGCCTTGCTGCTGGTGTCTTAACAACCACAAAACAACCAATATTCCCCAGACTTAGACAACCTCTTGCAGTTTATCCAACCATCACCATAGGATCCTGACTAAATTCTGGCTTAATATACCCTCCTGTCTCCCTGCTCAGGAGGGTCTTTCAGGACACAGGAATGGGTTCAATGTATTTGGAGAACAAAAAGGAGAATAAAGACCCTGTAGCTTAACCCAGTACACAGCACAGGGCCTGGATTTCACAGTTACTCCTGTATTCATCAAGGGAGAAGCAGAAAGAAAGTTAAGCTGCAATCATGTGAACAAACCCAAGCCAGTTATCCCCCCCCCCCCCTTTTCTGTTCTATCTTGTACTTCCACCTTATCTTTTATTAACCATTCTTTGAAAACTGCATTAAACATTCCTGCAGCTTGCAAAGTGTTTTGGGGCATCTTCATGAAGCAGATTAAGAATTGATTCATCTCTAGAGCAAGTCCCCGTTTGCAAGTAACTTCCTCGGAGACAAATGGGCCTTAATCATTTCATACAGCATGACTCAAAGGCAGAATCGTCATGTAGGGTTTCTAAACCTCATTTTCTAACAAGGCATTGCAGCCAGGAAGGAAGTTAACAAAACACTGGGCAGGAGTTCAGCGGTTTCTCTGCATTATCCAGAAGTGCTCTGGGAGTTATTTCCACATTACCTGCTATGAGCCAGCTCAGGCTGTTTAAGATCGCTGGATGCTTTGGGTGAGCTGCTTATACCAGAATCAGTGGCAATTTTCTTTCTCCATTAATTCACAGGAAACCTTTTTGTGTCCCAGCAAATAGCGGCCAAAATTACTTTATTTTTTTCTTGGGTTTTTTTGTAGGATCCCATCAAAACTCAAGCTCAATCCAGAGCGTTCAGTGCAAGGATGGGATTAATGAAGCGGGTTGAAACTGGTGGAGACTTGAAAAGGAGTGGGGCATCTATGTGTTGTCTTCTGCTACCTACATGGGTGTACAATGTAGAGAGGATGGAACATAGAATCATGCAATGGTTTGTGTTGGAAAGGACCTCAAAGCTCCGCCAGTTCCAACCCCCGCCACGGGCAGGGACACCTTCCACTAGAGCAGCTCGCTCCAAGCCCCTGTGTCCAACCTGGCCTTGAACACTGCCAGGGATGGGGCAGCCACAGCTTCTCTGGGCACCCTGTGCCAGCGCCTCAGCACCCTCACAGGGAAGAGCTTCTGCCTTATCTCCAGCCTGAACTTCCCCCGTTTCAGTTTGAACCCATCACCCCTTGTCCTATCACTCCAGTCCCGGATGAAGAGTCCCTCTCTGGCATCCTTGTAGCCCCCTTCAGACACTGGAAGCTGCTCTGAGGTCTCCACACAGCTTCTCTTCTCCAGGCTCTTCTTGGAGGAACACAGTGAAAGGACAAGTTGCAACAAGGGAAAATCCTAATAGAAGGAAAATCATCTTCACACTAGAGCTGGCCAGATGCCTGAGAAGGGGCACACAGAAGAACACGAGTCCCTGAGCCTCAAATCCTGAGGATATCATTGGCAATGACATCTTGACCCAGGCACATGGATGGTACTGCACACAACTCCATGGATTGAAAGCGAAAATCAGTAGAAACAAGTAGAAATAAGTAGAAAGTCCTCTTCAATGAAGGGCATTTCACCTCATCATCTGGGAACCTTGCTCAGTGCTCTGCGCTTGTATGTATGTATGTATGTAATGATATGAATACTTATAAAACCATTAAGACCTCAGATATCCATCCCTGGCAGTGTTCAAGGCCAGGTTGGACACAGGGGCTTGGAGCAAGCTGCTCTAGTGGAAGGTGTCCCTGCCTGTGGCAGGGGGTTGGAACTGGAGGAGCTTTAAGGTCCCTTCCAACCCAAACCAGTCCATGATTCTATGATATTTGAAAGCAGATATAAATATTATTTACTACTTACATCTTTACCTTCTATGATGTCTGACTCATTAAAATTACTGCTCACTGTCCACCTCATCACTGGTAACTATAAAATCCTGAATGAAAACCTTTTACCCCATCTGTCCCAGAAAGTCACAACCTGGAATGCTCTTACTCTTTCTCCCTTGGGTCCCAGAAGTCCCCGATCACCCTGCACCCAGGAAAGAAAAGAAGACAGTGAGTGATTCCCTTTACCACACCTTTATGCCTTAACACAACTCTTCTTGTGTTGCTCAGTCCACTGATTCACACTCCAAGCCACTAAGCTCTATCTATGCTGGAAGACAGCTCCTCTGGGCACTCCACATCCATACAACTAGAATTTGTTGCATTGGCAACAAATAAAGACCCAGAAAACTGAAGTGATTTGCCTGAATTTACGCTCAACACAGCCCCAATGTGGAGCTGTTGCTGGATTTCAACCTCCCAATGGGATGTAGCACTTCCATGCTGCAGGCATGTTCATGCACTGCATCTAGGGTGGGATGGCATCCTATATAATACAGGATTTCCCACATTTCAACCTCAAATGTGGCAAGCTTTACCGTAAGTGCATGGAATAGGAGCTGTTCCTGGAAGTTTTTTACAATCCCTTACATTTGGGATGCAGTTCTCAGTACTGCACTTTCCATGGGTTGCAAGTGGGATGCAGCAGGAGACCAAGGAGACTCCCGCTCATCGGTGAGAATGAAAGGTTATGTGCTGCCTGTTGGGCACTTCTTGTCCTCTCTAGCCCTCTTCCCCTAAGCCTTTACATTTTGGGATTGACCAGATTATACCTGGGGTCACCTTCTGCCCCAAATCCCAAATTTCCATCCAAAACTACCTAGGCATGCATAAAGACAGCATGTGTCTCATTTCAGCCCAGCCATTATAGGGGGTTGCTAATGTCTCTACACACTGATTGAGGTCCCCTCCCAGTCCACTCCATAAAATGCCTGGATTATCCCCACTGGTTTAACAGGGGCATCATCAGTGTGTGCTGCTGCAGATAAAGGCTTCCACAATGGTGCCTTCCTCCAAGGCACTGCGTAGATAAGATGATTGTTACTTACTCTTTCGCCTTTTGGACCCGGGAAGCCTTTCAGACCCTGCAGGAACATAAAACAACATGTGAAGATAAATGCTAGGATGGGGAAGGTGTTAGGAAAGAGCAGACAACACTCAAAGGCAGAGCTGCGCCGAGGATGGGCCCCACCATGAAGAAGCTACTGGTAGGATCAGCACAGGAGCCTCTACCCTCCTTAGGCTGTTTTCTCTATTGGAGTGAATCTGTTATTATGAACAGGATGGGCCTTTAGGAAATTCCTCACAAGACCAAGGGTGGTTCCAGTACCAGGTTTCACCCCAGGATCTCATCCCTGAAGGGCTGATTCTCATCTGGGGATCCCCATCACCTCCACCTGGAAGAGCCCTCTGGGAGCAACCCTTCCCTTACGGTGTCTGAGAGGTGGAAGCTGCCTCTGTTAATGTTAAGGGCATGAAAATCACAGTATGTGGCTTGCAAAAGCATAGAATCATGGAGTCATGGAGTGGTTTGGGTTGGAAAGGACCTTAAAGCTCATTCATTTCCATCCCCTGCCACGGGCAGGGACACCTTCCACTAGAGCAGCTTGCTCCAAGCCCCTGTCTCCAACCTGGCCTTGAACACTGCCAGGGATGGGGCAGCCACAGCTTCTCTGGGCACCCTGTGCCAGCGCCTCAGCACCCTCACAGGGAAGAGCTTCTGCCTCATCTCCAACCTGAACTTCCCTTGTTTCAGTTTGAACCCATCACCCCTTGTCCTATCACTCCAGTCCCTGATGAAGAGTCCCTCTCCAGCATCCTTGTAGCCCCCATCAGACACTGGAAGCTGCTCTGAGGTCTCCACACAGCTTCTCTTCTTCAGGCTGAACAGCCCCAATGTTCTCAGCCTGTCTCCATACAGGAGGTGCTCCAGCTCCTGATCATCCTCCTGGCCTCCTATGGACCTGCTCCAACAGCTCCATGTCCTTCTTATGTTGAGGACACCAGAAATCCCCCCTTTATTCTATTTTACCACTCACCATTATGCCAGGAGGACCCCGGATTCCCACAATGCCTTCATCACCCTGTTAGGATGGAGAAGGGTAGTGATGGATATCAGCAAAAAGAAATGCAACACACACAGTCTCAACTCTGCAAGCCATCCCACTGGGGACAACAGGAATTAAGCAGAAGCTGAGATCCTCAAAGGAGTTGTCCAATCTTCACTTGTATCTCCATCAGGATTAGGAGCCATAATGCTCCTACGGATCTGGATCAAAGAGCCTAAAGGGCTTGAGAACAGCCCCATGTCACTGCAGGTAGGCACTGCAGTGTTTAGAGAATAATGCTTGGGTCAGGTTGAAGCTTCAAGCTTCAGCTTCTCCTCAGCCCCTGAGAGAAACAGGCATTTGTGAGATAATCTGCATCTGATTTGGCATCACATAAATCACTCCAAAAAGGTGTCTCTTCCTTCTGTTGGTATAGAGAGGCCCTGGTAGGACCAGCTCAGAAGCTGTTTGAAGCTGGATGACCTGGTCTGTCCCTCCCCAGTTGTACTTACATCTGACAAAGGCAAGGGACAGAGCTGTGAGATGCCTCTGGGATACAGAGGCTTATCCCCCGCTATTAGAGAGCTCAGTAGCGTTTCTGCACATTAATATCTCCCTGTTGAACACAATCCCAGCAGGACTCACACAATGAATAAGGCAGCCAGGAATTCACCTGGAAACTCATTCCATTGACTTTCAGAAAGAAGAGGCCACCAGTCAACTGCTCAACAGCAACTAGTACCTTTGGAGACCAACGTGAGGCTCTTCTTCACGCCCAGATGTGGTTTCCAGATGCCAGACCTTGTCCTGAGCCTCCCTTTAAGTGTCCTGTTAGCTCCTTATAAACCTTGCTACGAGGTATAGTTGTGCTGGTGGGTCTACAAAGTCCTTTTATGACCTCCCAAGGTAAATGCTACAAGAGTTACATGTCTTTAAGATGCCTGAACTTTGTCACTGTCCTACGAGGCCCATTTAGATCTCATACAAAACCAATGCAGTTTGAGATTCTGTGATTCACTTTAGATTTACACTGGAGTCAGAAGAGCAGAAACATCGTTTCACCATTTCCTCCACGTAATGAAGCTTCACCCCAGACCTTTCACAGCTGGTGACATTCCCAGTAAGTGTTTTGCCTCAGGGGCCTCATTGAACACTTCCTCTGGCAGATGTGGAGTTTGTCTAAATGGATTGCAGCATAAAATGAGTTTATTTGTGCAACAGCCACAGAAGGAGCAACTTGAAACATGGCTTTTGATTACAGCTCAAGAGGGGCTTTGCCAGAAGGAGACCAAAACTTCTCAGCAGCATGAGGAAAAGGGAATGCTGCTGCTGCCCCAGTGATGGGAGCTGGTTTCCTTCTGCCAGGAGAACAGGAGGGAAGATGGGAATGAGGATAAAGAAGCTGGAGGCAGGTTTCTGAAGGGACAAGCTTGCAGGTAGCATCCCCAAAGCACACAAACCCAAGGTGGCTCCTCAACAAGTCACTGGGATTAAAACACACAGATATTAGGGTGCAGATATTGCCTTCAGCACTCCCATCTAGCCAGTGAGAGCACAGCCAACACAGTCAGAGGGGCGGGATTCACTTGGCCACGCAGTTGGCCAGTGTGACCTGCAGTGATTGAGGGTGTGGAGGAGATGCTAATTGCAATCTATGGACAGATTCTGGTCTGTGCCAGTTCAAGCTCCTGGTGGACCAGTGTCCATCACCTCCGAATCTGGCTGGTGAAAAATTGAGGGGTCTGAAATCAGCCCTTTAGGCTTCTTCTAAGATGGGGGAGTGGAAGTGATGCTATAAAGCTGCCTCCAAAAGAGGGTAGGCTGCAAGAAGCCAAGCCAGGAGCATTTATAGAGGGACCTACCTGAGGGCCAGGCAGTCCATGAGGTCCTCTTGGTCCAGCTGCTCCAAAGCCAACTTCTCCCTGCAGAACACAGAAGCCCAGAGGTCTCACTTGGAGAAAGGACACCACATCGCACGGTTGCTGATTAGTTTGGCCATGATTTAAGTCATAGAGTCACTTCCATTGACTTGCTGCTCTGGAAGATGCTCCATCAACCATTGGAAAGAAGGGCACGAGGCAGAAAGAAGGATGAAGTGGCTGGATGGGGTCAGGGATAAGGAGCCAGGGGAGGGCAGTGGGCTCTCCCATTTCCACCCTGGCAGACTGGCACTGACCTTGTTGCCTTTGGGTCCAGGTGTCCCAGGAATCCCCTGTAGGGCAAGAGAAACAAAACAGAAAGGGCTTTGCTTTGCAATTCTCAATGCTCTCCTGTCCTGGTGTCCCAAGAGGGTGAATGCACTCTCAGCCCAGTCCCAGGGCCTCAACTTCACCACCAGCCATCCCTCTGATGCTCAGAAGACACAGGGGCAAGGTACAGAAGTCACCTGCTTTCCTGGGGATCCTGATGGTCCCGGGGGTCCAGCAAGTCCATTCCGGCCTCTCTTCCCACGCTCCCCCTTGAAAACAAAACCCTTTAAGGAGAACACCCTGATGGGAAAGGTTCTGCTTTCCCCATCCACACAGAGAGCAGGAGCTGGTGCCCTCAGGTGTTCTGGAATAGCTTCATTGCATGGGCTTCTTATTGTTGAGGAGAGGGGACTCCAGCTACATGGAGACCTGAATTGCTGTCTACCACCCCACCTCCAGCTAAGTCTCCATGTCCCTGAAATAAGACTTACCCATTGCTTCCTCTGTTTCCAGGGACTAAAGACCCCAAAATGCCTTGCTGACAACTCCTGTGCTATCATCACCTCTTTCCTTCCCAGTCTCCTTTCCTTCCCAGTCTCCTTTCCTTTCCTTCCCAGTCTCCTTTCCTTCCCAGTCTCCTTCCCAGTCTCCTTCCCAGTCTCCTTCCCAGCCTCCTTCCCAGTCTCCTCTCCTTTCCTCTCCTTTCCTCTCCTTTCCTTTCCTTTCCTTTCCTTTCCTTTCCTTTCCTTTCCTTTCCTTTCCTTTCCTTTCCTTTCCTTTCCTTTCCTTTCCTTTCCTTTCCTTTCCTTTCCTTTCCTTTCCTTTCCTTTCCTTTCCTTTCCTTTCCTTTCCTTTCCTTTCCTTTCCTCTCCTCTCCTCTCCTCTCCTCTCCTTTCCTCTCCTTTCCCTTTTTTTCCCTTCAATTTTCCTTTTTCTTCCCTTCCCTTCCCTTCCCTTCCCTTCCCTTCCCTTCCCTTCCCTTCCCTTCCCTTCCCTTCCCTTCCCTTCCCTCTTGAAGGACATCCTTCTGCACCAAATCTCATCCTCTTTATTCCCTAACAACATCAGTTGGTCTAATCAATGTTGTTACCTCTCCTTCTGCAACCAGGCTTTGCTCCTGCTTCCCTGACTACATATAGGCTACACACAGACTACATATAGGCATATACAGGAGACCTGGATAAGTGGGAGCCTGACCCACAGTGCACACCCAGCACAGACAGTCAGGTTATCATTGCTCTCACCATAGGGTGGCTGACACAACACACGTTGTCCCCTCACCTCACCTCACCTACCTTCTGTCCTGGCATCCCGGGCAGACCTGGAGCCCCTCTGTTTCCCTGTGACCCTGGGATGCTGGGGTTGCCACGAATGCCCTGGATGCCTTGAGCTCCTGGGGATCCTGGGACCCCTGGCTCACCCTGTTGAATGGATCACAAAGATTTTGGGTCTTAGGTGGCATTAACTGCCCCCCTAAAGGTCCTGGAGAAAGCCAGGGGTGTCCCCTTGAATTCACATGACCACACACAAAACACCCGTACCAGGACACCCCTCTATCACTGGTCCATAAAAGAGGTCCTAGGGCTGGAGTCCTTGGGCTTGATGATCTTAAAGGTCTTTTCCAACCTAATTGATTCTATGAAAGGGCTGTACCATGACTTCCTAAGCAGAGAGCCCCTACCTGCAGACCTTCAGAGCTCTCCAGTGAGTTCAAGCCCTGCAGACCTGCAGCATCCCAAGGGATCACAGGAACATGTATCTGCTGAGACTGCAATTCCCTGGATTTTTCACAGCCTTATTTCACAGCCTCATCTAGTTGAAGATGTTCTTGCTCACTGCAGGGGGGGTGGAACTGGATGACCTTTAAAGGTCCCTTCCAACCCAAAACACTCTATGATCCTATAATGTTTATCCTATGGAGCTCACCTGCTTTGAAATGCCCCTTTGGAGGGCACAGAGCACTCAATCTGTCCCAGACACATATGATGGTGTTTGCCATCCCAGGCTAGGACTGCTTTTGGTGCTTTACCTTCATAGCCCCAGACAGATCCATGCTCCACATCCAATGGTGGAAAGCAAGGACTACAAAGGGAAAGACACGGATAAAACCCAAGTGAGATCCTATATAGAAGAGAAGAAAGCCTTACCTTAAGTCCAGGTGGCCCAGCCTGACCAACAGGACCTCTGAACCCAATTCCTGGTTCTCCCTGTGAAGAAATTAGGATCACCCTTTGACTATAGGCCCATAAGAATGAGAGCTTGCTTCATGCTGCTCCCTGAAGCCCCTCGTAGCTTATCCTACATTGAGGGTTTCTGCAGAGCCCTCACTGACCATCACATCTGCTCTAGATGATGTGAAGTCTTATCCAACCTGGAGAGAAAAAGCTCCTGAGAGCATCTAGAAAAGAAGGAATTGAATTGTGGGAATATTATAGAATCATAGAATGGTTGGGGTTGGAAGGGACCTTAAAGCTCATCCAGTTCCAACCCCCTGCCATGGGCAGGGATGAATTATTATATTACTGGAGATGGTATCAGAAGACTCTGGAAGAGACTCTTGTCTTCTGACATCACTCATTTATGAGGTAGGTGCTCTGTCTATGTGATCTGAGTCCTGCCTAGTCAACAGTGAGACACCAGGTCCCTAGTGAGTGGCTGGCCACTAATCCCACATCTCAGGAGTTACCTGAACACCTTCCCCTGAGACAGAAAGGTTAGGGTGGGAAAAAGAGCAAACAAGCTCCCAGAGTGTAAGAGACCCCCCTCACTGTGGCACCAGCGTTGTTCTTTACCTTTTGACCATTTTCACCTCTTTCTCCCTTGGTGCCCTATGAAATAAAGAGAGAGTTACCAAGGTTGTGCAAGGAGCCGTGTGAAGTATCACCTCAGTGCAGCCCTGAGCAAGAACTAAGGTTTCCAGCTGTGCTCATAGAATCACTCAATGGTTTGGGTTGAAGGGACCTTACAGCTCACCCAGCTCCAACCCCTGCCACAGGCAGGGACACCTTCCACTGGAGCAGCTTGCTCCAAGCCCCTGTGTCCAACCTGGCCTTTAACACTGCCAGGGATGGGGCAGCCACAGCTTCTCTGGGCACCCTGTGCCAGCGCCTCAGCACCCTCACAGGGAAGAGCTTCTGCCTTATCTCCAACCTGAATTTCCCGTTTCAGTCTGAACCCATCACCCCTTGTCCTATCACTCCAGTTCCTGATGAAGAGTCCTTCTCCAGCATCCTTGTAGCCCCCTTCAGACACTGGAAGCTGCTCTGAGGTCTCCACACAGCTTCTCTTCTCCAGGCTCAACAGCCCCAATGTTCTCAGCCTGTCTCCATACAGGAGGTGCTCCAGCCCCTGCTCATCCTCACGGCCTCCTCTGGACTCATAGCCAGAACAACCGGACCCTCTGATCTCCACCTCTTTTCCCTGGGGGGGATAGGCAGTAGCTGTGTGCCTAGGGAAGAGTGAAATGCCCTCACGCAGAGCACACTGCTCATGAGAAGGAGATGGAGAACTGGATTGACCCCATCAATATGAACTTTCCTATGGCAACCTCCACTGCTGGATTTGGGCCCCTCAGCTGGTAACGCTGCCCTGCTCCAGCTGCTGATGCAGATCCACAGCTCACCTTTGCTCCAGGTTCTCCCATCTCCCCAGGCTGCCCCTGCAAGACAAAAACCATCCACTTTCCAGCTCCCTCCATCCCTCCTCATGCCTGTGTACCCAGGATTCTCCACTACAGAGGTGGTTAAAGGGTAGCCCATGCAAAGTATCCCTTCCCCATCAGGCTGGGCTTTTCAACAACAACCTGCCTTGTCTTCCTCCTGAATATCTGGGTCCCATCACCCCAGATCTGCCATTAGGTCCCTATAAGCTTTTGCTGCTAGAAGTGTCCATGAAACAGTGTTTTGTATGGCCCTTCTTCCATCCCTGTCCTGGTGCCAGGGCTGGCTTTTGCCTGTCACTTGGTTTAGCTCATTGATCCAGCAGAAAAAGAGCATCAGGAAAACCTCCTGGATTTTTCCATTTGGTGTAAGGGGAGGAACAGAATCACACAGCCAGATTCAGGGATAAAGGTGGAACTGTGACAATCCCAATCTATATGGGCACAGTCTCCCATACACCTGAATGTTATCTCCACCAGCACATCCCCAGCTGCCTCTCCTTTTCCAAACTTAGAGCCTTCTCCTGGTCTCAGAGGTTCAGGCAGAGAAAACACTATCACTACCTTTTCTCCTTTGTCTCCCTGGACTCCTGGAGCTCCCATTTCTCCCTGGAAAACAACAGGCAACTCTTTCAATTGCAAACATGCATCGACGCAAGGAATGCTTCTTTCCCCCTTTAGACCAGGTGGGTGCTGCCCTCTTTCCTGCATCAGCTTTTGGCAAACAACTGTGGAGGAACCCCTCATTTCCACCACTTGTAACCCCAACCAGACTGGGGATGTCCCTGACCCCATCCCTTCTGTCCTGTGCAGTGGAAATGCAGGAAGAGAAAATACATTTTGCAGATATGAGTGGTAAGCTGAGGATCTCCCTGCCCCAGGGTACTGCAGATGTTAAAGGATGCCATTAGTCTGGGGGAGACAGAGAAGTCCACGGAGGACAAAACTATTGAGGATCCCCAAAACACAAACCCCACGCTTGGGTCGTCTATGAAAAGTTCAAGCCTGGAGTCATGGAATGGTTTGGGCTGGAAGGGAGCTTAAAGCTTATCCAGTTCCAACCCCTGCCACGGGCAGGGACACCTTCCACTAGAGCAGCTTGCTCCAAGCCCCTGTGTCCAACCTGGCCTTGAACACTGCCAGGGATGGGGCAGCCACAGCTTCTCTGGGCACCCTGTGCCAGTGTCCCAGGGGACATCTGCTCATTGCCAGTGCCCAAAACTGTTGATTACTGCCTCTTGAACCTACTGGCACCAGTGATTCCTTGGCCACCAGATGAATCTGCTCTGGGAGATGATCACTATCCTGCCTCCCTTCAGGTGCTGCTTGGTATCAACATTAAAAGGTGAAGCAAAAGCACTGACCTTTTGGCCACAGGAGGGTGGATCTGCTGGGCCAGTTCCCTCCTTCTGTAAGGACAAAATGCACATATGGAATGGGGTTGGGATGTGGTGTGACAGGAGAAAGGACCAGCAGCATCCTCACTGTGCGCAGCTGCAATAAGAGGAGTATGACATGATGCTGTACCTTGATTCTCCTTGACGGATGAGGCCCTAGGTATGCCTTGAATGGAAAAGAAAGGAGGAAAGTGTGAGAGCAGCTGGCGAAACTTTCTGCCCTTGAGTCATGGAAAAGACACTTCTGAGCAGCAAGATGCTAGGCAGCAAGTGGAGAGGCTGGAGGCATCTCACAGGGAAGCCATGGGATCACAAGAACCCCACTGAAAGGCTTCTGGTTGGATATGGGGTGGCTTCCAGGCTCCTTCTGACCTGCTACAGCATGGATGGGACATCTAAGAGTTGGTGCTGCCCATTGCAGATGGGCTGCCAGGAAACCAAGAAATGAACCATGAAATCACGAGCCAAAAAATGCCTCAGAACCAGGCTTTTGGCAATAGACCTTAACCCTGTCCCTTCATGGAGAGCTATGATGGACGGTGTGGACGAGCTTAGCTCAGTGCTGCCATTCCCCTGGGAATGCAGGGTGAGGGCCCACTCACTGCTTTTAAAGGAATTCACTGAAACTTAGGGGAAATCTGTTCAGAATCCTTCATCCTCAACTCTTAAATATGAAAATCAACTCTCTGCACTTCCCCTTTCTGGGATATTGTGCTATAAGTTGACAATGTAATGATGCAGGTACATCAGGGATGTATTTATGAACATATTTTGCACATTTAAACCCACATACAGATATCATCTAAGCTCTCAGGACACAAAACACCCTTCACTTATGCTGCCTTCCCCATGAACCAGGTTATTATGTTCCCTCATTGACTGAGTTTGATTTTCCCCACTTCTGTTTCCAAGGCCCTTGCCAGATACAGAGAGAACAATCTGCTCTGGCAAGAAAGATGCTTCTGCAGCAGCTCTTTCTTGGTTTATTTATTCATATCTATCACTAACTTTTCACCCCACCCTCTACATTCACTGTGACTTTGCACAATCAGTGTTCCCCTTGTGTTCGTACAAGACACCCTTGCATGGGGTCTTCACTCACCACAGGTCCAGGCAGTGATTTCCGAGCACCCGAGGCACCAGGAGGATGAATCTGTAATGGAACCAACAAGGGAAGGTCACCACTTCCTCCTGGATCACACTGATGGCACGTAGGCAAGTCCAAAGCTGCTGCAGTGAAACGGGGTGCTTACCTTGTGTGTCTTGTGCTCAGCAGATCTCCTGGCTCTAACATGCCCTGGGAGCACAGAGCCACCGTCTGAATTCACATCTTCCTGTGGGAAGGGAAAAAGCATCCTTGTGAGCGCCTAATATTATATAGTATCAGTAGTAATAACAACAACAATAATAATAATCATCATAACACTGTGTTCAGCTCTGGGGCAGCAGCACAAGAGGGACGTGGAGCTGTTGGAGCGAGTGCAGAGGAGGCCATGGAGATGCTGCGAGGGCTGGAGCAGCTCTGCTCTGGAGCCAGGCTGAGAGAGCTGGGCTGGGTCAGCCTGGAGAAGAGAAGGCTCCTGAAGGGGAGACCTGAGAGCAGCTCCAGTGCCTAAAGGGGCTGCAGGAAAGCTGGAGAGGGGCTTTGGACAAGGGCCTGTAGGGACAGGCCAAGGGGAATGGCTTTAACCTGCCAGAGGGGAGACTGAGATGAGCTCTTAGGCAGAAGCTCTTCCCTGTGAGGGTGCTGAGGCGCTGGCACAGGGTGCCCAGAGAAGCTGTGGCTGCCCCATCCCTGGCAGTGTTCAAGGCCAGGTTGGACACAGGGGCTTGGAGCAAGCTGCTCTAGTGGAAGGTGTCCCTGTCTGTGGCAGGGGTTGGAACTGGAGGAGCTTTAAGGCCCCTTCGAAGCCAAACCAGTCTGGGGTTCTGTGATTCTGTGATTATTAAAGCAATTCATTTTCTGCCATTTAAAAGAAATAAAACCTACCTAAAATATTGCAACTTTGGACTTCAGATGCCTCCCTGCCCCAGCTGTGCCCGAGTAACACACCAGCTATACACTTACTGTACCTTAACACACCCGATTGGAATAAACCCATTATTAATGCCCATTAATGTCTACACGTTAACCTGCCACTTGGTGATATTTGCAGTGCTCACGATTTAGGCTGATAAACTTGTAAGGCACACACAGTAAAGCTTGTACAAATAGTTACTGGCATGGTTTGTTCTTCTTCATATTAGCAACGGTAAATTATCCACTCGCTGTTGTAAAGACGATGATATTCCTCACTGCTGGATATCTCTGTGTACCACAGCGATTCCCTGAACCACACAGTGAGAGCACTGCAGTGTGGCTCTGGTGAATATCTTAATATATAATAGATATAAATCTTATATATATATACATAATGAAATATATATTATATACATATGAAATATATATGAGAGAGATATATATGAATGAAAGCTTGGCATCTCCTTGCACCCAAACCTCAACCCTGCCAGAAGGACACGAAGGAGAGGGAAAATCACTAGTTATTTAGCACTATTCCCACATTTTTTTTTGCTGCAGAAACAAAGAGCAGGATTAATCTCAATTAATTTCACCTAAAAGTATGTGTTGAGGCTTTTAGATGATTAAAGTTAAGGGAAAGTAAATCCTAAGTGAAGGGCTTCCAGGAAATGCTGGTTGGTGCAGCCCTGGACATTACGTTGTCAGGTTTTCAGGGATGATAGTGAAATATCCTGTTTTGCTGGATATTCACTGGCTGGATGCAAGTTTTACCTAATGGCAAATGAACCCAGGAAGTTTCTGAGTCACCAAAATACGTAAAGGATTAAAAAAAATAGTATTTTGGTCCAATTAAAATGGAAATTCTTTACTGAAAGACGGCGAGGGTGACAGAAGGAAGAATAAAAGCCAAGTCAGGGATGTGCTGGTACAGCTTGTTCAGGGGAGGGCCCATCAAGGGTGTGTTTTTTAATGGGACAAGCAAGAGGAACATCTCCAGTGCTTACACCGAGGTGACTTAGATGGGTCAGATGGTCCCATCAGACGAGACCACGTGGATTTCTCATGATAGCTCATCCTTAACTCTTAAATGTTGTAAAAACCAACTCTGTACTTATAGCAAAGAACTTTTAGCTCTAAAAAGCTGCTTCTCTCATCACGGGTCCACGTTCAACTCACAGACATGCTGAACAGCATCACAAGGCAGCGGTGAAGCAAGAATGGGCTGCTGAGACCTTACTGAGGTTTGAAGGTGACCCATGTGCCTTTCATCTCATAGAGCTGCCATTTACTGGGGTGCTGGGAAATTGCAGGGGGTAATAACTTGCCTTCCTACTGCAATTCCTCTCCAATTTCAGCAGTTTCCTGCTTGGAGGTCCCAGCAATGAGGCACTTCTAAGGAAAGGAGGGAGGCTGCTGCTTTCTAAAGGAATGATTTACTGAGGGTGGGTGATAGTGTGAAAAAGAAGGGAAAAGACAGGAAGAGAAAAGGAACAGATGAAATTAGAACAGGGAAGAGAAAAATGGTAATAAAAGGAGAATAAAACAACATGCCAAAAAAATACACAGGAAAAAGGGAAAAAGAAGAGGCCAAGCAGATACCAGGTAGGAAAATCGTGACTATGGGGTTATCCACATGGAGATAACCAGGATAACCAGGGGCATTTATGTGAATTAAGTCTGGAAATGAACTAACTTTACTGCATGGCAGACGGAGGAGTCAGGGGTTGGCTGTTAAGGTCCTGGAACACCAAAGAAGCGGCTCACCCATCGAAAGAGTAACCAGTCACCGTTCCTCGCACAGACACGTGTACCTGGGCTCATCCTGCCTCTGTCTGTCAGTGAGCTTGCTTCCCCATTAACTCCTGCCAGGCAGTAATTGCACCTCGGAGATGAAGCTCTTGGGCTATTACAGCTGCTTCTCTCCAGGGCCTCATGAACCTTTTAACAGGTAAAATTTGTGATTACAGCTGCTGCTGACAGGAAAACAACGGGCTCTGTTCCGCTCCCTTCGCATCACTGGGTTCACTCCAAGAGCCTAAAGGAGCTGAGAGGATGCAGGAGCTGCAGGGAGAGAGGGGCTGCTGCTGTTCCCCTGCCTCTGGACCATGCTTTTGCATCCTCCTGAGGATAAAAGAGATTTTACACCAACTGCAAGTGAGGAAAACACTCTTGGGGTGCAGATCCCATCATACTGGGGGGGGATGAAGTGCCTTAAACTTGTGGCAGCCCTTCCACTTTTATAAACACCCTTACCAAAATGGGGATCATAGAATCCCAGACTGGTTTGGCTTGGAAGGAACCTTAAAGCTCCTCCAGCTTCAACCCCTGCCACATGCAGGGACACCTTCCACTAGAGCAGCTTGCTCCAAGCCCCTGTGTCCAACCTGCCCTTGAACACTGCCAGGGATGGGGCAGCCACAGCTTCTCTGGGCACCCTGTGCCAGCGCCTCAGCACCCTCACAGGGAAGAGCTTCTGCCTTGTATCTAATGTGAACTTCCCCTGTTTCACTTTGAACCCATCACCCCTTGTCCTATTGCTATAGTCCCTGATGAGGAGGAGGTCCTCTCCAGCATCCCTGTATTCCCTCCTCAGATACTGGAAGGCTGCTATGAGCATCACACACAAGAGCAGGAAGGGTGATGCTATCTGCCTGTCTTTCCAATAGCTCTTCATTTGATAGGGAACTCTCTGGGCTGGGATTCAGGGAAAGGTGTTTGATAACACCAGGGCTCAGGATTGCACCAATGATTACCTTGATGTAGCATCACTGTAGGTTAGCACTGATATTGCACCCACTAACCCGTAGGACTGCTCACCAGCAGCCCCAAAAGGGCAGCAGATCATCTCTGTCAACCCAAAGTGAAAGCTTTTCCCTCTCCCAGCCCTCTTTGCTCTGCTCCTGATAACTCAGGGACTGATGGACATGGAATCACCTTCTCATCCCATCTCCCTCCAGCCTGCTCCCAGGGTTAATCAACTTGAGCTCTAATTTCCCATTTGAATTGTAAGTATTCAGCTTCCTCCCTCTGGCTCTCCTCTGCCTTTCACCACACGATTAAAGAGCTCTTTAACATTCGGTATGTTCTCCCTGTGAAAACCTCTGATGCAGAAATCAAGTCATCTCAGGCACTCTGAATTGGGCTAAAAAATGGCCAGTCTTGGGTCTCTTGTGATATATGAGCCTGAAAGCCACCTACAAATCAGTCTGGGGGCTCTGCTCTGAACTTCCCATGGGGATTTAATAACAAAAGCATTTCAAACAGAACACAGAGACTGGGTTTGGTCCTTGGGATGCAGGGATTAAATGAACCGCTTATACTGATGAATGAGGACAGTTCTTCCTGCCCAAATGTCACATTTGACAGGGCTACGCAGTCCTTTTGCCTTCCCAGTGCCAATGGCCACGGTGTCCGGGCACAGAGATGCACTTAGCTTCCAGACATCCAACAAACAGGGATTGCTCCCATTTCATTGAGGAAGGAGATGCTGCGCGAGGTAGTCTGATTCATTAAACAACTCCACACAGGGATGTATGTGAAGCCTTTAGGAATCTGGCATCGAGCACAGCTGGATGTCCACAGTTTCAAATGGAGCAACAGGTTTGGGATACCCCCATTGCATGGTCTATGGGTGCAGGTCCATAGGGACTGAGCTCTACCTGCTTTCAAGAGCAGGACAGCAAAAAGCTGCCACCTCAGCATCATTCAGCCCAATCCCATAAGAAATGAGGGGGTTTAGGCTCCATCCATTTGTTCTTCCAGGTCTTTCTCCAGCTTAACCATTCCCAGCCAAGGGAAATGGTGCATCCAGGAGGAGAAACAAAGCTGATGGATGCTCATGGCACAGGCCACGGTCTCCAGAGCTACAGCTCACACACATAAGAGACGTGGGGTGTGTGAACGTGTGTTTGTGCTGGGAGCCCTCTCGTGGCTGCTGCCACATCCTTTATTCCAGCTCCGCGATCCAATGTGTGTTAATGCAGAACCAGCCGGAGACAACGGAAGTGATGGAAGCAGAAGCAAGGGTTCAGCAGACTTAAACCAGAGTGAGATCTCCTCCAACAGCATCTCCCCACTGTGAGCTACTCCCTCATTGCTATGCCTATACACTTATTAATGCTGTTCCTATCCATAACTGTGGCTGTAATTGTAAGCAAACAGAAAGGGACTCTTCCAGTTCATTTTTTAAGGCTGTTGGGATCCTGTCTCCAAGTATCCCCAAAAAGAGCATTCCCTCCATCACACAGCAGCACATCGTCATGCAAAGGTGTTAAACCAGCACCGGATGAAGGCATTTTCCCTCTCCATCACTGGGGATGGTGTCACACAATGCTGGGGTCTGTGCACTTGTTACAACGATGTTCAAAGTGGAGGGTGCTGGGAGGAGCATGGCAGGACAAAATCCATGCCAAGGAGGGTGGAAAACAAAAGGGAAGCTGGATGCTAGGGATCAGGCAACCACACTGCAGGAATACCACAACTTACTGCCCATCAGCTGAGCTGTGGTAACTGCTGCTACCAGCTTGGATGCACCCTCCAACCTTGCTGAAAATGATATAATCTCTCTTACACATACACTTGTAAACCAGCTCTAACTCCTGCTTATGGAAGAACCCTCTACTTTGCTGCTGTCCTGTAGTTAAAGTGCAGCAATAAACGGCTGCAGGCCTTGATGTCAACTGGGACATCACTTTGGTTCAGGTGATGCACAAAGGCTCATTACATGACAATTTGCCCTTGTTGGTGAGTCCTTAAAAAGGAGAAAGTCCCAAATTCCTGCTCAGACCCTAAAATCCTCTTCTTTAAAAGAGTCAATCTTTGTATTCCACAGCTGGGCTCAGGAGGGTGCATACCAGGGTCTAAAACACTAACTGTGCAGGGAAGCCTTAGGGTCTATGGACTATTCTGAGACACCTATGGAAAGTAAGAAGGCAAAGGAAAAGGAAATATCTTATCAGGACATATCTTCACTGTCTGGGGTCTGTGTTGTTGCTGGAGTATTACAAATCTGAGTTGAAATAGTATTGAGAATCATCAAGTATTCAGTCAGCCAAGCCCAGATAATGGGATGGATGCTGTGGTCAGATGGATTTGGATTAGGAAGAGATTTTCCTTCTTTTTCCCACAAAACCTTTGCCAAGGGCTCTGCCTGTATTCAGTGGACACGGTTGGCCATGAGCTTCCAGCCCAGGTCCCACGTCCAAGTAGTAGTGTCCTGCAGGGATGTGGGAGGAGCAGCCCCAGAGCACTGGGTGAGAGATGTGCATCCCAGTCACTCCCAGTCCATTACCACAGTGGTCTAATGCCCAGAACTGCTGGGGAAGACCTACATGGCTGGTGTCCTGCTGTGGTTGTCCTTCCACCCTGTCCTCCAAGGACTCCTGAAGCTCCATGGACTGATTTCCTTGTAGATCATCTTCTGGGTGTGATGGGGGTGCAGCCAAGCTCTGCAGAGGGTGAGGGATAAGTGACAACGTGGTATCACTAATAACCAGGGCAGAAGATGGAAAGCCAGACCCTTTTCCAAGCTCTGACACTGATTCATGCAGAGATCCTTTTCCTTTCTCTAGCTTAGTGTTTCACTGCAGTAAAATAGGGCAAACCCCACAGAATTGCAGTGATTTGTCCAATCAAGCTCTGAGAAGAGTAATTCCTTTGCTTCTATTAAACCAGCACTAATGAAAACCTAATTAAAAGTCACCGAACAGGCATTTACTTACACTGCTGAGAGAAGTGTTTGTCCCTTTTGAGTCTCTCTGCTTCCTTCCTTCCTCAGGTGTTTTCTCCAAGGGCTCAGGAGGGTCTCCTAGGGACTGATGCTCAGGTTCAGAACCACCAGCAGAAGGACTCTGTGGAGACCAAAGCAAGTTACTGCCTTTCCTAAGCCAAGGCATCATCCACAATACACTATCAACACTGCCATTTATTCAACAGCATGCTCAGAGCCAGCAGGACAAGGCTGGAGAACCAAGATGCCAAGACCTTTGTTGCACTTTACTTTGGCAAGTGCTATCAAGGATGGCCTGGGACAGGCTGCAAGGCTCCCTCAGGGGTCATAGAGCTGCTTTGATCTGCTTTGCTCTCTGGATGAAGACCTAGACAGGCTGGCCCACATGGTCCCCAACCTTTTCTGCCAGTTGAGATGGGCTCCTAAAGCCCAAGAGACAGTTTTGGTGTCCCTGTACCTCAAATCCCAGCAATTTGGGGTGCTGGTATACATCCAGTTTGTGTCTCCTGGTGCAAACATATCTACTGGTGAGCACTTCATGCCCTCTCAAGCTCCTAAAGTGCTACCATCATCCAAGTTGCAATGATCCTGACAAGCAACACATCTCACCTGAGACCACAGCAGGAGCCTGGAGCTGAGAAGGGATGAGCCTGTCTCACCTTTCCTAAGTGCCTGAGCAACAGGGTCATCACTGAACCAACCACAGAGGAAGAGAAAAGCACCAGGAGCTGGCTCCAAACAGCTCTTGTGCTCCAGTTAGAGACAGCATTTCCTACCAGTGACCCACAAGGGCTTATGGAGAGTGAGTCACTTCTTGGCTGTCCTGAAGAGGATGAGCAAAGCCCCACCAACTGCTGCAGGCACTATTTCCTGGACTATCTCTTATCAGGACTGTCTGATCAGGCAGATTAAGATCCATGACTCCTCCAGCAGCTATGAGATGACCTGGATATAGCCCTATGATGTCATTCATGGAGGTGTGCTGCAGTTTGGGTCCAGCATGGAGAGTTGGCCTTTAAATTGCTAACAAATTCCTAATTCCCATCAACACAATCTGTTGCTTGAAGTTGCAAAGGATGCAGGTGACTAGATCATCTATAGCAGTTAGCCTGGTTACTGAAGCAAATGAGGGCTGTGGAGTCATGGGAAGGACTCTTCTCTTGCGCAGTCTCAATCCAATCTAACAGCAGGATTGGATCTACTCTTGCCAAGGCAGGAGAGATGCACCTTGATTACAGCCTCCAAGTGAGGAGAAGTTGCAGGGTGTGTTCAGCATGTAACCAGCATGGGATGGCTTGAAACCAACCCAATCTATGCTGTTTTTTTTGCTCAGAAGACAAGGGTAGAAAGGAAGGGAGGCTGAGGATCAGGAGAAGGTATCCCTGGAACACAGAAGCTCACAAGAAGCTTGTACACATTTGATATGCAATCTCCTAATATTATTTCTGCCCCAGACCAGATGGAGCATAGATCTACACTTCACAGAATCATAGAGTGGTTTGGGTTGGAAAGGACCTTAAGATCATCCAGTTCCAATCCCCTGCCACTGGCAGGGACACCTCACACTAGACCATATCACCCAAGGCTATGTCCATCGTCTTTGTAACCATCCTTTAAACACTGGAATGAGCTCATCACATGTGAGTCCTTGGAGCTCAAGTTTGTCATCACCACATCGACCTACTTGATGTTGCAGGATTCACTGGTGTTTGATACTACTCATGATGCCCCAGTCAGCATGGAAGTGACAGAAGCAGCACAGAGCCTGCAGGTGGAGAATCAGTTTAGGGTGCCAGGGTCTGCAGACTCCCTAAGGTGAAAATAAACAGCAGAACAGATGGATGCTGGAGAGGGGCTCTTCATCAGGGACTGTAGCGACAGGACAAGGGGTGATGGGTTCAAAGTGAAACAGGGGAAGTTCAGATTGGAGATAAGGCAGAAGCTCTTCCCTGTGAGGGTGCTGAGGCGCTGGCACAGGGTGCCCAGAGAAGCTGTGGCTGCCCCATCCCTGGCAGTGTTCAAGGCCAGGTTGGACACAGGGGCTTGGAGCAACTGCTCTAGTGGAAGGTGTCCCTGCCCGTGGCAGGGGTTGGAGCTGGAGGAGCTTTAAGATCTTTTCCAACACAAACCATTCTACGATTCCATGGCTTCTAGCTACTTCCATCAACAATAACGGTAGACTGATTCCTTTATTTTCACTGAAAAGAGTGTTTTGCAATCCCATCAGTTTAACCTGAAGATCCAAAATCCTGATATGGGCCATTAGCCTCTTCCAGCTTAACTGTTTCTTAAAGTGGCTTCAAGTCACCACAACCTGCTTAATGACAGAGGTGACCCTGAATCCTTCAATGACTCATTTCTGCATCTCATTTCCTCCAAGGTCTGTGTGCCCCAAGGCTGACAGATGACAGTACTCACACTGTGCTCAATGACATGCAGAGCTGCTGGCTTTCTCATGGAGGTCTGGCTTGTCTTGGAGCCGCTGAGCTGCTGCACCAGCACATCCAGCCCATCTCGCAGGAGCGCGTTGGAGAGGTCCTTCAGCAGTGCCAGCTGCAACCAGTAGAGACCATTAAGGCAGTAGCATAGTGCACCCTCCTGCCTAAGAGCTCAGCTCAGTCTCCCCTCTGGCAGGTTAAAGCCATTCCCCTTGGCCTGGCCCTACAGGCCCTTGTCCCAAGCCCCTCTCCAGCTTTCCTGCAGCCCCTTTAGGCACTGGAGCTGCTCTCAGGTCTCCCCTTCAGGAGCCTTCTCTTCTCCAGGCTGACCCAGCCCAGCTCTCTCAGCCTGGCTCCAGAGCAGAGCTGCTCCAGCCCTTGCAGCATCTCTGTGATACAGCATGGCAAGCTGTAAAAGGACATGCAATAACCCTGCCTTTTTGTGAGTGCAGTGCTGGACCCGGGTGAGCACACATCATCTCCAGAAGGAAAGAGGGAATAGATGGAAAAGCTCAATTACAATCACCTTGTCAGAAGAGGGTCAAAGCATTCCTACCTTGATACCATTTGCTTCAAAAAGCCTCTCCAGATCCTGCAAGAGGAAAGAAGGGTCAGAACTTCTCCTCTCTTGTCCAGACCAGGAAGCTGGTGCTGGGGGTGGCTGACAGCTAAGCTGATGGACCCAAACCAGGTCCCCTAACCCCAGACAGAGGGAGGTGTTTCCAACATCAATATGCTCTATAAATCTTATTTACCTGCATTTCCACTCCTTTGCCTGGTGGACCTGGTTCTCCCTTCAAATGAACAAGAACAACTCATTAACTAAGTCATTATCCCAATGAGCAGCAAGAAGAGAAGCTCTGAGAAGGGGCAAGAGTCACATATGTGGCCCTTACTCTGCTACCAGCTGATGCTATAACCCTAGATTAAGCCCCATCAGGCTCAATCCTACCCTGGTCAATGGGCTCCTTCACTCCTCCATTGGATACAAATGCTGGCTGCATACAGAGGGCAGGCATGGACCAGAGCCAGACAAGAGCATCATCAAAGTGAGGTTTGGACCAGAGCTTTGCAACATCCCCTTCTCCAACTCTTGGCTATATGTTCAACACGTAAAGAAGCAAAGGTTTTTAGGCCCCTCAGTGCCACCAATGCTGTCACTGTGGTGGCAGCAGTGCAGAGGTAGCAGCAAAGAGAAGGGTGGCCAAGGTGCCATCATGGTTGACAGTGCCTTCTGGATGTGGCCAGTGGTGCTGGTGGCCCTACTTCACATGCAGTCTGGGTCAAATATGGGTTGGATACCCAAGAGCAAGTCACATAGTCAGGCTGTCCATCTCTCCTTGCCCTCATGGTGACACTCTCCATGTGAGTGGTGCCGGGCCACCACCAAAGATGAAGCTACAGATGAGCTGCAATGGCCTGGGAGGTCCAGCACTGCAGCAAGGGACATCTGCTGAGATGGGGGTGACCTGCCCCTCTGATGGGCTTCATTTCACTGAAATCTGGTGTCTGCATTGACAGATTCCGGTGGAATGAAGGGCACCAGGAAGGCCTCGGTGGTGCTGCAGCTCCATGCCAAGGTTAAGGATGCATCTCCATGAGGTGCAGGAACCGCAGTGGTGTGCTGGTTGAACTGGGTACATCTGAGGCTCCTGGATAAGTCTTTGCCTTTACAATGACCTGGATCTCATGCCAGTCAGGAGAGCTACCTGTACCCACTGATGCTGCTTTCTGTACCCTTTTCCTCTCCATTGACTGAAGGAGTTGGTCCCACCTCTAAAGTTCCCTAGATGTGTGTGGTATCAGAAGCCATTTCTTCCATCCCTTTCTGATGTGTTCTTCAACTTGCAGCGGTGAGGAAAGGAAGGAAACATTCCTGAACACTTTAGAACTTTATTCCATTCAACTCCCGAACAACATCTTCTGACCTGAATATTGTGTATCTGCTTAATCGAGTTGTAGGACTACATCATCAGTGTGACCACATGCTTCTGAGCCCATCTCAGAAACTCTGCTTTGAAAACTCAGCCTTTTAGAGAGCCAGAAGAGATGTGAGATGGATGCTCTACCCCTCCCCAGCACAATGGCATCAACACAAAGATGATCCATGCATTCAGAACATACCTTTGGGCCGGGAGGACCTCTTTCGCCTTTCAATCCATCCCTCCCACGATCCCCCTGTAAACCAGAAGGAACATGTTAGTTCTTTGATCCCTCTACAATTGCTAGTGGAGACGGTGGTTTCATCATACATTGTGGCATTTCTTGCTTGCTGGCCCCAGACTAACAGCACCTTTTCCAGATGGACCAACCAGCCTTGTCTTGTAACTATCACACTAATTCACACAATGAAGTTAAATTTGGAGCAGCTCTGCTCTTAGAATCACAGAACAGTTTGGGTTGGAAAGGACCTTAAAGCTCACCCAGTTCCAGCCCTCTGCATGGGCAGGCACACCTTCCACTAGAGCAGCTTGCTCCAAGCCCCTTGGCCTTGAACACTGCCAGGGATGGGGCAGCCACAGCTTAACTGGGCACCCTATGCCAGCGCCTCAGCACCCTCACAGGGAAGAGCTTCTGCCTTATCTCCAACCTGAACTTCCCCTGTTTCAGTTTGAACCCATCACCCCTTGTCCTGTCACTGCAGTCCCTGATGAAGAGGATGATGCTTTGTGTTTGAAGGATCTTTGCTGCTAGCGGTGGGAACTGCGAGTATTTGCTTAAGAAACTTGGAGTTTCAGGCTATGTTTGAAAACCCTGTCTTACAAAAGTAACGAAGCTACAAAATATACAACATGTGGAAAATAATCACATATTGAGCTTCAACACCCATCTTCTCCAGCCAGGAGCTCTTACCTTGTCACCTTTCAGGGTGATGGTGGTCTCCAGAGAAGATACCTGCCAAGAAAAGCAAGCTTTTAGGTGTTTCTGTGTCACAGTCTTCTTGCAGCATCAGTAACACACCACTTGTGGAGGGATTCATTCATATACCTATAGAGGAGCTAGCTGCATCGCTTTGCACCTTTGATAAGGCTAGAAGGGAAATCCATGCCATAACATGCATGGTTGAAAGCAATACATTCTGGCAATGTGCCCTCTGTGGTACCCATGATTCATAACAAATCCCAGTGCATCCCTTCCCTGAACAAACGTGTAAGTCAACAGCAGCAGGTGTTACTCACAGTGCTTCCAGGAGTGCCAGGCAGCCCAGGCTCACCCTAGGAAGACACCCCCACCCCAAAACCCAAGAGTGAGTGGTGCAATTCAACATTTGAGCCCCCAAACAGACTCTTTCTCATGCAAGGTTATAAATGGGAATGTGCAAACCTACAGATTCACCCTTGTCTCCCTTCTCTCCAGTGATTCCCTAGGAGGTGGAGAAAGAAACAGGATAAAAACAAGCCATGGCAGGAGGTCTCAGCAGCCTCTTGCCAGATAAGCATTTGATGGATTAAGAAGCCCATCTTTGAGCTAATGAAATCTGGGTTTCAACATCTCTCCTGTGAAGGGTTCTCTGATACGTGATAAGGGGTAGGATTATGAACCTCTGCCTCGGTGGGAAGGCTCAGCAGGGACTTCCCTCTACTCAGTTTCACAACGTTTGCAGAAACACCATGTCTTTGAGACCTCTGACAATGCTTCCCAAAGTCTTAGGGCTTCCCAAAGCTATGAGAGGGAGATCTCACAATGCATAAGTGCATAATTTCCTTCCCTTACCCACCAGACTGAGAAGCATTTTGTTTCCAACAGTGTGGGTCTGAGGAAGGTTTTGTACACTCAGAACCCCCCAGTGCCCACCCTGCTCTTTAACCTGTGCTCTAGGTAATCAAGCAAGAGGGAGAAACAGCACTGATCTTCCCTATGAAGAGGAGATGCCCTTCCCCAAAAGACAGGGAGGGAGCTTTCTGTGCCTTGCAGACTGTAAGGCCGAAGAAGAATAGGGTTTTCTTCAATTGGCATTGCACTATCTCAAGTCCACCCTCTCTCAACTGCTCCTTTAGGGATTGCCTTACATCCTTTCCAGGTTGTCCGGTGTCGCCTTTTATCCCCTTCTCTCCAGGCCGTCCTGGGAGCCCTCGTGGACCCTGTAAGAAAGGATTTGGGGAAGCAAACAGAAATAGAGCTTCCAGCAGCTCAGGAAAGTAAATACAACAAGAATGTTATCCCCTCCGTGGCTTTTCATGGACATGGACGTTTCTAAGTGGGGACTTCCATTGGGATGGAGAGGGAAGGAGCAACCTCCTCTGATGCTCCATTGTAATCTGGTCAGAAAATGATAGTAATAGCAATTATTACCCTGATTCCTCTCTTTCCTGGCTCTCCAGGGACACCAGCTTCCCCCTAAAAGAGAGGAGTAATAGCTTTTAAAAGCTCGCTTCCATCAGGTTGAACCTTCATTGGTGGTACTAATTTTACTGCACTTAAACCTGGAGGAAAAGTTTAATGGGAGACAACCGAGTACACCTACCATTCAGTGGCTCTAAGGCAGGTTAGATCTCCTCTTTGGCATTCTTAATGTTTGGAAAGCCAGGACAAAGACAGGTTTATGGGATGTCTTAAGTTAGGGATGGTGTTTTCCAGCAGTCCCATAAATGAAGTAAATGGGGCGGAAGGTGTAGGGTGACTGTAGAGTGTTCATATTTGGAGGCAGAATGAGGTTCTTTCCACCAAACCCCACTGTTATTTATGGCAGTCTGTTTCCTACATCAGCTGCAGAGCAGAAAGAACTATCTCCCAAAGAAAGCACAGTTTAGCTGTTTTTTGGCCTTTCGTTTTCAGCCTGCAGCTTTGGAAGATGAAACCAAAGCTAAAGAAAGAGAAAGAAAAGCCAAGGGCAAGATGAAGGGGATTCTTCATGGTCTCATCTAACCTAAGTACAAGTAAACAGGGAATATGACGAGCAGGGGTCAGCTTCAGAACAAACCAAAGTGATTTGTTTTCCAGCTGCTGTTTCATTAACGTGTGCAGTGCCTTGCCCAGGGTTTTGAGAGTGATAAAGGTTTATGTGGGCTGGGAATTAACGGAAGCAAAGTCTTCCAAGGGCTATCCAACCCATGAGACATCACCTCTCACAGAGGACATCCTGCTTTTGTATTCTTCTAAAGATGTCCAGGGATGTTGGTCTCCCTTGGAGATGCTGGGCTGGATGGATCTTCACTCAGTGCATTCCCTCTCTACACCACTATACCCACAGCTCCAGCTCTGAGCTGCATTTGGTCCCCATATAACTCTGGAAGTTGTGGGCTCCCCATTGATTACCTTGGTCCCAGAGGTGCCTTTCCTCCCTGCTTCTCCCTACAACACAATGCACAAGTGCTGGGTTTCACTTCCACCTGTGACCAAGTCCTTTTTACCCTCATTTCCTATTCAGGTTAAGATCTCTTGCTTTGACATCACCAGTGACTGAAGTCAGGATGTGGAGCCTCAGGATCAGAAACGTGGCTTCCCTTGATGATCCCATTCCACTTGATGTTGAAGGACCAACTCAGTCCTTTGAACTAAAGAGAAGTCTTCACTGCCTGTGGTTAGCAGAGGCTTTCCAGAAGCCAGTTATGATGCATTTGTGAGGGGCCACCTTGTTTGATCCTATTATGCCCTCAAACCACAAGCAAGCCCTTGAGGCCTGTTGTGGCTGCACACTGTGCTAGTTCCCTAGTTCCATGACTCAACGATGAAAAAACATGATGTTGAATAACATCATGAATAAACATGGCCTAAAGCACACCCTGATGACAACCTGCAAAGGATCTGCCTCCTCACTTGCAATGGAAGAGCAGACAGATCAAAGGAGACATTAGAACCCTCCTTGATGAGCAAACCACCACGTCTAATCAGAGGCAGTTTGTCCACTCCTGTTTGTTGACCACTGTTGTGTTGAGACCTGTCTCTTCCCCAACCTGTAGAAGATGTGGTCCCATCTTGTCACTTGTTCCTACTTGCTACTGCAAGGGCATAACGTGGGTTTGTTAGCTTGGTGCAGAGCAGTACACCAAGGCCTTCAGCATGACATCAATCTGACTGGATTGATAGCTTCTACTTACATCTTTACCTCTTTGTCCGGTCTTGCCTGGTTTCCCAGGTAATCCTGGTTCACCTTTCTGTCCCTTCAGACCTGTATCCCCCTAAAGAAAACAAGACATTGTTACATTCCTCTTCTGCGTTTCATTGTCCTCATACTTCAGACACAGCAGGGCAGATTCAGACAGCATGCCCAGGTCCTATAGCCATGCAATTGCTTCCATGCTCCTGACTGAAGCTTGGGCTCAGAGCATTACCCTGTGCTAGGATGGGCTGTGTTTATAGTGCTTGCTCAGTGGGTTAGGCTGGAAAGCATCCATCTCTAATGCAGTCCATCCAGACTACACAACCAGCCTTGGCAGACACTGCAGGACAGACCTTTATGAGGTTCTCCACCTCCAGGAAGCTCTGCAGCTCAGCTGAGGTGGCCCATTAGCAGAGACCCAGGAGATGGGTCCTGTCTTGAGAGCATGGTGTGGACACAGGATCAGTTCCCCCTCCATGTTTTAAGTATTCCAGTGTAAAACCAGTTGAGCTCTCATTGATGGGTACTTACACATCTGTCCTGATTGATCTTTGTCAAAGTCACCTTCCTCATCACTCAACCACCTCACCATGCCTCATCCCAACCCAAAATACCCTTTGCTGCCTTTTCTGCTTTGCAACTGCATTAACACATCCTGTCTTGGATGTCTCTCCTTTACTTCTTTTGACATCCAGTTTCTCCATGCCCATGAAGCTGATCCAGACTGGATATCCTATTCATTGGGCTATGTATGCATCACACTATAACATGTCCCAGATCCATATGTTCCTTCAGCCAAGCCGGGGGAGCAATGCTCTTTGAGAAATGCTCACAGTGAGGCAGATTCACTGAACACCACATTAGGGATGCTTCTCTCGACCGTTTTAGAACCTTTGCAAGGAGGAATCCTAAAAGCCAGGATTTTCAGGGTTTTTTAAGGCCTTGTTAAAGATTGAAGAGCATCTTTTCATTGCTATTCTATGCAGGGCTCTGTGTGTCACACAGAGACTTGAGCAAAGCAGGACCTGTTTGGACCTTTCAGTGTTTGAGCCCTCCCCGTGTTTCAACACAAGCCCCATGGCAATGATAAACCACCACTGACTCAAGTTGCCTTGGGTGACACAGACATCAGTCTGATGCAATGCTTTACACGTTGCAATCACTGCACACACTCACCTTCTGCCCTGGTTTGCCAGACAAACCTACATTTCCCTGCAGAGATACAGGCCATTAGTCACATGGAAAGAATGATACAGGTAGAATAATCTCATAGGATCCCAGACTGGTTTGGGTTGGAAGGGACCTTAAAGCTCGTCCAGCTCCAACCCCTGCCACGGGCAGGGACACCTTCCACTAGAGCAGCTTGCTCCAAGCCCCTGTGTCCAACCTGGCCTTGAACACTGCCAGGGATGGGGCAGCCACAGCTTCTCTGGGCACCGTGTGCCAGCGCCTCAGCACCCTCACAGGGAAGAGCTTCTGCCTAAGAGCTCATCTCAGTCTCCCCTCTGCCAGGTTAAAGCCATTCCCCTTGGCCTGGCCCTACAGGCCCTTGTCCAAAGCCCCCCTCCAGCTTTCCTGTAACCCCTTTAGGTATTGGAATTTAGGTACCGGATTTCAGATGAAAGTCCTTCTGTTGTATCTAAAGGGTGCAAACATCAGGCTCACTGCTGCAAAGCTGCTCTTTGGAACCATTAATACTTTGCTGCCCACCTTTGATAGAAGGCTGAGGACCACAAAGATGTTAGCTTTGCACCATTTTGCTGCTTTAAAATCAATGGGACTGTTGATGCCCATGTAGAAGGGCACACCGAGGCATTAACCCAACTCTTACTAGATATCAGCAAACTCACATGGGAGCCAACAGAAGCTTGCACCTTCTTGGACACAAAAGTCAGGAAGATAAAGCTCAAGTTCTCTTTTAGGACATGAAACCTTTGGAAATGGGGCTTCCTTGGCTCTGCTGTTTGCAGAGTTACCAGCTGAGCACTGACCATCTGTGCCCTCTTGCATGCTCATGAGTGATCCTCTCTCTGCACCCCTTTGCACTGACTGTGGATGACAAACCCCATCACACAAAACCACCATGGGCTCATCAAACACAGGGTGAGAGCCCAGCTCCTTCTCACCACCTCAGTATTAACTCCCTTAGGGATGAAGCCCAGCAAATTCACATACATGGAAGTGACAGAGAGATTCTGTCTCTGAAGCTCCCAAGTTGCCTTCTTTGCCCTCCCCTTTCCACATCCAGCCTCTTGCCCCACTCACCCTGTCGCCTGGGTCTCCCTTTAGACCAGGTTGACCGGGAATGCCGAAACCTGGACTTCCCTGCAAAAATCAATGGTGATGTGTGTATCAGTGTAATGCAACTCTATGTACAACAGAGACGCAGCAAGAGATAAATCCTGTGCTGGTGCTGCCTTTATGGCCACCATATAGAACCCCAGACTGGTTTGTGTTGGAAGGGACCTTAAAGCTCCTCCAGTTCCAACCCCTGCCACAGGCAGGGACACCTTCCACTAGAGCAGCTTGCTCCAAGCCCCTGTGTCCAACCTGGCCTTGAACACTGCCAGGGATGGGGCAGCCACAGCTTCTCTGGGCACCCTGTGCCAGCGCCTCAGCACCCTCACAGGGAAGAGCTTCTGCCTTATCTCCAACCTGAACTTCCCCTGTTTCACTTTGAACCCATCACCCCTTGTCCTATCACTCCAGTCCCTAATGAAGAGACCCTCTCCAGCATCCTTGTAGCCCCCTTCAGACACTGGAAGCTGCTCTGAGGTCTCCACGCAGCTTCTCTTCTCCAGGCTGAACAGCCCCAGTGTTCTCAGCCTGCCTCCATACAGGAGGTGCTCCAGCCCCTGATCAACCGCGTGACCTCCTCTGGACTTGCTCCAACATGGTCCCTCTCCCCTCCTAACCACACTTCTTGCTGCTTCTGAGAGATGCTGTTGTGGATATCCAACCTTCACTAGAGTTCTATTTGAGGAATCCAGCATATGCCTCACTTTCCCCATCCTGATCCTGCAGATCTTGGCTGCAATTCTTCCATCCCTATGCACACAATGTGGTGACATGACCCTGCTCTGCTCATTACTGCACTCTTGGGAACACATCCTATGCCATGCTCACTGTTGGCAGTCTTAACCTCAGCACCATTTTGCAGTCCCTTCAAGGGTCAGCCTGCTTCCCATCCTTCCTGTAACTGTTTGTTGCTAAGCAAGATTCAGAAGGAGGTAACAGCATCGCACCAGAGCAGCTTCCAAGCTCAGGACACAAATCTCCACACCTGAAGCTTCAGGAAAGGACAGAGCAGATCCTACTCATCTGCAACCATGGGCAGCTGCCTGACCTGAGCTCTGGTAACTGCATCTCTCGCTGACATCCTTTCAAGGAGCTTTTGACTTCTACATGGGACAAGTCCCCCCTTGGCTTTCAGCACATGGGTGCTCCTTGGTAGCAAGAGTTGGGAGGGAATTCCATCTGCCTCAGAGTTTTCTTTGTGCACATGAACAAAATAAACCCTTCTACACGTAAAGGATGCACCAAGAAAAGCAAGTGCGTTACCTTCTCTCCTTTGTCTCCTTGGATTCCTTTGTCTCCTTGTGGTCCCAAGGCCCCAGCTGGTCCAATGTCTCCCTACATACATAAAGGCACTCCCAAAGTTAATAATACCATGCAGGAAGCCCTGTTCATCTGGCTCCCTTGAGCTGCATTTTGCACTTCCAATGCACTCTGAAAACCATTCCATCGCCCCATCCACTCAATTTTGGGTTTACATTGAAGCTTTCTCTGTGGTACCTGGTCTTCTGCCATACAAAACTCATCACAGGAGTTACACCCTCCCCAGCCATGCAACCGGTATGCTGTAAAGCACCAAATGTACATTTACAGTGGTATAAGCAGGATAAAATCCAGATCTTTTATTTCTCTGAAGGGTGGCAATGAGGTTATCATTATCTTAAATATGTAACATAATCCAGGCCACATTCCATCATGAGGCCACTGCAAAAACCCCAGCCCACTTCCTAATGCAGCCAGTCTGAAGGAATAGAGACACTTTGCTAACCAATGTTAAGCAGTCTGGGCAGTAAGACTAATGAAGGGAGATTGCTCCAACATCCAAGCACAAGGAAAAGTACAAAACTCATCCATATGGAGTAAAAGAGGTATGGAGGAGATCTTCTTGGGTTGAGAAATTCAATTCCCTCCAGTCATGGGGAGGCCAAATGCTGCTTGAGGGAACTAAAGACATGGAGAAATCTCCATCCATGGGGATGCCCAGAACACAAGGCCCCGAGCAACCCAACCCCTGAAGTGGGGTCTATTTTGAGCAATAGATAGGATTAGAGACCTCCAGAAGTCCCTTCCAGCCTCAGTTCTGCTTTGATTTTATGTCAATGCCTCCCTTGGTTGGAAACCAGCTTCCGTGAGTGGCTGGATTTGCACTTGAGTGATGTTTCCCTTCCAAAACTAGCACATGGAAATCCCAGTTTTCCCTGCAGACTAGGGCTAGGAAGAGAATGACAGGTACAAAATGTTCATAAAAGCAAAGAAATACCAGCAGGGCAAGACTGTTGCTACTATTTTAACCTCTCCTCCTAGTCAATCACAAGGGAGATATGATTCAGATGGTGAAACATGGTACAACCTTCCCTGTTTCAGGCAAAGATCTCACCTAAGTTTCAAGCAGTGCTGATTAATGGACTTACCCTGACACCTTTCTTTCCTGGAGGTCCCAAAACCTGAGGATAAATCACAGAAATGCTCTCTTATTTAGGACAAGGATGTTCAAAGGAGGGTCTATTCATGTTATCTTTTCCAACGCAAGAGGATCTCAGTCTTGCTATGGGATAGGAAACCCATGACCAGCACTTATGGCTAGAAAAAACAAGCCAAATCCCAATCCCAGTGAAGCTTGTGAGGAACCCCACCAACTTCAATAGGTTTTGGCTCCAGAGATGGGACTGAATGATCACTCATGTGTGTTATTGGTAGCCTTCTCTTCTCTGCTGTAGCCTTCTCTAACACACACCAAGGACCAGCCTTCAGACAGCAACGTTCCTGCTCATTCCAGCATCCTCCAGGACACATCAGTTTGTCCTGGTGATGGATCTCAGTCCTCAGTGCAACCTTCATGTGCTCCCACAGCCCTTGCAGCAACGCCATGGGGCACGCAGAGGTGGCCACCACCAAAGTTTCACCTCAAAGCTGCCCTAGCATTTGGAGGGACATGAAGAGCAGTGCTTCTTCAGCAGGGACCAAAGCATCCCCATAGGGAATGAGGAGCTAGAGCAGAAGAATAGGCCTGGAGCACAGCGTTTCAGTGGTGGGAGGCTTTATCCTTGTGTTTCCTGAATAGCAGTGAAGCTCCTTTGAGAAGACAGTGGGCAACTGGGGTGCAATGGCTGGGAATACAAGAAGTGGATCAAGGGAGCAGAAGGCTGGAGGGGCAGGGAAAGGGTCTGTTAGTTCTTCCTGCAGTTCAGTGGGACACATCTCTCTTGGTCTACGGGCACTGCTGGTGGTGATGCCTTATAGCTATAGCACGAGAAGGGCTGTAATTTGTTCATAGTTACCCCCATAGCTGGAGCACCTGGAAATCCTGGGTTTCCCTGCAAGGCAAAAGGACATAAAATGAACAATCTGGGGCAATGAAAAATATCTGCCCATTGCCTTCCCCCATCTGTTCCTTAAAACGGCTCAAAACTCATCTCAGAAGCACAAGGGCAAAACAGAGAGGAGATGCTGAGCTCAAGCACCTCCCTGCTGGCTTCATCTATGTACAAACACACTCGACAGTGCTTGCAAAAGCTGCACACATGGAACAAGCTGGGACAGTCAGGACAGCTTCACCTGAGCTACTGAAACATATTGTGCTCTTACTGCTTTGCTTACTTGGTCTCCTTTCTGCCCTGGAGGTCCTGGGAGTCCCTGTAAGACATCAAAAGAGAATTTCCATCAGGCTGAAAGAGAAGAAGGAGATCTTCACCCCAGTCTTTCACTCACTACAAGACAGATTGGCTATAAGGACTCTTAGGTGAGAGACAGAAATCCCCGTGTGTTCTTAAGGTCCTTTCCAACCCTAACTATTCTATGATTGGATGCCTATCTCCAGGATGCCTTATTGCCATCTAGCAGGAGACCAAGCGGAGAGCTGCAAGCTCTCACACCAGGTAAAGCTACCAAAGATGGTCCTTTGCAAGCCAGAAAAGGTATGGAGATACTCATGAGATGCATGGGAGCTACAAGACCAGGTCAGTGCTTTCCATAACCCAGCCCCATGAATCTGCTCAGAACTGGAAGCTGTGAGTATATGGACCTGTTGTAAGGAGCTCCTGCAAGGAGCACTGACTCAGGGAGCACTCAGCCTACTTTTATAGCTATTCTTAGGAAGAAATATTGCTGTCTCTTTTGATCTTTGAGGTGATAACTAAATGCAAGTGCAGCTGCGGGAGCTGTAAACCTGAAACACAGCTCAATAAAAGCAACCTGTGATACTCAGCATGGACCGTCAGAGAGAATTCCAGGTTGGTTTGGCAGTGTTTGCTTGCTGCAGGCTGTCCTGGGGATCTGCCACTGGGGCAAGGTCTATCCTCAAGCTGCAAGCTCCTTGAACCCTACAGTTATGTGGCATGTACCTACGTGGCCCAGTTATATCTGGTCAAATTGGGAGAACCTTTAGGGGAGATCTCAAATCCCTCCCTCTGGATCTCCAGCCAGGTACCTCAACTGCTCTGTCCTGAGCCCAAAACCAGCCAGAGTTTCTTCCCCCCCCTACTCTGCACTCCAGTGCTGCCAGTCTCACCTTTTCCCCTTTAACACCTCCTTGCCCTTTGTTACCCTGGAAAACAGAAGATGCTTTAGTTAAGGCAAAGCCCCAGTGGCAGAGCAGGATGAGACTGGAGGCTCCCATGCTGCAGAACACGCTGAGCATGTTCCCTCCACTGGAGACTGTGAAAGCAGGGAGGAAAGCAAATGAAATAAAAGAAAACGTTAAGTTTATCACATATATATCACATATAGCATGTTATATATCATATATAGCATGTTATATGTATAGTCCATGCTATATTGCATATTAATTACCTGCAGAGTATCTAGAATACATTAAGGTTTCTTGTATAATCAAACATACTTTATATATAATGCCTAATATCAAAATGCATGCATATTGTAATACATAATTACTGTATAGTTATGTCATAATTATCTACCATATAATACACATACAGTACTACATGTACGTATGGGCTGCCCTGAGCTTCATCAGACTGAGCATAACCAAAAGGAGTAAAGTGAGATACTGGTCCAGGGCACAGTTACTACAGTTCTCTGAGTCTATGATACGACAGCTGCTCTATTTACATATTGCTTTTTTATCTTAATTGCTAAAATCTCACAGAATCCCAGGCTGGTTTGGGTTGGAAGGGACCTCAAAGCTCCTCCAGCTCCAACCCCTGCCACGGGCAGGGACACCTTCCACTAGAGCAGCTTGCTCCAAGCTCCTGTGTCCAACCTGCCCTTGAACACTGCCAGGGATGGGGCAGCCACAGCTTCTCTGGGCACCCTGTGCCAGCGCCTCAGCACCCTCACAGGGAAGAGCTTCTGCCTAAGAGCTCATCTCAGTCTCCCCTCTGGCAGGTTAAAGCCATTCCCCTTGGCCTGGCCCTACAGGCCCTTGTCCAAAGCCCCTCTCCAGCTTTCTTGCAGATTTATTTCCTGCTTGAGTCCCTTCCTTGTCTTGTGTCATCTTTGGCTTCACAGCAGAGTTACCAGATTCAAGCTGGAGCTGTATTTGTCCAGTCTCTTTCATCTGGCAGCACCATGAAGCCAAAATCACTCCTCTCCACCAACGCAAGGCTCTCACGTATAGTGAGAGAATTGGTCAAGGTTCTTTTTTCCTCCAAGAGTTGGAAAAAAAATGGGCACTTCCATTAGAAAAATCAAAATCAGGATGGGATCTATCACCCCTCACAGGGGTGTTCTTTCTCCACTGGAAATCTGGGAATGAATCTGGCCTGGAGGAAGGTGTCAAAAACGCAGACGTGAGACAACCTGCTCCTTACGCCTTCCTCCCAAAACACGTTCAATGTGAATTCCCACAGTTCTGGAGAGTTCCACTGGCCACAGAAACGCCATTTATTATTTGATTAAAAAACCCCACATCTTGCTGCCATTCCAGGTCTGAGCTGCAATGACTCCCACAGACCAGGGACTGCTGATGGGTAGAATCATTCCCTCTTAGCTTTTGCGTAGAGGGTCAATATTCCCACAGCCTATGATGATGCGACGTGATCTATAAATCTAAGGCTGCCACAATATTCCTGCAGTCTATGATGATGCTTAGAGCCAGACGCTTTCCTTGCCACCCGAGTACCACGCACAGGGACTCAGGTTCAGCAGTTCAGTACCCACCTTTGGTCCTGGTGCTCCTGGAGGTCCCATAACCCCCTAGAAACAGGAGAAACAATGAAAACCCAGACTTTAAAACCCAATGTCTTCCCTTCTCAGTTTGTAACCCCAGGATGTGCCCTCCAAGGAACACCTTGATATTGGTATTGGTAGGGGACTCTGGAAACACTGAACCCTCCAAAGGGATTTTAGCTGCAAATCCCAATCAAAATTGCCAACAAACCTGCTCTCCTTTCTCCCCCTTCATTCCAGCAGTGCCGGGAATGCCAGTTCCTGCAATCCCCTATAAGGAAAGCACAGCATTCACTCAGGAAAGCTGGTCCCCAAGGCTGCAGAATGTGGCATTCAATGGAGCAACCCTATATCCAGGGGACAGGGAGCATGCAGGGCTTGGGCCATGTCTGGGAGGAAACACTGTTCCTGAGAGCAGGAACCACAGAGGAGATCTTCCACTGAGTGGAAACAAGAGGATGCAGAGGATGATAGACTTGGATGGAGATGGAGCATCTATTCAACCACACACCAACTCCAACCCATACAAGCAGGCAGAGAAGGGGAATGGTGGAAGATCCCAGTGTGCCTCCCCACATGTCTACCTTCCTATTACTTTTGTCTCAGCTATTCCTAGCTGATGGATTCAGCAAGTATCTAAGTAATGACCTTTTCTCCCCTTGGTCCAGGCAGCCCAGGAACACCATGTGGCCCCACAGGGCCTGGCAAGCCAGGTTTCCCCTGAAAAGGAAGATACAGCATCAAATCTTTCTCTTCCAAACCGGTTGTTACCAATCCTACTAAAGAAAAGGTTTAGTTTCAAGTCTGCAGAAACACCAGCAGAGAAATATATACCCTGATGTGTCTATCTAGGGGGTTGGAACTGGATGACCTTAAGGTCTTTTCCAACCCAAACCATTCTGTGATTCTATGAACCGGCCATTGGTGAACCACTCACCGGCTCTCCCATGCTTCCCCTGTCACCCTTGAGGCCATTCCTCCCACGAGGGTCCTGCATGGAGCACAGGACAGTCTTGCTGCATGTCCCAGCAGCCCTTTATGAGCCTTGATGGACATCTAATAGGTATGAAAGCCTATTGCCAGCTTAGAAATACTACTAATAAACGCTTCTCATCACATGCAGAAGTAAAAGCCAATCTCAAGTACTTACCCTGATTCCTGAATCCCCTGGTTCACCCTGAAACACAAAGGACAATGTGAATTCCCATAGGGTGGTAATTTAAAGGGGGGTCATCTGTAAACTTAGTCCCAGTGAAAAGCTCCTGCAGGCTGACAAACCCAGAGACCAAAATCCCCAAGGGAAGACAGAGCTTTAGCAGATGTTTCTGCTATCTTGCATGGTCCAGACACCTCAACCTGCAATATCTGGTGTCAACCCCTCATCCCTTTGGGTAAAGCAGGGGAGTTTAGGTCTCCTGGTGTCTGCTGAGTCTTTCTGACTCATCCCCAGTGCAAGGAGTCATTTGGTGATGACCATCAGGCCAGTTTTGGCACAGCACAAGTGATCCTGTGAATTCCACTCCAATCATTGAACAACCATCCTAGGGATACGGAGCTAGAAAAGGCTTAGCAGCCACTGAATCCAGTCCCATGTCAGACGAGGCTGACTGTAACCATTCCAAGTTCCATCATCAATTCCCACTGTGTTCAACATCAGGGCCCTGATGATAGACACACTTTGCAATGCCTCCTCTGATATCTCAATGGGAGAATCCCATGATGGAGAGGAGAAATGTGCATCCCCAGGGCCCCTGATTGAAGAGTATCCAGATTATGGGCTATTCTGGGTCTCCTCCTTCTGCGGCCTATCACAGAACCAAGCTTCAAATCACCACACTCACCTTGATGGGGATCCCTGGTGGCCCCTGTGGCCCTGGTAAACCTGGTGGTCCTGTTACCCCAGGAACCCCCGGCTGTCCTTTTTCTCCCTGCAACAATGAAAACCAGGATAGGGATAGATGTGAGCTCTCTCCCAGCTCCCTTCCCTTCTCTGCAAGCCCCTGGGAGGCTGAAGGGTCCAGCACACCTTGGGTACAATACTCACAGGGGGTCCAGGCTGCCCATTTTGTCCAGGAATCACCTCCACTCCTCCCAGGACATAGCCTGGTTCACCCTGTGCACAAAAGGAGAAGGATACATTCTTGGCTTCATCAAGCAGACAGGCAGTATCATGACTTAAGAGGCAATTTCGTGATGCACAAAAGCAACTTTAAAGCCAAATAGCCCTTTTCAAACCACCTACTTGCAGCAACACCTTAGCAGAGATATCAGAATGGCCATGACATGAGCTTTGCTTACTGGCATGGAAGAAAATTAATCCCAGGGGAAGAATAAAAGGTTGGCTTTCAGCAGGATCTGTTCCATGATCTGTAGCCATACAGGTGGATGCAAGGAAGAAGGAGGAGTGTGCACTGGGGCTTTGGGAAAGACAGAACAATTGCTCCTGGGATCTGCCTTACAACTGATCGTGAAGCCTTACCTTTCTGTGTCCTAAATGTATGCAAACAGGCTTGCTCATAATGGAAACTCAAAAAGGCAGAATGACCTAACTCAGGGCCACCTCCTTCTGCAAATAGCCAAGATGTGCCAAGAGCCTGTGACAAGGACTGAGCATTGTCTCCATAAAGACATCAGATTCCCCCTAGCAAAGCTGAAGACCAGCTCCCCAAGCTGGAGACTTGTGTAGGGCTTGTTAATGGAGCTCAGAAGCTCATATTAACCCAAGGTCACTGGGGATGCCTGGAAATTAGAGATCAGAGCAATACAACAGCTTTTTGCCACTGAAACCCAGGAATGAAACTCACTCTGTCTCCTTTTGGCCCCGCTGGTCCCGGATAGCCAGGAGATCCCTGGAATTAAAACAAATCCTGCTGCATTAAACAGCAAAGCACCCATAAGACCATCACTGTGGAATGTTCAGGTTACAGATCTGCTTCTTTAAAAGCAAATGAAATTGCTGAAAATAGATTTTGGTCCCAACATTGATGATAATCATGTATTTGTCACCTGTGGGGCCAATGTGTTGTAATTCCTTCTCTAGGGATGGGTGCACGTAGGATGGACACCCAATGCAGTAACAGTATAGTATGTCCAAGAACCAATGGATGCTGTGCATTTTTACTTACAATGGCTCCTTGGATGCCAGGAGGACCCTGCAAAACAGGAGAGAAAGATTAGAGAGCCATGCTTACTCAATGGCACTTGGACAAAGCTTGTTAGAGCAAATACATACCATGAGTCCAGGGGGACCAGGAGGACCTGTCCGCCCCGGTCTGCCCGGCAGTCCAGGAATGCCATCCTTCCCAGGTAGACCCTAAACATGGGGAAAGTAACAGCATGGAGGTTATGGGCCCAGACCTGCAAACCCAAAGAGCTTCAAGAGCTTTAGGTATAACCCAAAGTGATGTACCTCTCAAAAACCACCTCTTGTGAGAGTCTGCAGTTGCCAGCACACATATGTACACATATTAGTTCCCATTTCCCCAATTTTCAAAGCCAGCATGGAGCAGGATATACCAAAACACCAACATGGAAGACCTGAAGATGATTCCTTGGTTCTAATCTTTTCCTTGGTTCTAATCTCTTCCTTGGTTCTAACCATTTAGATACATATTCATTGAGTGGATGGTTCATGCTGGTGAACTCACCCGCTCTCCTTTCTCTCCCTTTGTAGTAAAGCTGTATGGGTCATAGCCACCATGAGCTGGTGAGCCCCTGGAGCTCTGGAAAGGAAAAGGAAAATAGAATATGATCAGGGAATTATTATCCACCAAAGGACAGCAAATAAACTCAAACCAGAGTGATCATGAAACACAGACTAGCACGCTTGGCTTATGCAACAAAAGGAAGAAGCAGAGCTGACCATCCAGGAGGCCTGTTCATATCCTCAGGCTATTTAAAGTCCCTTGGAGGTCATACATTATTTATTTTGTCTCTGGTTTGCACCAAAATTGGGAGAACAGGATGAAGAACACAGTTGTGTGAGGCCAAAACGCAGTCAGGGGATGTTTCGATGCCTCAAGAAGTCTTGGCCCATGTCACATCTACCGTTCAGGATCTTCTTTCTGTCTCAGTGACACTCTAAGTACTCTTGGTTACATATCTGCAAGACTTCAGGGTAGTGTCAATGCAATTCTTCTCTCCCACCATGGAAGAAACTGTAGAAATAAGTTTGGCAGGGATGAAATAAAGACCCTAATTCAACCATCCATGGACAATATTCACCTCACCTCATTTTAGACTGCCACAGCATCAACTTCACTTCAGTGTGGACACCTGCCTGTGAACTGAAACATGATCAGACTTGGCTGACCACACTGACCAAGCTACTAGGGAGACCCCCATGTTCTCCAGTAAAGCTAACATAGACTGCTCAATCTTGTTAGCTACAAGCCACATCAGTAAACTCACTCGACCAGCACACAGGCTCTGGGTCTGTTCTACTGTTCTTCATGTCCTCTGGCTTTCTGCTTGGTGGGAGGAGTGGGTAGATTTGCCTCCTGCCATTTTATTTCTGAAGTCAGGAGCAGTGGCAGCTGCTTGGTCTTTTCAGCGGCTCCCATGGAGCCTAGAGCTATCCGAGATGCCACAGAACCTCTGGGACATCTGCATGGGCAGATATGATGTGGGCCCTATGGAAGGCCTGCAGCTCACTGGTTTGCTGGGAAGGAGCACAGGAGGCTGCTGCATTTCCCATGCTGAAATGGCAGCTTCTAGGATGACCTTCCCAATCATGGACACGGTTTCCAAAGTGAAGGGTCTTGACACTGACACAACTCCACACCACACAGATACGATAAAGTGACCTGATCAGAGCAGTCATCAATGTTTCTTTAAATACAGTCCCCTAAGCAGACACCAATGAACTAATTCTCACCTTTAAACACCAAGGACCACAAGCCTTCTCTTCTCTTTGGATATGTGGCTCGGTTGATGACGGATCAGGGACGTGTGGCTTGCTCTCTGCGTCACCAAACAGCAACCGCTTGTCAGCTTCATGCCTGGCAACCTACAGCATGGAGGTTGGCTTAGATTAGTGATCCTGCAGGTTTTGGAAGCAGACATCAAACAACAACCTTCAGCAGGTCTCAAGAGGTCTCTGTGCTTTTATATCACCAACCTTTTCATTGAAACAGCCGTAAGATATCACTGTTGGAGATACTCTGAAGAAGGGCTCACATCCATACCAATGACCCAGCAACCGGAGTTAGAAGAGGGCAATGAATTTATAACACATCCAAGTGCTCTGCAGTGGCTTTATTCAACAAAACTTCCAAAGCCATGTTCTGGCTTCCCCAGTTCCACCCCCTTGATACCAAACTTTGTTCCTTATCTCTAGGGTTGGACAGTGAGGTCAGGATTGAACCCAGTGTCCTAAATCTGTTCTAACTTTGCTTTAAAACTTTGCCTAAGGAAGAAGATTGCCCTTTGTGTGCATGACCCACACCAAGAGATGGCTCATAGTCAAAGCTCTATGAAGGATCTCACCTCTCCAGATGGTAGCTGGGTCCCTGAAGGCTGAGGGTCAGAACAAATGACTTCTATGAGCTCTCTGAGGATATGAGGTAGGTCATCGAATGTGCTGACGTAGAACACATTCTGGAGGTTCTGCTGCAGCAAGATGCTGTTGAGCTCAATGGGGTCAGCTCCTGAGACACCCACAGCAATGATGCGGATCCCTGAAACACATTGATCACCCAATTGAAGTGAAAATGTTTGAGATCAGAGTTTACAAACCCCATCATCACCATTTTCCTGTTAATATCGGAGTAACTGATATCAGCAGAGGATAACACGAGCACAGACCTGAAAGCAGCATGTGTGAGCTATAGCAAACCAAGAGACACAAGCTAGGAACAGAAAGAAGCAAGGATAAAGGAGTGAAAAAAGCCAGAACACAGACATCACACGGTGTACCACACTACACCCCTTGGAAATCCATGGAGAACCAAGGGTTCAGGGAAATGCAACAGGGCAACTCTTACCCAAAGCATGGGCTACTCTGGCTGGTGGCAACACATCATCCTGGGATTGCCCATCAGTCACAAGCACCATCATGTGAGGGAAATCTGGTCTCATCCCTTTGGAGGACTGAAATAACTCCTTCAGCATATAGGTCATACCACGACCTGAGCAAACAAAAAGAAAGATCAGAGGCTGGGTTACCCAGGAATTCACAGTCTGACCAGTTTCACCCCTGCTTTTTCTGACCTGCTCTTGTATTTGGATCAGCCTCATTTTTGTGTTCCTGACCAATACTACTGAGCCAGGAGGAGGTATTTAAGCCTTCAGTTAACACACATAAAGCTTCCCTTTATGTTGACTGATGGGAAGACATTATTTGGGCCATTTGAAAATGGTAAGGTTAAAACAAGCTACTTTCAACTTAGTATTACTGCTCATGGACCTTCAGGGATCCAGGTAAACCCTATTGTCCCGCTGGGAATAAGCATTTGGAAAGTCCTGCCTGTCTCTGAGCTTTTGAACTACATAAACCAAAAGTGTCTGGATTTCTGAGACCCTGAGCTGATGAAGAGCTGTGCTACTTGTCAACGAATGGGAACAAAGGACATTAGGTGATGAAAATAGGACGGGGCACGTAGTTTTGTTGCTTGGGTTATACAAGGCAATAACAGAATTTGTTGATGAAAACGTGCATACAGAGAGCAATAAAGATGCTTCAGCAGCCGCTCTCCTCACCTAATGTCTATGGGGTTTATTTCCAAGCCAGGTATAAAAACCCCCTTCAAGTGCAGGCAAGTTTATAAAATTATGAAGGGGAACCCAGCAGTAAACGTGGTATGTAGATATAGGACATCAGGCTGCTTGGACAGACCATCCCTGGCAATCAAACTACATTCAGTTCTCTGTCCTCAAACTTTAAAGAGCTTTGGGCCATAACTTTCTAACCAAGTAAATGGGTTCAAAACATTCAGATGCTTTCCCTGGCCTTCAGACTCTGTCTTGGGGCTAGAAGGTCAACCCCATGTCTGCAGCTCAGCCATACCCACCCGTTCTTGTGTTGCCTCCAGTATAGTGCAGGCCCTTGATAGCTTTCAGGGCACTGTTGCGGTCATGGTGCTGGTTGAAGTAGAAGGCTGTCCTGGGCTCCTCACTGTATTGAGCAACAGCAACCTGCCAAAGAGAAGGGGGTTAAAAACATGGAGGGCTCAGGCACACAATAAACGTGCCATCACTCAGTAAACTGCCTTGAGTTAGATGATACACTAATTAGATAGTTAATACTAGTTAGATGATAACTAGTTGTGGCGGAAAAAGAGCAGAGACAAGAGCTTGTGTTCCTTGCAGACTGAAACCAGGAACAAAAATGTCTGTCAGGTTGGCAGGCACATAGGGTACAGTCCATATGCTTAAGGGTAGGTAAGATACTCTTTCTGACTCTCCAGGGCATCACAGGTTTCTGCACAGGCTGGAGGATATAGAATAGGACCGACAGAAGACCGGCATGGGCTGCTCATGGCTGGCTGGGAGCATCTCCTGCTGCAGTACCTCCTATGGCAGCACCATCCCTCCTGAATGAAACCCTTGCTGGCTTCCTTTTGCAGTCAACAGGGATCTACTCAGCTCATATTATAGGACCTAAATTGCTTTCATCACCCCAGAATTGTCTGATAAGCTGAGGCAACTGCATCATGTATCTAAAGCTTCAAAGCTGCCTGCAAAACAAAGAGTGCAAGAAGTTCCCATCTCCTGATCAACTGAAAGTGAGCTATGTAGGTCTCTTTTTTTGAAGAGCTAGTTCAAATGTTACATTAATTAAGCACAAATGACCCCAAATAAATGATCTACAGAGTCTTCCCTTGGCTTTGCTGTCATTTGCTGTAGGCTCCATTTGTCCTTGGGGTGTTTCACAGCACGGCCTGGGGATCTCATCCTCTGCTTGTCTAGAGGAGGCCTCTGCTGGCATGTGCCTTGTCTCCCATCTGGGCCCCAGCTTGGGTCTCTAACCATCAGCACTGTGGATGTGGGCAGAAATGGGGCACTAAAGGGGTACATGCCCCTAACACATCCCTGGACTCCATAACCTAGACACCATTTCAGTAGATCTGGAATTGCTTTATTCCTGTTAAATTTCTGGTCTTGGAAAAATAACCAAGAAATGGAAATAGATCCAAACGAGTAAGCTGACATTTAGGAAACTTCTATTTGTGTCTTTGTTGGACAAATACATGTCCTTAGGCAGAGCACTTAGTCCTTCTGATCCACAACATGTAAGCAAACAGACTGCTCTCAGAGTAAGGGTGAGCAAATGGTGAAGCCTTGGAAGGAAAACACCTCCAGGAGAGAGAAGCACAAAATCTTGCCTGTGTCCCCTCAGGCCCAATCTTAGGGAAATAGGAAATGATCCGGAAGAGGAAATCCTTCACTTTCTTGAAATTGCTCTGGCCAATGCTCGAGGATTCATCCACCAGGAACCCGATGTCTGCTTTGAGCTTGCCACAGACTGCAGAGGGAAGAGAGGATCTCTGTAAACTGGAGGGGGTCCTAAAGCAGAAGCATGTTTCTTTATGTTCAGAGCAACAAAACAAACCCAATACCTCTTGTGATGCCCACAGCTGGTGAGTGAGCAGGCAGCACCTTCACCTGCATAGTTCTAAGAGCTTCATTCCATTTTATAGGCCTTGTGTCTTCCCTTTCCCTGATATCGTCCCCTCTCACTACTCAATGAATAAAGGCTAGTTTTGCTTCTGAGATCAGAGAAGACCATGGTCCCTGGTGGTTTTGGCCCACTGCTACATCATCATCATATCACACACAGATACACACTCACTTGGTCCAGGGACAGTCGTCAGCAGTGCAGACACTGCAGTGGTTGATAGTGGGGTCTCTGGGGTTGGTGGTAGATTTGTGCTGGTGGCCAGTGGAAGAGGAGCGGTCCCCACATTGCTGGGAGATACGGATGTAGATCTCATCATATCCAATTCACTTGGAATGATTAGCGCAGGTGACCCTATGTGAGGTCCCACTGTAAGAGACAAACAGAAGAGGTGTTCTTAAACCTCTTTTAGTTATGTTTTAAACCTCTTTTATGTTTTAAACCTCTTTTAGTTATGTTTTAAACCTCTTTTAGTTATGTTTTAAACCTCTTTTAGTTATGTTTTAAACCTCTTTTAGTTATGTTTTAAACCTCTTTTAGTTATGTTTTAAACCTCTTTTAGTTATGATGCCACAATCAACCAAAAGTCAGAAGGGTAAAGAAGCCAAGAAATTAGCCTCAATAGCATTTACCATAGACAAAAATGCTATGCAAGTCTCCAGCCTTCATACCTGTTTGCCCAAGGAGAGTTGTCTCTGGTCCCTCAGTATCGCCAAAGATTGGTCTTATAGAAAACAAATACATCTCCTTGGCGCTCAGTCCCATCACTCGATACGACCTCGAAGCTGCTGATAACAGCTCCTGGGAAACATCAGAAGCTGTGGAAAAGGGAAAAGAAACCATGCGTTGACTGGGAGCCAGAGAAACTCAAAATAACTCCCATTTCTGTAGCATCCATCTTCCAATAACATCAACTTGGACAAACCAGGAGCTTGGGCATAAATTGAGTCCTTGGCTTCAGAGCAGAGGCTCTTGGTAAGACATGTTTGCAAACTGCAAGGGTCAGGTCCTAAAGCACATGAACTAAGCTTGTTTGCATGCAAAAAGGGAATTCTTGAGTACATGAACAGGAAAAGAAAATTGGAATTTGTACAAGTATTTAGAGAGGGCATTTGCTTTAAATGGTGCCTGAGGCTGAGCTCTGTGATAGACCAATGGTTTGCAGTGGTTGGCATGGTTAGAAACAGGATTTTTTTTGTTGATGAATGGGAAGTTTGATGAAAAGTTGAATCAAACTTACTTGAGAAATACAATGGATGGTTTGGATTTAAAATAATGATAGGAAAAAGCTGCAAAAAATGTCATAATCATGTTTTGACCTTTTCGAAGTGTCTCATTTTGGAAATACTGATCGAAGCGTTTTGGCACTGTTCAAAGTGGAACTCGCACCTTTTCTTTCTGAAACAACATTTTCCCTTCAAAAATAGGAAAAAGTTCAATTCCTATGGAAAGAAATTACATCAGTGTAAATGATTATTCCATTTTCATTAAATGTTCTCAATTACTCCCCAAAATTTTGGAAGGGAGATTTTGCTCCTTCTCGGAGTTTGACTCAAAGCACTCTACTTCTCTCCCTTTGGGTAGTTAAAATAGTAATAACTGGTTTATGATGCCTGTTACCTTGCCCAAAGAAATTTGCTGCGTGAAACACAAGCTGACAGCACTGATGAAGCACAGATCTACAGGAGTCCACCACCCACTCTACACTCCCAAAGAGGCAAGTTCAGCTACTTTTCCTTTTGCAGCTACGCCACTGAACAGCGCTAAACCCCTTTGATTCACGTAATAGGGATTTCACATAGAATCCCAGACTGGTTTGAGTTGGAAGGGACCTTAAAGCTCATCCAGCTCCAATTCCCTGCCACGGGCAGGGACACCTTCCACTAGAGCAGCTTGCTCCAAGCGCCTGTGTCCAACCTGGCCTTGAGCACTGCCAGGGATGGGGCAGCCACAGCTTCTCTGGGCACCCTGTGCCAGCGCCTCAGCACCCTCACAGGGAAGAGCTTCTGCCTAAGAGCTCAGCTCAGTCTCCCCTCTGGCAGGTTAAAGCCATTCCCCTTGGCCTGGCCCTACAGGCCCTTGTCCAAAGCCCCTCTCCCGCTTTCCTGCAGCCCCTTTAGGCACTGGAGCTGCTCTAAGGCCTCCCCTTAAGGAGCCTTCTCTTCTCCAGGCTGAACCAGGCCAGCTCAAAGTCCTTCTTGTCTCATGGGAGATGAAGGCTGGCTCTGGATGGAGCCATACATATGGTTGGTCTTGTTTAACACTGGACAGAGGAGGTCTCCAGCTGGGACAACCTCAAGCTGTGTAGAAGGGGACCCAATCTTTTATAGGTCAGGCTGGCTAGAATGAGCCAGCAGGGAGGAGAGCATTATATGAGCTTAAAAGGGTGGGGGGGGAGGAACATGGGTAATGTATGAGCAGTCATTTAGGAAAAAAATCAAGTTGTGGACAAGAAAATTAATCAAGCCACCAAGAGACCCAAAAGAAAGGAATTCTTAATTGCCTTTATGCACTAATGTTGGCAGCTTGGGTAATTAAACAAGAGAAACTGGAATTACCCACTTATAAGTATAAATCTGATCTCGGTGGTACTATTGAAACGTGGTGGCAAGATTTGTCTGATTGGAATGTGAAATCAATAGTTATAAACCTATTTCAGACGGATCGATCCAGTGAGGGCACAGGGGGACTGTCAGACATGGTGATATCCATTTTTGAGCCCCTGACAACGCTGAAAGCAATGATTTTTGGATACTTAGGGGTCGATACTTTAACAGCATGGCACAGGAGGGGAACGGTTGCATTAGATCACTTAAATCACCCTCGAGAACTGAATGTTCACTTCCTTAATCACTTACCCATAATATGTAGAGCAACAAACTGATGCTACCACAGGAGACTTCATCCTGAGTGACATATGCTGCAAGTCTTAAGCTGCCAATACCAAAATGTCCTTGGAATTACAATAAGAATGAAAGCTGAAGACCTGGTAACTCCAAAAAGCACTGCAGGGAGCACAGGGGAATTGTGTCAGGTTTCCTTTTCTTTATTGACTTGGGAAGATGAAGCAAAAAGTCAGAGGCTGAAGCAGCAATGGCAGGGAAGTTGCTATATTCAAAGAGATTTAAGCCCATTCCAGGAAAGAAATGATATAGCTGGTGCTTGAAAAGGGCAAACCCTGTAAGGGCAAACCAATGGGAAAAAGAAAGATACACTGGAAGTTGTGAGCAATGGTTAAGGAAGTTTTGAAAGCTCTTTACCATAGAGAAAAGCTTTTAAAAAGAGCATTAAGGTTCTATGGATGACAAAGCCCAACTTTTTGGTTCACTGCAACTATCCCTGATGGACAGGTAGTTACCCTAGAGGAAGAGATACTGATAATGCTCACCAGCAGAGCTTTCCTAAATTGAATCACAAGGTGGTTTGGGTTGGAAGGGACCTTAAAGCTCATCCAATTACAACCCCCTGCCGTGGGCAGGGACATCTTCCACTAGAGCAGTAATTTTCATGTCTCCTTTTTCTTCCACAGAGGCTTTTGCCATGGCCAAATGGATCATCTTGTGAGCATCCTCAATGGGCCAGCATCTATTTTTCCCCTTCTTTTTCAGCCAAATGAAGAAGCTGAGATGAAGGGACATGATGTATGGAAGGCTCCAAGGCCAACCCTCTGTTCTTCTGCTGAACAAAGTCCAGATGGATCCAAAAGAAGGGACTGTATTGGTGCCAACAGTGACAGCATCATCTATCCCAGGTCAAACTGGGTAGCAGGGAGACAGACACAAGTCATGAGACTTGAAGGTAGCAGCAGCCACTTAAGGGTAGCGGTGGGAAGAAGTTTCCTAGCTAATACCTGCCACCTGCATCTTCTGCAGCATCTGCTGGTTCCAAGACCAGGTACAGACCAGAGGGCAAGCCAGATACATCCGTGCTCCATCCTCAAATCCCCCTGGGTCATGGGGAAGCTCACACAAGAGGGGACCAAATTCCAAGCCACCCTTCTTCCCCCCACCAAAACCACATTACCTGAGGACAAGCGCCACGTTAACATGTACATGGATGCTCCAGGAACAGCCCTCCAAGTCAGCACAATGCTGGTCTCTGCAGCCTCCTGCACTGTGAACTCGGTCACTTTGGGTAAATCCACTGTTGGAAGAGAAAGAAACAAAGCTTAGGGTGGGTAGAAGCTACCACTGAAAGCTTGGTTGAGCCAGAAAGAAACTGATGCATCCTTTGGGAGATGCACATCCTGACCCCACTGAAATCAAAGGAAAAACTCCAGATAGAAATAATGAACATGAAGCAAATCTCTGCTACACTTGTTCACAGCTCCAGTTGTTGGTGAATCTCTGATGATATATCTACCCTAGGGTGCAAATATGTGTGTGCCAGGAAACACATCTTAGCCTGCAAACAGCTTTGGAGATCTTCTGCCTCCTAAAACACCATGTGCCTGGTATGAGGAAGAACCCTTGCAGCACTTCAGGGTTTTCCAGAAAGCTGGATCAAATCAGATCTTCAACTGGTGGGAATCGGTGGGGTTTTAGCAAGTAACTGTTGGCAGATCTTTGGCTGGGTGTTTCTCTAAACTGATTGTGACATTTGAACTGCTGGCATGGGAAATTAAGATCTTGCCTGCTCGTGTGTGCCAAATGTTAATGCTCCTTGATGCCACAGCACTGGATCTACTCCCCTGACCCTCTCCACCATCTCATCTGCAGCATCAACCAGGTTGCATGATGCCACAGCATCGTGAGTGATGTTTTGTCTTTTTCTACTGGAAATGGTCAAGATGTCGTGACTAAAGAGAGAATTCCAAGATAATGAGTCACAAAAATAACATCTTGTGGTGGTTTTTGACAGGGGAAGACAGGCAAAGTCCCATGGTTTCTCAGTAATAAGGAGAAAGGACCAATGCATGTTTTCTAGCATGCTCCTAGTGGGACCTGAGAAGTAATAAGGTGTCTATCAGCCAATGCTGCTCTTTTCCATCCTCACCTCTCATCATAGCCCCTAGGAAGAGACAGCCCCATAGAGATGTGTGAGAGGTGCTCTTGAGGTCCCATACTCACAGGTTTTGGCTGTGAGGAGTGTGGGGCTTCCCTCCTTTCCCCTGATCACTGCAGACACGCAGATGGTGTAGGTGGTGCTCTCCTTCAGTTTGGGGATCGTGAAGGAGTTTGTCTCTGCTGCAACCAGCTGGGAGGTTTCCAAGCCACCTGAGAGGAGACGTTCCAAAACCCCACCGTGTCCATAGAAAGGACAAGGTAATTCCTATTAACAATCATTGTTACAGCAGCTTCCTCATACAGAGTTTATGGGACTTGGGTCTGAGCTTATTTTGCATACGGGGAAACTGAGGCACAGGGAGCTAAGAGATATGGTCACAAAGGCATCACATGAGCTGTTGGAAGCGATCCGCTTCTTTGACATCCCAAATCCCAACTATGCCTATGTCCAATGGATACCATTGTTAGTGACTAAAACCTGGTTCAGTGACAGGGCTGCAACCTGGCTCTGTAAACACTATGGTTCTTACTTGCCCTGATTATCTGTGGGAAAAGGAATGAGCTCATCTAAGCTCCTATTTTGGGGGTTCCTTGTGCTCTGTCCTTATAACACACTTGACAGAGAGACCAGGTTGCTTACCATTGAATGGCACCCAGGATATCTTATAGTGAGTTACTCCAGGAAGCCTCTTCCAAGACAGCTTCAAACTATTTATGCTAGTGTCAGTAATCCTCAGATCCTGGATGGTCCGGATGGGGTTGGAGTCTCCAGAAGATGCTGGAAAAATGATCCAGGGTAAGATGTTTGAAGTAACAGTTCAAGTTACACAACAGAAGGTTCACGGCCCTGAAGAAAGATTTGGGTATTTATGCAACACGTACTTTCTGGTTTGGGTTGGAAAGCACCTTAAGATCATCCAGTTCCAAGCCCCTGCCATGGACAGGGACACCTTCCACTAGAGCAGGTTGCTCCAAGCCCCATCCTACCTGGCCTTGAACACTGCCAAGGATGGAGCCTGCTTAATGTGCCAGAAGGATGTGTTCACTCCTGCTCATGAGAAGAGCCATAGATTACTGCTACCAGCTATGAGGGCTGCTCATATCACTCCACCATCAACATGCAATGCACAAGACCATGAATCCAACCTTTACATCGCAGCACAAAGAGGGTTGCTCCACCAGGACATACCTGTGCGGTGAGTCAGGGTCACCTCTGGCCCCTCGGCCTTGCTGAAGACAGCCCGAACACTGACTTTATACAGGGTGTTGGGCAGCAAGTGGTTGATCCGATAAGACAACACATTACTGCCCAGGTATTGAGTCTTGGCAACCTGGTTTCCTGTCAAAGAAAAGGGATATTTCAGAGCTTGTAGCTCTGCAGTGAGGCTGGTGGCATCCCTCCAAAAGAAACAGAATCAAAGAATCACAGAATCAGCCAGGTTGGAAAAGCCCTTTAAGCTCATCCATCCCAACCGTTCCCAGCACTGCCAAGGCCACCACTAACCCATGGCACTGAGGCCTCGTCTCCACGGTGTGTGAACACTTGCAGGGACGGTGACTGCAGCCCTGCCCTGGGCAGCCTGTTCCAATGCCTGAGCACCCTCTGGGGAAGGAATTGTTCCTCAGCTCCATCTAAACCTGCCCTGGTGCAGCTTGAGGCCGTTTCCTCTTGTCCCATCCCTTGTTCCTTGGGAGCAGAGCCCAGCCCCTCCTGGCTCCATCCTCCTGTCAGGCACTTGTAGGGAGCCATCAGGTCCCCCCTGAGCCTTCTCTTCTCCAGACTGAACCCCTCAGGTCCCTCAGCCATTCCCCAATGTCTCCCTTGTAATGAGAATAGCCATTCCTTGCTGTATTACTGCTTCACAAACTTGGGGGTTATCTTCATAAACAGAAGTACATGAATACAAGGAAAGAAGGTGCCATCGCCAGTGGGTGCAAGCTGAGGCCCATGTTTCTCAATAGTGAGATCACTTTCTTACCCCAGGCAGTAGATGAGGAGTTTGGAAAGGTGTCTACCATGGCCATAGACACATGCAACCTTTCTGCTCACCCTTTCTCTGCTCACCTTTGCCTGCCCCAACAGGGCTCCAGGTGACTTTGAATTTGGTGGCCACTGCTGTGGCACTCCAGGCTATAGACAGGCTTGTGCTGGTGTAGGACATCACCTTGAAATTGGACACATAGCCAAGAGGAGCTGCAAGGTGAGGACAGAATTAGACAGTGCCCTGACTATTGTGAAACGGGGGCTCCTCATTGGCAGTATAATGAGGCCAAAATGATATAAAAGGGTTAAAAGTGGTATCTTTGCTTGTCCTCAGTGTCTCATCATCACACCCTGCTTGAAGCCTGGGCCACACATGCACAACCTACCTCCCTTGGCGTCAAGGAGCACATTCTGCTCTAGATGCATATGGGAAGACCTCTGGAAGCCCAGGACAGGCAGTACAGTGATCCAGGGAGATGTGAGATCCAAATCCCAGTGCCCTCACACTGTCTGCAGGGTGAAAGATCTGCCCAGAGCTCCCATGGGTGCTGAACATCAGTGTTTGCCTGTGCTCTTCTTCACAAAGGCCAGCCCCTTATCTCCATACTGTATTCCAGGGTTGCTAAGCATGAGAAGGAGAACTTAGAATGGTTTGTGTTGGAAGGGACCTTAAGCTCCTCCAGCTCCAGCCCCCTACCACAGGCAGGGACACCTTCCACTAGAGCAGCTTGCTCCAAGCCCCTGTGTCCAACCTGGCCTTGAACACTGCCAGGGATGGGGCAGCCACAGCTTCTCTGGGCACCCTGTGCCAGCACCTCAGCACCCTCACAGGGAAGAGCTTCTGCCTAAGAGCTCATCTCAGTCTCCCCTCTGGCAGGTTAAAGCCATTCCCCTTGGCCTGGCCCTACAGGCCCTTGTCCCAAGCCCCTCTCCAGGTTTCTTGTAGCCCCTTTAGGCACTGGAAGATGATGCGAGCAGCATGCAGGAAGTACAGTGTAAGACCTTTGTAGGGATACGCAAGGTTGAACCAGAGATGGAAGAGTTGTTGTGTGCTGTAGTAGCTACTTGAAGGTCCTGCCCACACTCACATGTTTTGGCTGAAGTTGTGATCCCTGGTCCCTCCACTGAGCCAAAAAGCACATAGAGGGAAATCACATACTCGGTGTCATGGGCCAGGTTGCGGAGCGTGTAGGCTGTGGTTGACTTGTTGAGGGCCAGCTGGTGAGGACGGTCTTTGCCAAAGAACTCTTTGGAAGAGAGGAAATGAATTAGGAATGGGTGAAGACTGAAGAGTCTGGAGAGCAGCTCTGCTGCACACTGGGAAGGACACCATGCTTTCCTTGGCAGTCCATCTCCAACTTAGCTGAACCTCAGCTGAAGGACACCACCCATGTGTGCACTGGGGCAAGAGTTTTCCTGTGGCTATTTATTTGGGAATTTGAATGACTACAGGATCAAAACCAGCTCAGAGGAACCAAAGGAACCTAACCAGCTACCACATCCAGGGCCCACATTAACATGGGCATGTGCTCTGCCTCTCCCCAGCATCTGCAAGGCATTGCAAAGCTCCTGCGCTAGATGATCTGCTCCGCCTGTTCCCTGTGGACCAGGCAAGGTGATGTAAGACTGTGTTGGGCCAGGATCAAGCTGAATGTAGTTTCTGCAGGCACCCTGCCTCTGGCATTGTAGGTCAAGTCCATTCTGGTTTCAGTTCATAGCCTGAAGGTGTGGAAGAGGCTGCTCAGAGCAATTATGAGCTGCATCTGCACCCCTTTATCCACCACCGCTGAGGTTCCCAGTGCCTCATCTCTCATGCTACAGAAGGAGATAGAGGTAATGCAGACTGAAGGAGAGCTGGATCTCACCTGGTGTGGGACCCCAAGCCACTCGGTACCCTGTGGCCCCAGCAACCGAGTCCCAGGAAACCAGAGCACTGTTGATGGATATCTCACTCACTTTCAGCATCTGGACTGTGCTTGATGCCACTGTAAGAGAGCAGAGTTGCCCAGTTGCATCAAGGTCCCACCAGCATCTATGTGGCCCCCCAAAATTATAATGACCTAGACTGCCTTCTGCACCAGATGACAGGCAGGGTGGTGACAACAAATAACACCAGCTCTATGCTGCCAGCCCCATCCATGTCTACTTGGGCTGTTACTCACCTGTCATTGCTTTACTGCTCACCACTGGTCCCTCGACATCCCCAAAGATGGGGTTGACGGTGACGGTGTACTCTGTGCCAGGCTGCAACCCCTGGATCATGTAGTAGTTGTAGGTGCTGCTGAGGTTCACATCCTGGATGCTGCCCTCTGTGAAGGGAAATGATATCTGGGTTCCTTTGGGTCACCCTATTTGGGTCTCCTTGTCTGGGAGGGCAATGGGCAATCATGCAAACAGCCATTACACCGTGTGTGAGACACAATAGCATTCCATCCTCCTGCTTGCATGTGCACCAGCAAGGTCCTCAAGCCAAAGATGGTAGGGAAAGGGCAGCCCATAGTGACACTGTTTAGTGGTGGCCTTGGCAGTGCTGGGGTAACAGTTGACTTGATGATCTTAAAGGTCTTTTCCAACCCCGTTGATTCTATGATTCCAAGAACAAATCTTGGAAGAAGAGCTAATGTACAAGCAGATAGAAATAACCCACAGCCATTGGGGCAGACCTCTGGGATCACCAATAGAGCAAGGCCACTCAGCGCTTTGGAGGCCAAAGAAGATAAATCAGGTAGCAGCACACAAATGGCCACACATGGGTCTGTGAGCAGTCCCATAAGAGGGTCCACACCCCCCCTCAGCCCTGGGTGACTCAATGCTGGAGTCATTTTGCCTTCCCTGCAGGACACTGGAGGCAATTCATGCCCAAAAAGACAGAATCCCAGACTGGTTTGGGTTGGAAGGGAGCTTAAAGCTCCTCCAGTCCCAACCCCCTGCCACGGGTCTTCCACTAGAGCAGCTTGCTCCAAGCCCCTGTGTCCAACCTGGCCTTGAACACTGCCAGGGATGGGGCAGCCACAGCTTCTCTGGGCACCCTGTGCCAGCGCCTCAGCACCCTCACAGGGAAGAGCTTCTGCCTCATCTCCAACCTAAACTTCCCCTGTTTCAGTTGGAAGCCATCACCCCTTGTCCTATCACTACAGTCCCTGATGAAGAGTCCCTCTCCAGCACCCCTGTAGCCCGCTTCAGACACTGGAAGCTGCTCTGAGGTCTCCACACAGCTTCTCTTCTCCAGGTTGTCTTCACATGGGAGATGCTCTAGCATATGATATATCCTTGTTGTGGACTTGGAACTGCTCAGCTACACCTCTCAGCATGGCAGGAAAAGAGTTAAAACCTAATCCCTTGTGATCACACCCTGCTTCAGACCGGCAGAGATGTGAAGGAGCAGATGCTGGGGTTTTGGGGAGAAGCTGCCATTTGCAGTTTGGTCACTGGAGGGTGCCATGTCCCCATCTTCTGCTCCATCAGCACCCTGAGCCCCATCCCCCTTCTCCCATCCCAGCCATGGACCTTCCCCCTACATCAGCCCTTTATATTCATCCATTCTCTGTTAAAAGCGAGAGAAGAAAGATCAACCCCCTCCAGTGCTCGGGACGGCTGCGGAGGGATGGGCAGAAGGTACCTGGATCCCCACACTACTGCATCCTAACACATAGGCCCAGGATGGGATGGAATAGGGGAGGAGGACCTGAAAGGGCCCAGCAGTCAGGGCGGGATGCTCCTTGGGGTTTTGCCACCCCTGGATTTGTGGTGAAGTGCTACCAGGTTTAAAAAGCTGCTCAGAAAGAGCAAATATGGGGTGATGTGCTCTTGTTGCTTCATCTGAGGATGTCCCGCACCGTCCCCTCAAGAAGGGATGTCCCTGTTGCAAAGACATGGCAGGATGAGCATGTGTGCTCCATTTCTAGCTGGGGCATTGAACAAGGACTGAAGTTTGGGGTGGGATATGGCTTTACTGAAGAGATAGAATCACAGAGTGGTTTGGGTTGGAAAGGACCTTAAAGCTCATTCAGCTGCAAGCCCCTGCCATGGGCAACGACACCTCCTCCTAGTCCAGGTTGCTCAGGGCCCTGTCATATCCATTTAATGAATAATGATATTCATTACAAAGCAATAAAGGCAGTTTTATATCTCCTTTGTAAACATTTTTCCCTTCTGATGTCCTCTGGAGCTGTTCTCCAGCTAATCCTCCCTCCCCTGGTGGGAGATGTCTCCTTATTTCATAACCAGAGGAGCTGAGCCAGAGGGGTTTGTGCTGTTTATTCAAAGCCTGTGATGGAGCCCAGGTGTCCTGACATCCCATCTCCTCTTTGAACCACAGAAACATCCATCTCCCAAGGCCAAAACATGCCATCAAACCTGAATTTCTAACTCCTGCTCCCCCACACCAGCAGTGAAAACATGTTTGGGTTCAGGGCATGGGAGAAGCTCCAGCTGCAGAGGCAGATCTGCCTTCAAACAGCAAAGTTTGCCTGAGAATAAGGATGAATTATGGGATGCTGGGGGATGAAGCCAAGTCTTTATGCTGCAGAGAGAAAAGCAACAAGCACAGGCACTTCCAGTCTATAATATGTAGTACCTGTCCCTCCAAACAGGGGGGTAACCCATATGCTCAGGGGCTGTGTAATGTGCTGCTCTGCATGGAGCACTTCACAAGCTTCAATCCAGCTGTTAACCCCTTCCAACACTGCTCAGGTCCAGTAAATCCAGCACTAATCCCATGTTTAAAAGGCTGGATACCCATTAGGCTGCCTTAACGCAGAGCCAGAGCAGGTATCTTAGCATCTATGGCAGAGTTCATCATCCGCATCCATGACACAGCTCTTGGTTTCAAGCTGCTGATTTATCCCCACATACAGACAACGGTTTTTGTGGTCAGCTCTGGGCCCCTCACTACAAGAGAGACATTGAGGAGCTGGAGCGGGGCCAGAGAAGGGCAAAGGAGCTGGTGCAGGGCCTGGAGCACAAGTGTGATGGGGAAGGGCTGAGGGACCTTGAGGGTTCAGTCTGGAGAAGAGAAAGCTCAGGGGGGACCTGATGGCTCCCTACAACTGACTGACAGGAGGATGGAGTGAGGGCTGGAACCCTTCTGGCCCCTGCAAGTGTTCACACCCCGTGTAGATGAGGCCCTCCGTGCCATGGGTTAGCGGTGGCCTTGGCAGTGCTGGGGTAAGGATTGGACTGGATTTGCTTAAAGGTCTTTTCCAACCTGGTTGATTCCATGACTCTAACTCCCTCATTCATGGATCCCCAAAAACCTGTTCCCCCCAGCTTCTTAACTGTGTGGCTGGACAAAGAATGTGTTGGTACATCCAGTGCCTTGGGGACCTCACAGCTCCCATTTCTCCATCCCCCTGCTCACTGATGCATGCACCCCATCCCTGTGTCTTTACCTGCTGATGTCCAAGTGAGCCTGTATCCTGTTGCTCCCTGGACAGGGCTCCACCTTGCCTGGAGAGCGTTGGTGGTTTCATTCTGCAGCAAGATGCTTTTCACAGGCAGGAGCTTCACTGGAAGGAGGACAGGGAACAAACTTGTCAGTGGAGTTGTGGAGGGCAAGCAAAGCTCTTGCAGAGCTCCCACCTTTCATCCCAAGAGCACAATGGTGTTTGAAGGTGTCCCAGTCCATGCATGTGAAGGTTGGAGTTAGGGATCAGTTGAACCCTGCCCCTTTGATGCACATGTAGCTGCAGCACTCACCAACAGTAAGGTGCTCATCCACAACAAAGGGGTGTTCACAGCACCCAGGGCATGAAAGGACCAACCAACAGCCTCAAACCACTTACATGTTCTCCCCACAGCAGCCACAGGCTGGCTTGGCCCCTGGGGATACACTGCATAGATGCTGATGCTGTATTCTCTATCCTCCTGCAAGTTACCCAGCACATGGGAAGAGACATCACCCCGCAGGACCTTCTTGTAGGTCATTCCTGGTCTGTTGGCTGCAAAGTCAAGGAGAAAAGCAATGGTGAAGCCTTCCCACTGCCTGTCTACATCCCATAGTTATGAAAAGTGTGCATAGGAGCAGGTTCAAGTGCGTGGTTGAAGTCCCTCAACCCATGTGATGCTGCTGAGATTTATGTCTGCAGCTATATCCAAACATATATGAAGGCTGTGTTTCAGCCCTCCAGACCATATGAAAGGCTTGAACTTACCCCCATCCACACCAAAGCAGGCACTTGAGCATGAAAATCATCCATGGTCTGGATGTGACAGTGCAAATGGGTACAAGGCATCCTCAGCATCATCCCTACCTTGTTCTTCAACAGAAAGTCCTCCAACGAACGCTGCCCTGTTTTGGAGGAACCACACTTCTTTGTGGTCCATTGTGGCACCTTTCGTGCCCTTGGGTCACTGCTCCTTTTAAAGCAAACTCCAAGAGAAAAGAATCCAACCTGAACTCACCTTTGGAGATGTAGATCTTGTAGCCCTCCAGTTTGCCCAGTGGAGGTGTCCAAGCCACCTTCAAGCTGTAAAGTCCTTCTTCTATCACACGGAAATTAGTGACCGGAGGCAAAGGGGCTTTGGGGTACAAAAACATGGCAGAAACAGATGTGACAGTGCTGGGATGAAGTACCATGGCAAAGAGCCTTGGGAAATGTTTTGTCTTCGAGGGCAGGGAGACACAAAGCTGAGTAGCACCAATTCTCCATGCAGTCTCCTTAAACGCCACCATTCACCCTCTACCAAACCCTTGTCCACTTAAGAAGTGAGATGAACCCCCCCCCCCCCCCAAAGCACAATGCTTCCTCTTTGAATGGTGTTTGGAACTGAATTATCTACCCACTTCCTCCTAAGCAGAGAAAACTCTGCAGTGGTTTCATGCAGACTGAGCAAGGACGCATGAATCAAACACTACTTGCACCTATGGATGCCACTCTTATAATGAGGAACCCATTCTGGTCCAGCCAGCCATGGCAGACAGATTTATAGCTTCTGCCTCTGGCTTCATGTTGGGGATAATAAGAGAAGAGATCAAATGACTTCATTTCCACCCATAAAGACATTAAATCTTATTCCTGGCAAGTCCACATGAGTCAACCCCATTCAGATTTATTCATCCTGTTGGAGATTGTCCCTCAAGAAGACAAACAGCTTAAGACATTGCAGGAGGCGGGGAAGAAACAGAAGACAAGGGAAAAAGGGAATAATTCTTTACAAAACCCCTCTGGCAAAGCAGATTTGATGCTTCATCCAAACCAGGGAGTGGAAGCAGCCACCCCTTAAACTCTTAAACCCTCTCAAATCAGTGCAGAGGCTTCTGGGACAAAACCTGCTCCATCCATCACATCTGACCCAGCATTATACACTCCAGGGTTTGGCCAAAGATGAATTTGCTCCTTTGCTTCCAAGAACCTTGTCATTACAGCCAGCCATGTGACAGCAAAGGAAACTGACATGGCAGGTTAAAAAACAGAAGAACCCTATATCATTTTCATTGGTCCAGACATCACTGCTTGGGGCATTTCCTAAAGGCCATGTTCATACCACTTTGGTGTTTAACTTGAGTGAAATGAAGCCCTAAGAGCATGCATATGCCAACCCAAACCTTCTGGACCATCCACTTGTGAAATGAGGTATTTAGAATATACTTCTCTCCATATAAACTCATGTCTCTGTTTCTCAACTTATGGTCTTCAAAAGCTTTCTTATCCCAGGTACATGGGTGTTACACAAACTGAACCCCAGCTTGGATTCATTAAATCCTGATTTAATGAGAGGATGAGAGCTATCCAGCAGGCTGCACCCTCTGCTTTGAAGTGGGTTAACCACATGGGTTACTCTGCACCCACTCACAACCCTTCACCCCACACCATTGACATCTACACAAATGTTCCTAATACCCTTCCTACCCATCCATCCCTCACTCCTTTCATACATGGTTTTGGGAGGGAGTTTTCCTCTGCTCACAGACAAGGAACACATGGAGATGACTGCAGAAGAGACACTCACTTGTTTTCCCCTTGACAGCTGCTGACTCCCCAAGGGCATCTCCATAGACAGCTCTCACCTTGAAGACATACTTGGTGCTGGGTTTCAGATCAGTCACAAGCACGGTGCTTTTGTCACCATCCACCACAATCTGTCACAGAGGGGACAAAGGACATCATTACACCTCCATGACCATAGAAGACCCCCACGTTGGCAACAAGTTAGGAGCACAAGGCTTCACATATAGTGCAAGGTGAGTTCCATGACCATAAGCCTTTTAAAATGCACTAACTCAAAACATGGTGATTCTCAAAGGATATCCAGGTTCACAATGGACATAGGACTGACACAGGACATTGCCAACAGTGGGTTTCGTGGGATAGCCCCGAAAAACTCCATAAAGACAAAGACATACGGGTGAGAGTGGTCACAATCCCCTTGAAGATCATGGAGGAAAGACAACCACCTTTGATAAAGAAAGTTTCTTTTAAGCTTATAAAGGGAGATTTCAGTGTAACCTGAGGGTAAGAGAAGTGGAGACATAACGTCTGTGTTTTCACTATATTCTTATGTGCTTCTGAAGCAGCCAAATATGATCATTCTTGTTAAATCTTAATAATTAATAGAATAAATATTCTTAACCTTAATAATTGATGCTTTCATTTCTTTGTTCTATTATTAGGAATCAAAGCTCTTGGGCATACATCTTCTATCCTTCAATCTTGCTCTCAAACTTTGTGCCGTGGCCAAGTTGAATACTGAAGTGAGCTGGCACATACAGCAGCATCCTTCACACAAGGACATGACAAACCCCAAACCAAAACCCGTGGAGATCTTACCAAGATGAACAACTTTGGCAGCAAGAGAAACAGGGCATGGCGGTAGGGAAGCTGGATGGACTTATTTGAGAGGTGGTATCACAGACAGAAGCAAAGCAGTGAGCCCCATTGACCTGTTCCTATCAGTCCCAATGGAGTTTGTGCCAGTTCATGCCATATCCTTCTTCCACCCCTTCTTTTCCTGTCACTCCAAGAAACTCCACCTCACCACAAGAGCAATCAACACATCTGCAAATCCAATGGTCTATCTATAGACCTTCACTTCAAGCTTCAGGAATCCATGCCAATGCACTGGGCTGTGACTAAGGATGGCTGAGGAGCATGGTGCCATCTCCTAAGCAGGCTTAGCCATCAGCAGCCTCACCAGAGGACTAAACCTGAACACTGGGACCTGTAATTGGTGCTTTGAAAAGTGGGAATGCAACTCTACCTGCTGCTGGTCCTCCAAAACCGGCTGTCCCGAAGGCATCAAGGGATGCAGATGGACATGGTACTCCATCACCCTCCCTGTAGCTGGCATCCAGGTGAGGCGCAGCGAGCTGTGGCTGTGCTCACTGACGTGCAGATCTTGGGGACCAGTGATCTTCTCAGCTGTAAAAAGAGAGAAGAAAGGCCTTTGGCTTGGACTACAATGGTACCAGTGTTGCACATGTGCAAGCTGGTCACGGGTGGAGTCAACACGTTCAACGCAGAGAAAGCCTTGGGTATAGATGACACTCACTTATGTTGAGAGCGCAGGGACACTGGGATCTGTTTCCATGCCAAAGACACACAACCAGGTTTTCTCTTGGCAAATTGCTTGACAGCACAAGGAGGAAAAACAAAACTGGCTCTGGCTACATTCCTCCTGTGAAGACCTCCTTAATGCATAGGGCATCAGCTCTTCCTGCCTTTCTCCTTACTGACACCAGAGAAGGGTACCAGAAAGCTTGAACTCTACATGAAACGTCACAGGAAGCCCTGAAGAGCTATAGAACCACAGAGAAAGCAGAAGAAGACCCCTGAAGGACTCAGATGGAGTTCTCTGCCCCAGGTATTTAACTCATCTTCTCATGAGTTTTGTGTGCCAAGAGGCAAGCAGGAATTTGTTGCCATCACCTCCAGACTCACTCCAACATCAATATCCCCTTAGGGGGCAGATCTAGATCTCTGTAGATTTCTTTGGCCGCCCTTCACATCTTTTGTAAGGAATTAAGTTCTGTTGGACAGGGCCTTGCGCAACCTGCTCTAGTGGAAGGTGTCCCTGCCCACGGCAGGGAATTGGACCTGGATTATCTTAAGACCCTTTCCAACCCAAACCGTTCTGTGATTCGGAGACCCTGAACTGCGCGAGAAGCCCATCACGAAAGCTCCCGAGAGGCATAAACGCTGCCTCAGCCCATTGCTGCTCTTTCTGTTTGAACCATCTGCAAGACTTTCAGGATCCACTATCACGAGACAAACCATAGAGATGCAGACACAAACACACAGGACCACTGTTCCCAGGCAGTGGATGCTCCATGGGCTGGCTGCTCTTCTAGGGTGATCCAACCCCTAAAGCTCCCCTGTGATTCTTCATAAGATCATGGAATGGTTCGAGTTGGAGCAACTTTAAAGCTCATCCAGTTCCAACCCCTGCCATGGGCAGGGACCCCTTCCACTAGAGCAGTTGCTCCAAGCCCCTGTGTCCAACCTGGCCTTGAACACTGCCAGGGATGGGGCAGCCACAGCTTCTCTGGGCACCCTGTGCCAGCGCCTCAGCACCCTCACAGGGAAGAGCTTCTGCCTTATCTCCAACCTGAACTCCCCCTGTTTCACTTTGAACCCATCACCCCTTGTCCTATCACTCCAGTCCCTGATGAAGAGTCCCTCTCCAGCATCCTTGTAGCCCCTTTCAGACACTGGAAGCTGCTCTGAGGTCTCCACACAGCTTCTCTTCCCCAGGCTCAACAGCCCCAATGTTCTCAGCCTGTCTCCATACAGGAGGTGCTGCAGCCCCTGATCATCCTCGTGGCCTCCTCTGGACTTGTTCCAACAGCTCCATGTCCTTCTGATGCTGAGGACAGCAGAAGTGCACACAGTGCTGCGAATGGGGTCTCACAAAGGCAGAGTAGAGGCATGAACAGACAGGATGTAGGAGGTCTGTCTCCATGGCTGGCACATCCAGGGACTAGGAAGGGACTGGTTCGGAAAGCACAATAAAGGGAGACCCTGACGCACCTTGCACTGTCTGCTTGATGGGCCGTGGTGGCTCCGAGGCAGTGAAACAGAGTCTTCGGGAAAGTTTGGGGGCCACGTTGTTGAGCAGGTGAAAATCTTCAACATAAAGCACATGCTCTGCACTGGGCTCTGAAGCTACTTTGTTCAGTTCATTCCTGTCAGCATCCTTAATTCCTAGATGAAGAAAAGAAGAGGGAAGTAGGACATCAAACACCATCCATAGGGCAGGCAAGGCATTGGCAAGGGCTGTCAATTGCAAGTGGGAGCCATGTGCTGGTATAAAACAGCTTTGGAATCCTACTGCCCACAGCAAAGGATGAAACAAGGAATGGAGTCTCAAGCTGGATGGGCAGTGGTGAAGCAGATGAAGCCTATTCCACCAGGAAGAAGAGGTGGAGGTTTCCTCCAGAGGTATGTTAGAGATTGCCCCAAGGTTTTTGGCAGCTTATGGGCTGAGAGGTGGAAAGCTCTCTTGACGTGGAGAGGGAAAAGGAGCAGGGCAGGACCTGGCCTCATCCTTCCCATTGGATACCGAGGCATTTCTGCTTTTCTGATGGATGGGCAGACAGCAGGACTTTGGGAGGCTGTCTGGAAATTGCAGAATTTGTGAAGAATGTGTAGAACTAAAGAAGAAAGACCCCCCCCCCCAACAAACCAACTCTCCTCTAATTTTCACTTCATATTGGTCCAAACCAACCTGGTAGCTCTCTATAATGAACCACCACCACCAGTCCCTTCTTCTCCACTGAAATGTTTGGTGAAGGAAGTATTTGACTTGTTGTAAATGTCTGTATTTAGGACTTGGAGGGGTGCTGAAACTTCTCCTTGCCTACAGAATGATTGTGATAGACGTTTTTAACGTAGCTAAAGTCAGTCTCTGAACCCCATTAAGAGAAACCTTCAAAAGCAAAACCATTTCACTTGCAAAAATGTTACATGAAAACATTTTGACTTTTATGGGACTATTTATTGAACTCCTCCTGAATTCATGAGTAGTTTTGACAGATGCAAAACTGCAGGTTTACACTGAATAAATCAGCTATTGACAACACCACAAAATACCTAAGCACACACAAATGTGGTTTTCCTGGACTTGAAGTAGTTGCTACAGGTTGAGTGTGGGGATGGTGCAGTTTTAGAAGGGGGGGGGGGGTTGTCCATCAGAAATCATCCCCAGTGCATAGACTGTGTGTTGGTGGGATGCTCTATGCAACTTAGTGTGTCCATACATACCTACAGCAAACACTGTCACCCCTCCATCCTGCAGGACCTGGGCTTCATCTTCAACTGAGTCGCTGGATTTCCCATCCGTGATCAGAACAACCACCTTCAAGAATGAGTGTGAGAGGCAGAGAATGAAAGAGAACAACATGAGGAGCTCACAGAGAGTTGCAGGGTTTTCACACTGACAACCCAGAACTTGGTTGAGTCCCTCTCGGGAGGAGTGTGGCCAGAGAATTGGGTTGAAAGGACTTTAAAGCTCCTTCAGTTCCAACCCCCTGCCACGGGCAGGGACACCTTCCACTACAGCAGCTTGCTTCAAGCCCCTGTGTCCAGCCTGGCCTTGAACACTGCCAGGAATGGGGCAGCCACAGCTTCTCTGGGCACCCTGTGCCAGCGCCTCAGCACCCTCACGGGGAAGAACTTCTGTCTTATACTGAACTTAAATCTCCCCTGTTTCAGTTTGAACCCATCACCCCTTGTCCTATCACTCCAGTCCCTGATGAAGAGTCCCTCTCCAACATCCTTGGAGCCCCCTTCAGACACTGGAAGCTGCTCTGAGGTCTCCATGCAGGTTCTCTTCTCCAGGCTCAACAGCCCCAGTGTTCTCAGCCTGTCTCCATACATGAGCTGCTCCACCCCCTGATCATCCTCATGGCCTCCTTATGCCTTTAGGGAAAGAAGTTAGAGATCTGGTCTCTACTGAGGATGACAATGGGGGAGTCAATCACAGAAGGTCACTTACCTTTGCTGCATCTTCTCTCACCGTGTCCAAGCGAGACATGGCATGAGCTGCAAATGCCAGGGCTGACCCTGTTTTTAAGGTGTTGCATTTGAAGGAGATATCCTGAATTGCCACCAGCATTTCCTCAATGGTCACATAATCCGTGAGCTCAATGATCATCCTGGGAAGAGGGGAATATGGGTGAATGAAGAGCAAGAAAACACTGTCATTACAAGAAGGATGCACTGATAACGGCAATAACCAGCACTAATTTAGCTGGTTACTCTAGGCTTATATACAGGCAAGAAGTCCTCTTTACAGTGGTCAGGGGAGCCCAGGGTATGAGCTCCAGCTCCTTGTTGCCATAAAACATTGGGTGGGGGGGAACTTCTTGTTAGCAGTGTTAAATCTCATCCTCCCTGTCCTGAAAGTGTTCCCCATGGCTGAGCACTCTTGGTTCTGGTGACACTGCTGAGGGTTAGACTCCTGCTCTGCTCTTGCAATGGTTCACTGAAGGAGCATGGTTGCCCATATAGAACTAAAGGGCTATAGAAACCATGGTGCTGTTGGTGGACCTACCTTGGTTTCTCCCCATAGAGTGCCACTGCCAGCCGGACGCCTCCTTTGCCCATCACCATGTTCTCAAAGGAACGGGCCACGCTGCTGATGAAGTCCTTGACCAGGCGGGAGCTCTCCTTCCCTGTGCCCTGCGACTGTCCCACGAGGAGCAAAACATCTGCCACCTCCGCCGTCCTGCATGCTGTGGGAGAAGAGGGGCAGGAAGGCTCATCCCAACCGTGCCACAAGCCAGACAGGAGATAAACCCCTCTCGGTCATGTAAATACATGAGATATAGCAGCTAAAGAAATGAGACCATGTTTAGGCCCAATAAAGTGGGTAATGATGGGCTTCCCAGAGCAACAGGCTGCTTTGACCTCTTTATTTTCCTCCTAATTCCCCATGTTGTAGTTCTCACTCAGGGGAAGTTTCCCATTTGAAGCACAAACAGATCTATCACATAGTGGTTTGTGCTGGAAGGGACTTCAAAGCTCCTCCAGCTCCAGCCCCTGCCACGGGCAGGGGCACCTTCCACTAGAGCAGCTTGCTCCAAGCCCCTGTGTCCAACCTGCCCTTGAACACTGCCAGGGATGGGGCAGCCGCAGCTTCCCTGGGCACCCTGTGCCAGCGCCTCAGCACCCCCGCAGGGAAGAGCTTCTGCCTAATAGCTCAGCTCCCAGTCTCCCCTCGGGCAGGTTAAAGCCATTCCCCTTGGCCTCTCCCTACAGGCCCTTGTCCAAAGCCCCTCTCCAGCTTTCCTGCAGCCCCTTTAGGCACTGGAGCTGCTCTCAGGTCTCCCCTTCAGGAGCCTTCTCTTCTCCAGGCTGACCCAGCCCAGCTCTCTCAGCCTGGCTCCAGAGCAGAGCTGCTCCAGCCCTCGCAGCATCTCCATGGCCTCCTCTGCACTCGCTCCAACAGCTCCACGTCCCTCTTGTGCTGCTGCCCCAGAGCTGGATCAGGACTGCAGGGGGGGTCTCCCCAGAGCACAGCAGAGGGGCAGGATCCCCTCCCTGAGCTGCTGCTCACGCTCTGGGGGTGCAGCCCAGCACACGGGGGGGCTCTGGGCTCAAGCGCACACTGAAGCTGGGTCATGGGAAGCTTCTCATTGACCAACACCCCCAAGTCCTTCTCCTCAAGGCTGTTCCATCCAGCCTCTCCCAGCGTGTGGTTGTGCTTGGCATTGCCCTGACCCATGTGCAGGACCTTGCACTTGGCCATCAAAGCATGCAGGTCTGTAGGACATGCTGGAAACATGAGGAGCATCAGTATCTTGTGCAAAGAACGAACACTTTCAGTGTTTTTCTATACAAGCAGAGCTATCTGATGACATCTGGCAGGGAAGAGACATTAAGCTCATTTCCGTGTACCTGCCTAACAAACATCAAGGCATATTTCCCTCTACAGTGCTCAGGCTCAATTGAAACTAATTTTCTTTAGTCTTGAAATACATTTCATGGTCAGCAGTCTGATGACTTTTAGGGACCTTAAATTAATGAAGGCCCCACAAGGGATGTTCAAAATGTGTATTATCTTTGGTGTTTCTCTCCTTCGCAGATAGATGTTGAGTTATTGCCGTAGGGCTGCTAAATGTAGACTGCTGGAGGAGGGCTTTTTGTATCTTGCTCACCAGGAATGGGCTCAATCCCTTCGCATTTTGTGCCACTGTTGCTTTGGATTTTACCCAGCCCTTGCCTTGACCTTCAGCTGCAGGTCTGGAGACCCAACTGGCACCCAACCGGGCTGCAGCATTTGTTCCGGTTTGCTATGGTGACATGTTAGGTGGGTTTCTAATGCTTCTGCTGCAAATGGAAAGCCTGTTTTAGCTTGATCCCTTCAATTTACCTGACATTTACCCTATTCCTATGAGCAGGATTCCCAAAGTGCTTGTAGAAAGATGCAGGTTTTGTGCTCTTCTTCATTGCTGTGTCCCTGATCAATCCCCGGTGGGCACACAGCAGGACAGAGGATCATTTGCTGGGTGCAGATGGATGGCAGTCCAAGTGTCTTTGCTACCCAAGGCTTTTGGTTTCTTCATCTTTCTTTGTGCCTCTTGACACTGAGCTCCCGAAGACTTAAACAATCCAGTTACTGCAGAAAAATAATGACTGGGCTCTTTTTGAATCATAGAACCAACCAGGTTGGAAAAGACCTTTAAGATCATCAAGTCCAACCATTATTCCAGGGCTGCCAAGACCACCACTAACCCGTGGCACTGAGTTTGGTGTAACTCATACCCAGATAGGAATATAAAGCACTTTCCCTTGACAAAACTGGGAGACAATGATTTAAATTGTCCTTCCTAAAGCTCCCTATTGAGATCTCCCTGTCAGGATGTCTTGGAGGCACCTCAGCTGCTAATAGCAGATCACAAGCTCTTTTCCCTACTGCCAGTTCCATTTTGGATCTACCCCTTTTCCCTAGTTTGGACCTTGATCTCCCTGCTCCCTTAGAAAGACCTGGATCAGAGGCAATGCCAGTTCTTGGCTCTGAGCTCAGAACTGGTGTAAAGCATCCAACAGCTTCTCAGAGTAACCACAACCTGCATTACCACAAGGAAATCCCAATAAAGGTTCAATAAGGTGGAGAAGACCATCCACCAGCCCTCCCAAAATCATAGAACCATACAATCATTAAGGCTGAGAGCAATTTGCAGAGAGCAAAAGACCTTTAAGATCATCAAGTCCAACCATGAACCTAGCACTGCCAAGTAAAAATCACTCAAATCATCCCAAATCACCTATTTCTTGGAGCTACTCAAAGCAGTGCAGCTTTTATGCAAGACCTGCATTTTTGGCCGTGATCTGGAAAACATGCACAAAATGCCATGGATATCAAAAGACCTTTGCTAAACCTTCCTCTCCATATCCCAAATCCTTAGAGAACCTCCTCCAGCTGTGCCTGGCGCCTGAGTCTTGCTCACCAGGTACAATGCTCCTGCCCTCCTCTGCACCCAGGGAATAATGAGAGGAAAGACAACAAGCAGGAGCTCCATGGGATTAGGAAGGGCAGGATGGTTTCCTTTCTCCATAAAGGGGCAGCCATCAAATCACAGAATCATCTAGATTGGAAAAGACCTTTAAGATCATGGACTGTAGTGATAGGGCAAGGGGTGATGGGTTCAAAGTGAAACAGGGGAAGTTCAGGTTAGATAAAAGGCAGAAGCTCTTCCCTGTGAGGGTGCTGAGGCGCTGGCACAGGGTGCCCAGAGAAGCTGTGGCTGCCCCATCCCTGGCAGTGCTCAAGGCCAGGTTGGACACAGGGGCTTGGAGCAAGCTGCTCTAGTGGAAGGTGTCCCTGCCCGTGGCAGGGGGTTGGAACTGGAGGAGCTTTAAGGTCCCTTCCAACACAAACCAATCTGGGATTCTATGATCACCAAGTCCAACCATTACCCCAGGAAAACCAGAGCCCACTCTGCAAGACACTGAGCCAGGAGCTCAGCACCTTTCCAGCTCGGCAATGAACCCTGAGAGCGTTTGATACCTGAAGCTGTCATTGGAAATATGTGATGTTAAGCATATTTGGATTGGTACCTTCTGGAGAGAACACCACCACAGACAGCTCTATTAATCACAGGGGGATATGACTTGAGTTGAAATTTTCCAGACACCTCCCAAATTACCACATTCCATCAATCACAGGTTTGCCAGAGACATCTGTAAATGGTGATTTATTGCCCTGTTCCCAGCTTGGAATTAAAGAGCATTATAGTCGAGTATATCAGCTTAATTGATGGACAGGAACTTAATCAGGTTAATTTTGTAGCTGACACCAAAGCTTCCATTAACTCCTCGGTGAATTGACTGAGCTTAGTCCAGGTGAATTTACACCTTCAAAACATGGAGGCTTGTTGCTGCAGAACAATATGAAAAGGGAGGATCCACTGGCTCATACCCAGCCTCAGGACAGTCCCGGGAGCTCTGGATTAGCTCTGTAGGATGCTCACAAGGAGCTTCCCCATCCTCAGGCTAGAGATAAGCCATGGGTTACGCTGTAACTCTATGAGGCTCTTCTCTGGGGTCCTTCTGCCTTTTGGCTCTGGTCTCTCCTCCCCAAAAGCTCTCAGGGAGGAAATGAACCTTTGTACCATCTCTAAACAGTAGCAGGAGAATTCAAGGCTTCCTTGAGGTCTTTACTCTTGTATCCTCTGTGTGGTGGCTTGTACCAGACCTTGGAGATCAGAAGAGGAGTCAGGAGGGGACACGTTTTGCCTCTCTCCCCACCTTCCTCTGGAGCAGCTGAGGTGCAACAGGATTAAAGGCAGGACACTGAGCAAAGCCCTCATTTCCCCATAAACTCTGCTGCAGCAAGTCAGGTCCTGCCTCCCTTTTGGAGCCAGCTGAGATGCTCTGTTAGCCAGATGATCCCAACCTAAAAGCACCCTATGCAGAAGTTAAAGGCATCAGCACTCCAGTATCCGTGTGTGTGTATCCACGACACGAGCAGAAAGTGCTGCTTGGAAAAGGTCTTTTCCTCCCTGATGTGTCTCACCATCACCCACAGATGCAGTATTCATAGTAACCCATACCTTCATGGATGGCCACAGATCCGTACTGCACTGCAGCTGCTGCCAGGACAAGGATCTGGGCATACATTTTCCTTTTCCTTGGGAAGAAATTCTTCTTGGTTCCTGGACTCAGCACACAGCCTGGAGAGTCACTCATCTGCAGGAGAAGAGAGGCTTTAAGACAAGCCAGCTGAGTATGATGATCCCATTTGCCTATAGAGGCAAGAGAAGCTTTTCTCCAGCTATAAAGGCTCATCTTGGCTTACACTATTGGCACTGAAGTCCATAAACCCACTAATTCCTTCATCCCTTTGCTGATGCTACAGGGGAGAGCTCAGCTTTGCTCCACAGCGCCTTTCCCTAACAGCACCCTTCTTCAGGCAACAACCACCTCAATGTGAATACGAGTGGTGTGAGGGAAGCATCTGCTGCCTCAGTGATGCAGGAATGATCATCACTGAAGACAGCAATCACTGCATTTAGTCTTTATTACCCTGCCCTGCAACTAACCTGCAGTTTTCTAGATCCAGGATTAACTGCCTTGTACCTGCTCCCCTTGGAAATCCACCTCACCATCATGGAGCAAAGGGGGCTGAAAGCTCTGGTTGTCGCCTATAGGTGGTTTAGTGACCCCCCCAAATTGCTCTGTAAGTCTCCCTCTGTGAAGAAGGGACTACTCTCTGCGAAGCAACAACAGTAACAGAAGTGGCATTGCCAGAAGGGGCTTTATCCTTTTTAATGGGCATTAAAATGTTCTTCTCCTGCTCTGAGCTTCCCCTGCTCATCTTGGGCTGAGCACATTGCCCAGGGAAGCATGGACTACTTCCAGGTTGCAAATTACAGATGTGGGGAAAAGATGAGCTCCACTTCACCCAACCCAGTTCTTTGCCAGGGTTGGGTTGCTCCTTCCAGTTAACAACATGCAACCTTGAAATCACATTGTGTTATAGGTCAGATCCTCTTTGGAAAACAAGGCTGGGTTCCTGTGCCCAGCTTGGAATAACCCCATCTAAATGAATCCCCAAACAAATAAGGGGAGCCTGTGTGCATCTAGGCTGTAGGGGCACCAGGGCTGTGGTCACCTTGCCCATCATGGACCTACACCCATCTGAGACCCTCAGGACTTCAGTTCTCTGAATGTGTTTCCTGTTCCTGATTTTCCCTCTCTCTTCCAATTGCTGGATGCAATCGGAATCTCTGCTGTGCAGTGGTTAACCTGGGCTGTGTCCTTCCCTCGTAACTCCCATCCAAATCTCTATGCGGTGCTGCTATTAGTTGCTGCGGAGAGGGCTTCAAAGCAAAACCAGCCCATTCCCCCCAAAAATGCCAACAAAAACCCAAACCAAACAAATTCAGGCTTTTAGACAACAGGAGTAAACAAGATTCTAGGAAAAAAAGTAATGGAAAAGTGTGGAGCTGAAGAAAACTAGGTTTTACCTCCACCACCCTCGCAGGAGTTGTATTACAAGCTTTGGGAAGATGACCCCATTGCCCTCCAGATCCCAGCATCCTTCAATACCAATCTGCCGGCATCCCCTTTTCGCTTCCTAATCCTTTTTCCCAACCCTAATCCTTCCCAATCCTTATCCCTAACCCTAATCCTCAACTCCATAGGGCAGAGTCTGTCCTGCGCCATAACCAACCCTTCATGGAGCAGGAAGGCAGCAAACCCTTTGAATGGGTATCTGAGCAATGGGTTAAAAGCTCTGCTATTGTTCAACACTCCAGCACGGAAAACTGATGATCTTAAAGGTCTTTTCCATCCTAGTTTATTCTATGATTCTAACTACAGTGCAAAATGCACATTAAGAAGGCAACAGGAAAATGGTCACATAAGGAGCAAACCCTACAAGGCTCTGAAGAGGCAAAGAGAAAGCACAGTAGCCCCAGGCCTTCAGCGAGTAAATGTTAACAGTCACAAAAAGCAAAGACCATGGGGATGCAGAAAGGCTGGAGCTCAGAACAGTCACACCTGGAATTCACATCGCAAAGCTGAGGAGGAGGGTTCAAAAGGGGTTTATAACCTGGATGCCACAAACTGAGCACGTTTCCTGGCAGACATGAACTCATGTGTGTGGATGCTGAACTTCTGCGTGTTCAATTTTTGAGCATCTTGAGTATTTCTGTTTGTTACATGCATTTTACAAAGGATAGTTAGAGCTGGGCTCTGCCTCCCAGCAGTGAGCTGCAAATGCTTGCTTAGGGTGAAAACCCACCCAGCTCCTGCTGCTGCGCTGGCAGCGTGGGTCCTTAATGGATGACTGCAGCACATCCGTGTTACAGATGATCCCAAATTCAAGGGCGCTGTTCTCTGAACTGAAAATGAGTCTCTTGTTTTTCCCCTTAGAATCATAGAATGGTTTGGGTTGGAAGGGACCTTAAAGCTCCCCCAGTTCCAACCCCCTGCCACTGGCAGGGACACCTTCCACTAGAGCAGCTTGCTCCAAGCCCCTGTGTCCCACCTGGCCTTGAACACTGCCAGGGATGGGGCAGCCACAGCTTCTCTGGGCACCCTGTGCCAGTGCCTCACCACCCTTACAGTAAAGAACTTCTTCCTCATATCCAATCTAAATTTCCCCTGTTTCAGTCTGAACCCATCACCCCTTGTCCTGTTACTACAGTCCCTAATGAAGAGTCCCTCCCCAGCATCCCTATAGGCCCCCTTCAGACACTGGAAGCTGCTTTGAGGTCTCCACGCAGCTTCTCTTCTCCAGGCAGAACAGCCCCAACTTTCTCAGCCTGTCTTCATACAGGAGGTGCTCCAGTCCCTGATCATCCTCGTGGCCTCTTCTGGACTTGTTCCAACAGTTCCATGTCCTTTTTATGTTGAGGACACCAGAACTGCACACAATGCTCCAGGTGAGGCCTCACAAGAGCAGAGCAGAGGGGCAGGATCACCTCCCTCAACCTGCTGGTCACGCTCCTTTTGATGCAGCCCAGGATACAGTTGGCTTTCTGGGCTGTGAGCACAGCCCTTCCCTATTCTTTCCCAAATTCCACTGCATTTAAGTGTTCACCTGGGTATCAAATACCAGTCCTAGATGAGAACATATCCCTGGGTGAGACAGGTATATAGGGTATATAACCTCTGCAGCTTCCAATACTTGCTCCAACACCTCCCTCTAGCCACAGCCCACAAGTGGCCCAAGATCATACTAGGGCTTGCTCCTTCCACTTTTCAGGATATATTTTGGGTATAGCCTTCTATATAAGGCTGATGGAGGACTATTATTTGCTCTACCATTGTTGTCCAACTTGGGACAGTCAGTTCACATCACAGGTACCACCATGATGCTCACTTTATACATTCAAGATAGGTGACCTTCATTCCAGCAGCTCTTAACTGATCTTTGCAGACACTGGCTGCCATCAGCTCCTATCAAAGAAGTCTTAAAACCTCTACAGAGATCTTTAGAGAAACCTGGTAGGGGCAGGGAAACGACCCCATAAACCTCAAGGTTTTGCAAGGAATCTCAGTAATTCCCTTGATCTTTTATTGTCCCTGGTAAATAATTTATAGGGGCAACTTCTCCGGGGTTTACAGTTCCTTGAACAAATTGCCTTCAAACCCTATAAAGCTGATGGACCAGGTTCTCCCTTTACCTCGTCTGGATCAGATGACAGAGCTGGGGGAAGCCTGGCAAGATGCAAGAGGGTAAGAGAAGAAAATCATGTCTTACACAGTTGTGGTAATGCCAGCAGCTGGGCTGTTCCTTTCCATCTCTTCTTCCTGGGTAGATGTTTGCATTAAACTCTTCTTCCTTTTAATTTCCCAGCAAATTTGGGGATAAATAACTAACCCCTTTGGGATAAATAACTACCCCCTGTCAGCAAGCTCTGTCTGAAAGGGATTTGCAGCCTCATCTGGTTGGTGCCTGCCTCCCCTTTGCCTGTGGGTCCAGCTGGATCTCACACATCTACTGCCCCAGCATCACCCACACCAGATGCTGCTAAGTCCATCTATCAAATAACTATCCCTGTTGCATACAGACACAAGAACTGCACTTCAGAGCTGCATCTGGGCATGCAGAGCTTTCCCAGAGGATCTGTGCAGACCCACATCCCACCACTGTGCCATATGTTGCACGAGCAGACAGCTCCTTTGCCTCACAAGACCTTAGCAATATCAGCTAAATCTGGCATAGGGAAGCAGGTCTCAAGTGTGTTCATACAAGCCTCCTGAAAGCAGCCAGCTGGACTGGACAGATATCCTGCTTGCAGCTCCCTCTGAAAGACTGCAGGCTGAGCACAGCCTTATATTAGCCAGCAGAGAATAAACAGGGCACCTCCTTATGAACACTCCAGCTGAAGCCAAGGCTTCAGCTACATCTCAACTTACTATACGTAGCACCACCCGGCTCCTGTTCATGGAGCACTGCCATGCTCCATCACAAAGTAAGACCAGATGTAAGACTGGATATAAGGCAGTTCTTCCCTGTGAGGGTGCTGAGGCGCTGGCACAGGGTGCCCAGAGAAGCTGTGGCTGCCCCATCCCTGGCAGTGTTCAAGGCCAGGTTGGACACAGGGGCTTGGAGCAAGCTGCTCTAGTGGAAGGTGTCCCTGCCTGTGGCAGGGGTTGGAACTGGGTAAGCTTCAAGATCCCTTCAACCCAAACCACTCTGGGATTCTATGGTAAACCCTATGGAGACAGACCCCAGCAGCCCTGCAAAGATCTGTAATTGAAATGTAGAGACTGGCCTGAATGGTGAACTGATGGGAGCTTCAGGATGTGGAAGCATCAGAGACTGGCAGGAAAAGGGTATGGAGATGGTTCAGGTGGAGATGGTACCAGCATTAGAGGTCACTGAGATCCCAGCACATCTACATGTAATTTTGCATGGTATTTAGATGGGGGAAATCAGGGCACAGACTGCACTGATTGACACAAAGGACACATTGAAACCATTGAATTTTGGTGGCAAGATAAAGAATAAAACCAAGGGCTTGAGGCTTAAAACATCAGCAAAAATGCAACTGATGCTCATAGAGATGGAGAGCAAAGATCACAAGTGTCAGCTCCCAAATGCTACCAACAGTTGCTCATCCAAAAGCAGCACGTTGTCACCAATGTATGCACAATCCAGGAGGCAGGATGCAGATGTAATAGCTGGTGTCGTTTAGAGGGTCTGTCCAAGCAAGTGTGTTCACAATTTGCTG